TTTTTTGCACAATTAAATCGCTTACAGGAAATCTTAAATGTGTACGTCGTGATCACAGTTTGTAGATAAAGTTCTTTGCAAAACCACTATGTGGATTAGTTGATGCTTGAACGGTGTGCGGAGGTTCTGGTTCCACAATCTTTTTTTTCAACAGCTTTTTTCCTGATTTTGCTATTTTCTCTTTTAATTCTCAAGCACTCATACTTCTTTTCGGTCACAAATATTCCTTTCTACGGACTCTGTTCTTCATCCGACATTATATAGGTTAAAACAATCAGCTGCGCGAGACAAGAGCTTTGTTTTGGATCCGACAGAGAACTGTTTATTAAAAGAATATGTTACTTTCTTTCTGCATAACTTGATCTACTTCTGCATTATGAGATTTGCAGTCAGTTCTTTGGTCGAAAACAAATAAGCTACATGTCCAAAAGCGACTTTCGCCTTCTGAGAAATTCACACCTTGGCGGTTTCTCCGCAGTTCCGAATTAAAACCCACGTAAAAAATATGCTTTTATTAGAACCAGTGTGACGGCGACGGCACGTACGACGTACGACACAATCATGGTTCAAAAACAAGACCACTTATGTTACCCACTGGAACACCGATTACATTATTCAAATTTAACTGCCGCGGTGGCTTGTAAGGCGATGAAATTTAACCAGTAAATTCTATTGGCAAATGTTAAATGTTAATATCGAGAATGGCTCATACAAAGCGTAATGTAAATAAAATCGATTGATAACCTATTTGAAACATCGAATTGTGTTTTAAAGAGCAAAAGGTGACGCACGTTACATACAAACTCGAAGAATTGAATATTACATCTAAAAAGTAACCATTAATAGTCGTTGCTATTAATACCAAGGTCGTAATTTACATTTGTATAGACACATTTAATCGATGGGTATTAAAGGAAAAAAATCGTCTTAGCGGTCGACTCTTCCACATACCTCAAACGATAAATATTGTGATACTCTCGCCATTATCTTCATATTGCTGACTGAGGGTCTTTAAAATGCTAGGCACTTTTGAAGCGATAAAGCGAATTTCTGTTGCTGATGATGGGGATATTTTTGATAGCCTCTAACGAAAACAATTACGATATGACGATTTTCTGTAGAGCAATTCAACTGACAATAAGTGCACATAATAGTTCGAAATTTGACATGGTAAAGGGAGAGTAACTGCCGTTTTATATTAACGTTTTTTTTTTATCAAAATTAGTTGGATATATTTATAACAGCATTTATCTAAACGCAGTCGTTTTTAGAACCATTGGACGGATATAAACGATATTACAAGCCTTAAAACAATATTTAATTCTACGATTTCTATTTAAAACGCATACGCTGAACGAAAACCAGTAGTTTGCTTATTTATACGCAGCCGTTGGCCCCACCAAACTGTTGCTATTAATCGTTAAGAAACGATTTGTATGCATGCTCGAAAAACACAGAAAAGCTTACAATTTCATAAAATTTGCACTGAAAGGAACAGCATTTTTAAATGAGATTAGTAAAATATAATTCAAAGGCATGAAGGTATGATCCAAAGAAGGAATTTTTAAATTCTTAATCACGATACCCCGCTAAATATTTCTATTTTACAGCTGTGGCATTTTTAGAGTTAGGTACTTGTTTACTTGCCCGCGATTCGACGTTTATCGTTGAATAATAAAATTAGTGTTATCGAACACAATTGGACAGTGGAAAACAATGATTATTAAACAACACACTCGCGGTTGTTAAAGTTCAGCCGGATATGTTGAAATTTACCTACACACGACACAATTATTACTGCATTGCCATCGCTGTGGTGCAATGAAAATGCGATTTTACAACAACAATGCCTCTCCAAAGCGGATAAACAAACTGAAACAGATTACCGATTACATACTTATATTTGGATAGGCGTTTTCTTAATAATATATCGGAGATGGTACGATGATAATATGTCATATTCGAGTACATCACTAGCATCTGGTTATAGTCGTAAGTAGTGCATGTTCACAGGTTTTGTTTATGTAAACAAAAAACGGCGGCGATGACAGAATTACAGTATTTAAAATTTCGCAGAGTTGGTAAAATATTTATAACGGAGTGTGTTTTATAATATTACTCAGAAAGCCAGAAGTGGTTTATTATAATTCGTTAAATAACACTAATTATTATTTGAACTGTTCAACATCTGGATTTTCAGTCACTACAGAAGCACTGACTGCAAGGAGTCTGAATCCCACTTCTGATGTGGTATTACTATGTAAGTTACTGGTAATATCTAAACACAGATTAACAACGGCTTGTTATCGAGTTCGATACTATTTTACTTCATTTATCGCCAAGTTGAAATGTAAAACTTGTTAATATCTTCCACAAACCAAGAGGAAATGCGTCGATGCTATCAAGCCGCCGCTTGACCTCTACAGATAAAAATTTTAAAAATTACACAATTCACAACAGCAATTAAACACATTAACGTACACCCTGGCAAAAAATATGTGCCATGTCGACACAAAGTTCGCGATTGAATTAATGAACGGTCGAAGAAGGATGCAAATTACAGCTAACTGTAATATACGGCGTGTTAAAACAAGCTCGGCAGGCTGAACCTTTCTACATCACATCATCAATAATTCTCTTTGGTAACCCGACGCAAAACTATCTTGCGACATAATTTCATACCCGTGTAGAAATCCAGTTGTTTGCTTAATGACTCTTTCTGCGGTCAGTTGAAGGTTGCTGGCGGCTATATTCGACGAAATTTTATGTTGGTTTAACTTGCGAAAGTCGATCAAATTCACAAATTCGGAACGCGACTAATTTTTAATTTCTTTCCTCGAAGTTCAAAGAGAGAATATGTCGATAGCTGTAAACTTTGTTGAGATTTTTTGAAATCACTTAGTATGGATAATGTGACGTGAGAGAAGAAGAGACGAAAGTATAGAAAATAATGTCTTTATTAAACGAAAAAAAATGCCCTTCAGACTTCTATGACACCAAGAAAATATACATAATTATTCTATAGTTGCCCTAGTACAGACATTTCGAGTAAACTTTCTCTAAACACAAGACAACCCAGTAAAAGTACAAAATTAAATATATCTAATGAAGTTTTTAAAGGTTTTCCATTTTTATCTGTAAAAATGAATTTTATACTAAACATAGGAAGGATTTTTAATTGTACCATTCTAAAATTACTTTGTACGAACTGTAGAAGTAAACAGATACTATCTGTCTGTCACGTATACATACCTTGCAAAGCCTGACTAAAATCTTGTAACTTTTTAATAAGACACGTTTCCTGACTAGCATTAGTTTCCTATTTACAAATTACTATACTTTCATCGCCTTAAGCCTCAGGTGTTCATAATTTGTCATGTTATTTATCACGGAATCTATGTTCATTTTTACAGAGCCTCATAAATGAATGCAAGCCACGTGACTGCAGAATAATAAAAATCCCACGTTCATACCGTTTCACATATACCTTCAAAATCCATACTACGAATGCCCGATTTAAAATATTGATATGTCGTAAAGACAAAAGTGTAATTTGAGGTTCAAACTTTCAAAATAGTCCAAAGTAGAGCAAATCGTTCACTGCATGCATTACAAATACCGAGTCGTGTTTTTCTGCTGTCCCAAGTCTCGCAATTTTTACTTTTAGCCACAGATGACCGGGCGAACTTAAAATTTTAAATCCCAACCATTCTCTTAATTGTTCTAATTTTACTACTACAATAATTGCACAATTTAACGGTAACCATGTGTATGAAAACCGCCATTCTCGTTCAACTCTAATTACTTCCATAAACATAACTATAAAGTAAATTATATAATGTCACTACTCGGCTAGTATTTTGTAACGAGTATGTACAAACCGTGTGATTACGGAGATGTTCGCAATTAATTTGATGCAAGGCACTTAACAGAAAAAAAGTGTCAAAAGTTTATCAGGTCAATTGTAACTGTACTTTAACACAATCAACCGTAACAACTTAGTCCTTAATTTACATCCCACTTACCGCAAATTATTATTATTTTAAGATTTCTATACTGCGCAATAAGTAACGCCACATAATCGTTGCGATGAAAAAAGGCGAAAAAGAAATTTGAATGAACTTGAAATTAATCCGGGTCGCCGGAAAACCCGATATCCTAATTTAGTATTAACCATTTATTAGTAAAATAAACAGGAATATAAGATAAATAACTTCATTTTTTTAAGAAGTATGACGGGTATTCATTGAGATATTTATGAATTCATTCCAGAAATTAAAAGTTCATACGATAATTAAATATGTAATTAATTTAATAGGTATCTATTATTCTATTATTATAAGAGCAAGATACAGAAAGTAGACGCGCAAACAAAAAAAAATGCATTCTCTCGTCCTTCGTTTTGGAGAATGCCTTCTCACCAATTGTAATCAGAAAGTAAAAATGAAATGTTAATAATTACTGGATGAAACCGCTTTGTTTCAATTTCCTCTGTACGTAAATCTCTTGTAGTAAAAAGCAATTTTACAAAACGACAAAAATGAAATGAAGTCGAATTTTACGTTGCAATAGGATTGAATCATTGAGTGATATACCATTCTGAAACTGATAGAAATGTGTTTCAAATCTTGATCTGAAATTAAAGTTCAATATAAAAAACCTATTTACCTAGTATAAACCAGACGAAATGCCTTTCTATTTGACCAGAAATACACTTTTAGGGCAATCTAATTATTGTATAGTACCTAGATTTTTCTAAAACAACCAATTTATTACATTTTCCTGGTATCCCAAGAAATTAAATCTACATAAACAGCAATATAATTCGAGAACTTAATACTTTATTGCGATAATTACTAATCTGATAATTGCACCAACAATTTACACTTAGTACCTTTTAATTTACGCTACAGGATAGAGATAAGTTTGATAAAAATAGCTTGTTTGTAAACTTTTATCGGAATAACTATTGCCTACGTAGTTAAATAAATACGACTTACCTTTCTATGAGAAGTTGAGTAAGATGCTTCTGAAAATTTTCTAACTGGTCTCTAGGAAAGGTATCACTTTTTTCAATAAAACGAATAAAGAACATAACAGCAGTTAAAATTTCTTCCTTCATATTCGTTCGTTCGAATTTCTTTTCATCGGTGTTTAAAGGAAAACTAAAAGAAGTAAAGCTGCCAAATCTTGTTTAGGTCTGCCAGAGGTTATCTGAAAGGATGAATTATATTATTTTTTTTCAAGTAAATTTTTCAAACTTCATAAAATGTTCAAATAGTGAAATATTTACCCGGGCCTTAAAACAACGTAAAACTTTGTATAAAATGTATAAGGTATAAATATTAGTCTTACAACTATCTATTTTCAGCCATAATTGTATAAGTAGCACCTCTGTTTTTTAAATGACAGCATATGTTAATCAGATTTGACAAAAATCAAGTTATGAACGCAACAGACACTGAACAAACACCTACCACTTTCCTATATTTATTTGACTCACAAGATAAATTTGCTGCAACTTTGTGAAATGTTAACAATAAGTTGGATATTATTGAAATAATGGCCAAGTCAAAAAAACATTTTTTCAGTCCTAACAGAGACCATAATACATAATACGAAACTTGTAGCAGATGCGGGCTTAAATTATATACAACCAAAACAAAGAACGTGCAGCAGTGGGTCACAATTGGCCAGAGGACAGATGGTCCAATTTTAAAGAAATTATTTAAGGCTTATATTTAGTTTAATAAAATTAAAGTATTAAAACAAATATTTCATATCCGTTTTTATGATAAATGGGTTTTTTGGAATTATTAAATTTTACTCCAACTAAACACCAGCTACGTGACATATTTAGCAACTTTTCCATTAAGAAATGAGGTACTGCTAACATTTCTGTGCAATAATTCTTACCTAAAATGATTTTGTTCGACAAATTTTAGTAAAAATGAAATATTCTTCATGAATAACACAATTTTACTGAAGTTTTTTGGCAGCACACGAACAAAGCGCGAACAAAATGACGACGCAAACTGAAAACAGAACCAAACTCGTCGGAAGTGAGTCACAAACTGGCAAATCATCTGTTTTCTAATGGAAACTAAACTGCGCAGTAGCAAATACAACCACTACGGCCACAGCGGCAAATTTGAATATAGAAGGATCTTTAATAATATAAAATTTGAGTTGATTTTGTATAATTAAAGATATTAAATGAAAGAAACTGTTTTATAGGACTATGATACAACAAAAGGTTAGGAAGTAATCTTTGGATAAAATATTTAGTTTAATTATCCCTATGTGCTTTCATTTTGGATGTTATTCAAAAAATTCATTTCAAAATTTAAATGCTTTTCATTTTTTCTGCATAATTTTATAATTGATTCAAATAGTATTGTGTACGATACTGAAGTATAGTCCTACAAGTAATTTTTATAATAAGTTCAGTCTCTTTTTAGCTTTATATTTTCCTATCTCCTTCTACTGAATACACAGGTGACAGAAACATAAATATATAATAGATTAATAGTAACAAAACTCAAATTTTACCTTTTCAATTTTTAGACACCAAACAATACGTCTTTTTTACTCCCGAACTTTGTATCAAGTACTACAATTTTCAAAAACTCATAACAACACATTTCTGACACAAATTTTATTAATTTCGACATTTAAATTGTCACTGACAAAAAAGTTCACAATTTTAAATAATTTTCTTGGCGTGTCAGGCTGACACAACACTCATACCAACCTAATAACATAACCCTTACCGTGCGGCGACTGTGTAGGCGACTGATAGAGATAGATAATTTGGGTACCCTCTTTCTCTCGCGCGCAAGTACGTGATTGGCTATCGCACCTCCTTCCACAACGATTAGAGAAAGAGACCGAGTACCCAAACTATCTCTCTACTTTACAGCGCCTACACTTTTTAACATGCGGTGCTTCTTCCATGTATTCTGTTTTGTTTTCCATGTAGTATATCTATGTTTTGTGTAGTATATGCTCTAAAGTTTATGTTCTGTGGTGTTTATCGATGAAACATTTGTTTTTTATCCCAAAAACAGTATATTTTTATTTTTTGGATTATAAATTTAAATATAGGAAGAATAGATACTACAAATAGGTATGTACCGTTCTGGGCAAAAAATATGTATAGGGTGTTTCCATTTATAATGTACAAGTTATATTTAGCTACTCACTAAGTAAAATTTAGTAAGTCAGGCACCCTTTTTATAAGGTATCAAAGAGAACACAATCGTGTAGAGAAAACAATAATTTTATTTCATATTATATTTTATTACCATGCAAATAATAATGCCTTATTAATTTACATGAAAATATACTTTTAAAAATATTGTCACAGTTTAATAAAGAGAGAGTTCATTAGCAACAAACTAATTTTAATTTAAAATTAAATCTATTTTAAATTAACTCTCGACGAGGTAGAGGTTTCTTAAAATTTCTTACAAAAGGAAAGCTTAAAAATACTCTTAAAAATAGGCCATTAGTAATTAAGTACTAGAATTCACTGTAATAAGTAACTAGCGCCTATTAACACCGTACCTAGCTTTATTAAATACATAAAAAATAATTCTTTTTCCAATTAAAATGTATAGAAAAATATAATCGCTAAAAATAAAGTAAACAATTCTTGGGGGGCGGGGGGTATGGAATAACCTTTGAAGAAGTTACGAATGAAACTCATCGATACACAGTTTACAAGACCAAGAACCTTCCGGAGGGTTTACCAGAGCGGGCGAAAGACAATACATGTGGTAGCCACGGTCACAATCGTCACAGAACAAAAGTTGATCCTGTAATAAATATATATTACAAGAATAAATATGTGAATATACAGCATGTCCACAATTATAAAAATTTATTCTATTTGATGAAAAATTTTCTGCATGTACAGGGTGTTCAGGAAATTAAAAACAGCTGAAAACTATTTTTAAAGGATATGAATAAATGCTATTAAAGAAACATATTTAAAATGAAAAGATAAACGTGTTAGTATTTTAATTGGTGGATAAATATGTCTACTTGGACTGTTCTAATATGCAAGGTATAATGTTGTATTGAAAAGATACAACCAATCGTCCATAAAATTAGAATTTCCCGTCCCAAGAAACCTACGCATACAAAATTTCATGAATTTAACTCAAAGTAGTCGAGAGTTGTTAAAGAAAATGTAATAAATTTTTTTAAATTTGACATCCTGTATATGCTAAACGAAGCGTTTCCAGACCTAAGTTTATAAGAAATTTTTTACTTAAAATTGAACGTAGAATAACATACTGAAGTATGTACATCTCCTGAAACACCCTGTATATGACTATTTCTTTCAGTAGACTGTAATTTTTATTTTTGGCAAATGAATTGGGTTAAAAATTTTCGGTTAACATATCTTGCAAACTTGATAGTTCTGACTGTGTAACGTCTTACAGAGGATACTTACGTCGTTGTCAGAATTCCCGCAAACAGAACAACATTTGCATTCGATGCACTGCCAGCGATATTTCTTCACAGAAATCTTCATGTTATCCGTAAACTGAAGGCAAGTAGGGTGTCCTATAAAAAGTTACACTTAGGAGCTTCCTGATAAGTTACGACTTTTCTTTTCACGATATTATATAGAGGGCGTCCCGATTTATTGACCATCAACGTAACATTTAAAAAATTAAACGAACAGATGCAAGCTCCGAATGATGCCTGCGAGGAAGAAGAAAGACTTATAAGACACTGATATTATTGACAACTCTCTCAAGTTTCTAGATTTCGTAAATCTTCTTCGAAACGGCATTTTTTTTAATCATGGGAACTCCATCTCAAAAAGAATGAACCGATTATTATGAAAATTGAAAGTGTATTTCATTTTGAAATTACAAAGAACACGAACCAATAATTGGGATGGTATCATAAGTTTTAGTGTTTTTTAATCAAAATAAGTGGAAAAAAAATGGTGAAAATCTTTCTCAAACACGGGTCAAAACTTCAATTTTCACAATATTTACCCGCAATGAGGTTCATATTCTTTGGAAATATGTTAATAATGCAGGATAATCATCTGACTCTCAGATCAAAGAGTGACTGCAAAAAACCTGTAATTTTGACCCGTTTTTGCTCAATTCGCAGAGAATTAAAAAAAATACAAAAAAATGTTTTTGGTCGCAAATTACTTGTCGTAAAAAACTGAAATGAGCATGGCTTGTAATATTTTGAAAATTTTAAAAATCGCCCCTACTTAGGGGTTGAAAATATGCCAAAAATGAAGAATTTGAATATTACCAATTTATATAAAAACTATTAGCATGTGAATTATCTTAATATATTTTTTTTGGAATTTTTACAATTATTTCTAATATTCTCTATTTTTGGGGATGATTTCACCCCCCGAGCGCGATTAAGGGTGGATTTTCTAGTTCAACATGCTTATTTCAGTCATGAAAATAAATCTCTCTTTGTATCAAGAATCATTCGATAGAAAAATTCACATGCTAATAGTTTTTATATTTATTGGTAATATCCAATTCTTCATTTTGGGCATCTTTTCAACCTCTACATAGGAGTGATTTTTGAAAATTTTCAAAACTAAAAGCTATGCTCATCCAAATTTTTTACGACGAGTAATTTGATTCCAAAAACATATTTTTATCTATTTTCTTTAGTTCTCTGCGAATTGTAAAAAAACTGGCGATTTTTGCGGTCACTCTTTGCAACTTCTACATTTCCCGCGAACAACCAACTCGGACGACGACCTTCGGTGAACAACGACCCATAACTTCGACATATTCAACACGAGTGACTTGAAAATATTTGTAAATGTAGTTCAAAATATTGGTAAAATAATGTCAAAGTTTCATCAAATTCTAATCAATTTGTCCCGCTCAAAAAAATTCATGAGTAACGCTTGAAAATCAGCCTCCTAATGTGGTTTCCTCCCCTTAAATCTGTCCTAACGATATGCATATTTAGAAACTAGAACTTCCCCCAAATTGCAAATTTTAAGCATCACATGACAATTTTTTATTTGAAATCACATTATTCCTAAAAATATCTGTATAAGAGTACTTTAAAATTTTCCTGGCAGATTTTCATTTATTCCAGTTTTGATTCATTTGATTTTTGCCGATAAAATAACACTGCACAGTTTTTTTGCGCTATTAAAAAAAGCGCAATACTTCAAAATGCCGAATAATTTTCGATTTTCATTTGTTTCTTACTTGTGTTAATGGTACACCTATAAATCGGGACACTCTGTATATTTATTTCTTTGAAAAAAGTTATCTCTAATTATTTAATATATTTGAAGAAATTGGTCACAATCAAATTTTTTGTAATTTTATCATTCATAGTATTTTTTTACCGCAGCTATATTTATTTCTTACTACTTACCTAGTTGCCGCAGTACAATGTACTACGTGGTTATTACGGAAAGGGGATCAAGTGCCGAAGAACAGTGATCTTCCAAGTTACGTTAATTTTTCTTTAACACTATTTTGAATGCATCAAAAGGAAACGGACGGAATTTCAATGCATTAAAATATGTAGAAAAACTTTGCAGAAAAATTCACACAAACTGAAGTGCACCATACTTCGGCACTGAAAATCAAACAAATTTCATTTTATTTGCATAATTTATTGCACGATCTGACTACATTTGCAATAATTAACCTTGGAAAATAACTGTTCTTTGAACAACTCAATGCACGAGTCAAGATTTGAATGCTTTCTTCGTAAGGGCAAAGCTTCGTTAATAATATTACCGGGAGAGCAAAAGAAAACATTCAAATATTGAACCCCAACACATATTAATTTATCTATCTTAATGTAGATCTGGCAATACTTTCAGTGATGCACTGGATAAGAAGAGATGCATGCGAATGTAAATAAATGCTTTATTCCAGGTTACCATCGACAGCGTTAAGGAATTTCGCGAAAGCAAAGCTGCTTAAAGTCTAAATTATCTAAAACCGAAGGCAACTAAAATTAATAATCATAATAATAACCTGAATATGCATCGCACCACTCCCCCTACGGTGGCTCGATTAATGTAAATCATTCGTAAAGTATTGCCAAAATTTTACAGCTCCACTAAATAAATACGACTAAGTAAAACTAGCAAGATTGGAAGTATACTTTGATATAAATAATAAATGCCCTAGTATTTTTGGAAGACAATCCAATATGGATTTTTCTCGAAAGTCCAACTAAAAGTTTAATATTTGGTAAATTCCAGTCTATTAGACAAGATAACTTTTACTTTACTTTACCTATCTTAAAGCACATTACAGATGATTAAAGTATTGTAGTTCTCTCTAAATTATAATCAATTAACTATACTTAAAATAACTACGGTACGTAATTTCTGAATCCACAAGATTTAATATTAGCTGAAATCATCTTTTATACACAAACAACATCAAACAAAGTGTTTTCACTCACAATATTCTGCCATATAAAAATCGACTATGTAGAAAATTTATTTTACAATATGTATAATTTTGATTCGCTAATTCAAATGAACATCATAGACGTTAGTCACAAAGTAATACTGGACACTAAAATCAGTGTTATTATGAAAAATATCCTTACGAGATTTTATTTAAATAGTTTTAGTTGATTGTATCACAGATGAAACGAAGAATTTTAGAATTTTGAGCACGAAAAAACAAACAAACACATTAATACAGTGACATTCTCAAAATTTTGTACATTTTTTGGCAGCTCTTGGTGCGTCTTTCTAACATCGAGACGGTCGAGAATAAAAAATAAATTTCTTAAGAACCACAAAAGCCCGGTATTGGTCCATACAATTACAACTACTAATAAACCTCACATATCGTAACATTTACTAGATCTGATAAGGGCAGTACAATTGCCTATCCTGTATTAAAATTTTGATATTGGATGTGGTGTTTCTGTTTATTACTATACGTTCACGTTTTAGGAATAATTCAGGGCTGTCCGCCAACGCACATACCACACGGAAACATTAGGAACTTTTAAAGTTACCAATGAAGATTACGAGATTCCTTGATCAATCACAATGATTTTCCGCTCAAATCAACAAAATAAATTCAACACAAAATTTTAACTACCAAATGCTGTTCCAGAACAAGTGGGATATTGCACACGTACAGCTACGGACAATAAAAAGTTTCCAACAGGGACATCTTTTTGTCTACGACTGTACATACATACCCTATTTCGAACTTGTAAATGACATACAGACTATTTTTAAATTATTTAAATTATTATTATAAACAATAACATTTACGGTACTTTAAGATTCAAATTTTCGAGTATTGAAAAGTTTCAATCAATGCCGAGTTCACTATTTTCAGACCGACAGATCCCATTGATCAAACGACTGCATTAGACACCCTAAGACGGTACGGCTCCCGCTAATCTGACTAGAAACTTTCTTCACTGGCATTTAAAAACGTTTACCAAACTCAGATCAAAACGAAAACAGACAGCCCCGCAGATTTCTTCCCGCCACAAAAGACTAGACCTTCTTTTTCCTACCTTTCTTACTATTGTTACACTTATCCTCGACCTTAGCAATCTTACCTGATCTACCGCAGTCCGAGCACGAAACTAACTCCTCCTGGTTGCCGGTCTTCTTGTTCTCCCTGGCATCGCCCAGGCAGAAATCGCAATAAGGACTGGGTACGGCCTTCTTCGTACCGTCCGGGGCGACGGACGGACCCGGAGCTTCAAGCGGGCCAGGAGGCGTCGCGCACGACTCTAAAGCCTTCTCGGGCATGAGCACCGGCATCGGCGGATCATCCACCGGCGGCGGAGGCTGCTGCGGGGGTAAGTTCGGCGGCAAAGTCGGGGGAGCCTGGGATTGGGGGTTGCCCCCTAGGGGGGGCATGGGGACCTGAGTGGGGGGACCGGGAGGGGTGTTAGGTTGACGGCCTCGGCGACCTGGCGTACCTGTAGCATGTAGGGACATAGAGTTAACTCCACCTGTTTTTATTCTAAAAAGGATACAACGAAAAGTTACAAAGACAGTCAAGTCCTGGCATACTTTGCAATAAATTCCTATGACCACAGATATTGAACGCGGACGCGTAGCGGTGGTATAAATAAATAAAAGTCTAAGTTTTATGGTAATACATATAAAAGGTATTCCTTAATAATTGTTTAAGCATTTCATTGCGTGACAGCGATGCAAGATTCGATTCTCTTTGTTTAAAAAATATTTTTTCTCGTAAGGAAATCAAGAAACTGGGTAAAACAGTTATTAGTAAAAACCGACAAATAACATTGTATAGAGTGTTATTAAACTTGAACAAAATATTCCCTGGTATTTCCAGGTTTTCCAGACTGAAAAAATTCTTGAATCTTGCTGATGTAATTTTTTGTTCTTTTCATTTACGTGATTCATTTTTTTATTTTAGCCGTTTTCAAGAAAATAACAATATTTGAAATGAATATATTTGGGTGTCCCAAAAAAACAAATTTTTTTTTCTTGTTCCTTGTGAAAATATGTTAGTTTATCATGTTTTAAGAGCCCCCTTAAAATGTCAGTTAAAAAAAAATTTTTTAGAGGTCCCTCAAGATTTTTTAAAATTTCCAAAATCGTAAAAAATTTAATTTTTATAAAAAAATTTTTTTCTCGTTATTTTATCATTTTCTTGGTTGAAAAAAATCTCGATTCTGAAAATTTCAAATTAATTATTTTAACTTTAAAAGTAGTGTACCTAAAATGTTTTCTGGAGACCTTTAAAATCAATATTAATGAATTAATAATTTTTTTTATTGAATTTGATGAAAAGAATAGAAATAAATCACACTTAAAAAATTTCTCGAGGCAAAATTTACTACTGCACTATGAGTATCAAATATTTATAATTTTTTAAAATTTAAGTATCTTGTGATTTATTTCTATTCTTTTGTTCATGAAATTCAATAAAAAAAAAATATTATTTCGTTGATATTTATTTTTTAGAGGTCGCTCGTAAACAGGTACACTACTTTGAAAGTTAAAATAATTAATTTGAAATTTTCAGAATCAAGTATTTTTTCAACCTAGAAAATGATAAAATAACGAGCAAAGAAAATTTAAAAAAAAAATCAATATTTGACGATTTTGGAAATTTTTAAAAATCTTGAGCGACTTCTAAAAAACCTTTTTTTGAGCTGATTTTTTGAGGGGGCCCTTAAAACATGACAAAATTAACATATTTCCAAATTTCGTTTTCTTTGGGCCACCCTAGAATATATCCAGATTTTTCAGATTTGTATACATCCTGATTGTAACACTATAAAAATAGATCACTCTTAGCAGTGCTTGTATAAAAAAAACACCCTGTAACTGGAAATAAAGCAATCGAAGAGATATTGTTATGTCAACTCTTTTCACTTAAAATCACAAAAAAATCGTTGATATACTGATATTGACACATAATTAATATGTTATTATCTTGTGAATATTCTTAAAAATGTTACTGTAATTTGCAGCAAATACAGAGTTATTGGTTATAAATGTCACCCCATACAAACTTTCGTTTTTAAATTTAGAAAAAAAAAAATAGTTAAAAAAGCTGTAGTTATCAATTACAACTATTCTGTGTATATTGAATCTTCAGCTTTTTCCTAAAAAGCCTAACAAATTAAACTTATGATATTAAACACCCTGCAAAAAATTTCATATTTGAATAGAACACCAACAATTATTTAAGATTTAATGACAAGGAAGATATTTCCATTAAAATGTACTGTAACTGCAATTATAGAAACCCGTAGTATGTCCCGATTTTGGACGAAAGAATCCCGCGTTTTTTGTTCAAAAAGTTTCAAAATCCTGCTTTGTCCGAAAAAAAATCTGGCAACGCTGAACTGTAAAAATAATTAAAAAAAAAAACGTTGGAAAATCTTGTTTTCCACGGCAACTGACTTGCTTTGTTGGTGTTTAATTTCTCTATACATATCGTCTTATATCTTTTTGAAAAGCACGCGATATCGAAAAACTTTTTTTTATTAAAGTTGTTGCGAAAAAAGAAGACTTTCACATGATATAAAAAAAATATTTATGAAATTGGAAGAAAACATAATTTCGACAAAGTCACAGCGTATATGGCGGTAAACCTGCCAAATGGAATTTGAGGTCAAATACTAATAACATTGCGTCATAAGGAGCCCCGCTTGTGGCTTTCTATTTGCTCCTTCCGTTTTCCTGTAATGACGAATAACCATCAGTTGTAGGTCCCCTTATACGGGATGTTCATATTATAATTTTAATTTTTCATGCTTTTTAAAGATATTCCACACAAAATCGAATATAATCATAAAACATTTCTAGTGGGTACCTATAGCTTCCTTATCTCACATTTTTTCCGAATTTAAAAACAAGAAAGTGGAGACGGGGCGAGAATTATAGCCAATAACCCCGTACAAGACTTCATATCTGTAGGCATGGAAGAATATATTTTCATTGTAAATAACACTCATGCTAATAAAACACTCATATTAAAAGTTCTGTAAAAGAGTAGTTTGCAGTTTCAAAATATGCAAACAATAAAAACAATGATTAATCATGTTTAAAAAGAAAAATTAATCGTTAATCATATTAAACAAACATTACAAAACTACTGATTATTAAAAAAAAATGAATAAACTGTAACCGTAACTAATAGAGAGCTGAACATTCCAACTACACATGCATGCAAAAACACTCAAAAAGAAAGTAAAAAAGTTTAAAAAGGCAGTACCGGGTGTCTGGTTCAAAAAGGAAACGTAACTATCCTGATACACTTGTCCTTCAGCCCTGTGGGAATTTGCAGGATGGCCCTCCCCCATCCCCCCACCCATAAGAGGCGGCACAAGACCCATGGGACCCATAGGGCCACCCATCGGGCCTGGGGGACCACCAGGGTGGCCTTGAGGGGGGCCGACCGGGAGACCTGAGAAATCCGAGCCCATAGGTCCGCCCATCTGCGAGGAGGGGGTGGGGGCATTACTGTCGCGCGAGTTCTCATCGCTAGCGCCCTCTTTGTGTGAATGGCGATAGTGGTAAGTCAGCCCGGGCCTGGTCTTGTAACGCGCACCGCACACTGAAATTTTTTAAACAAAAAAAGAAAACAATGCCGATTCCATCTCTGTTATCATTAAATTAATCATTAAAAGAGAATACAAATTTTTAACGAACAAATGATCCTACTACAGAAATTATACAAGTACAATTATAATGGAAACCAATTTAAAATGATAATCTTCTGGTGAGATGGTTATGTAATAATTTATTCCCACACGATGGTAATTTTGAATCAACTTGGTTCAGCTGTTTTAGCACTTCCTCATATCGGTGCAATACCATAGTGCCGAATACAGGAAACTCTAAGATTTTACTTAGCAACCCCAAACTATCTTTCAAGAAAGATTCCGTTGAAGGAAGAGGCTCTAATAACAAAGGTGCAAAAAATGTTTTAACGCAGCTTAAAAAAAATGACAATGGATGTAATGGGTTTCACAAGCAGACTGTGATTAGGCAAAAACAGTTTGATTCAGTAAGTGGGATATGACTGGAAATTTTATTAAGAAAAATGAAAGTTGCGGCGAGAATTTGCTTTTACCATAGGTACGGTTAAAAGGGATTTAGTTATTGTTAAAGCAATAAAACAAGCATTTTACCACCACAATACCATGTTTAATATTTCTTACACCAATAGTCAGAAGATTGTCACTTTGAAACCGAAAAATCAGGGACTGGAACCGATTACCAAATTTCGACCATAGGAAAAAATAGTCGGATTAAAGTAAGCAATTCAGTAATGCATACAAAAAGCAAAGATTATTAAAAACGCACTATGTTAGTATTTAAGACATAAAGACTAATGACAAGAAATTGCATTATATATGTATATATATATATATATATGGAAGAACCCAAGCGCCAGGTGGTTTGAACCCGAACCGAAATTTCAAACGGTTAAAAGTTATTTTTTTAACAAATATAAACACGAATTATACATAGACTAACTACAACTCTACTCTAACTTTCATCCAAGATATTAGAGAAAAATCACTGCAATATATTTTACTTCTTTTTGCAAACCTACGCATGTCATTAAAATTATTTTCTCAGCTACTACACGAGACGTTCTATGAATTCATAGATGTGACTTATTTGATTTTAAGTGAAAAACCTCCCCAACTTTATTTTTGAGGTACAGGGTGTCAACGAAACTTTTGACGTAAATTTGGTAAGAGTCACAAATTTCTTTTAGGCCTTTATCCATTTTTCTTTTTTAAGTGACACTGTTTAACACAAAAAAAGTTGCAATTTTTGATAACTTCTATGTTGGCTAGAGAAGGTAAGCTCTTCCAAAAAATAAAACCCAAGGAATAATAATCTAAACTAAGAATGACTACCTAATTAAATGGTAAACGGTATAAAAATAAAACTATAAACTAAAAGGAAATTAAACACCCTGTATCTCGAAATGAGTTGTTTTATTTGAATTCGCGATCAAAAGAGAAATCACATCTTGAAATATTAGTGGGCAAGGCAGCTCAAATCTATTCCATTCAACAAAATCCATGTTGCTGTGAAAACTACTCGATTAACTTTTTAGGTATCGCTTACGCTTTTAATTCACAAATCGAGTTGTTTTTATTCAAGAGGAAAGTTTTACTGATGAGGAAGCATAATACGGATTCATACAGGGTGATTAAAAAATGCGATTTTAATCGATAGCACATTTAGTTGTAAAATATATGTAAAAAATTTTATGAAAGCAAAATAACGATAATAAAACAAACTAACAGAAAACTAGCCTATTGGTGTTCTAGTTAGTCTATGATTCTATAAATTTTTAGAGGTCTTTTATGAAGACGATTAATACAGAAAAGTATATTAACTTTTCGGTTCGAGTCCCTGCCTAAACAATAATAAGAAGAAGAAGCTGTCCTAAAGCATCAAGCGTTTAAAAAACACCATTATCTCTAAGAGAGACTACAACTCATTTCGATTTTTAAAAGATTATCGCAATTGTCATGCTCAAGCACAGAATTCTCTTTTTCCCTTAACTTAATATCTAAGATAATATAAAAATATATACCTTTAACAACCAGTTTAATTTTGCCAATTTATTGGGATAACTTTAGAAATGGAGACCAGCAGGATGATATAAATTTTGATCTAATAATCTAGAGGTTTACGAAAGATGGTTACGTGATTCTGTGAATTAATTTTTTCAAGTTTTGGAGATCGGTATACACCCTATTAGATTTTTAAATTTTTGCAATAAACTGACAGGTGCACCGTACAGTGTTTTAAATTTCGAGGAATACAACTTATTCTCCTATCCCGTACGTTCTAGGAAATTGAAAATAAGGTTCGTCGAAATCAGATGAGCCGCTTTGCGAGATAATAATTTTTCTATGTTGCATTGTTAAGTTTGTGCGAAGATTATTTTTATAAAACACCACATTAAGTTTGAATAATTTACCGACTTCCGGATTTTTATATTCAATACAACTAATATTAATTAAATGGAGAAAACTCTGGCTTTTCCATTTCAAAGTGTGGTCCATTTTTAAAACGACTTAAAGGTATATATTTCTGCTCGTAATGGCACGGTAAAATACTCATTTAATCCAAGTTACATGGTATCCAAAATATTTACCATACCAATAAAATACTAAGAACTAGAAGAAATTGATTCATTAGTGGATTAGTCTAGGACTTACGTTCACAAGCAAACGGCTTATCGGGATCGCCGGGCGTCGGCTCGAAACTGTGGCCGGCCTTTTTCCTCCCTCTGCCACCTCCTTTTTTCCTTCCCGGGGTACTCGGGGAATCGGTACCGCTACGGCCCTGTTTATTACAAAACATATGATGCAACTTTCATATCTATTCGCTATTAATGTTCATACCCTTCCTGCTCCCCGTCTTCCTTTCTTCCTTTTGCTGTAAGTCTCCTCGTAATCCAGATCAGAATCTGGATCGGGTTCGTCGTACACGTCCATTTCTAACATATCAGTCTCGTCGTAAAACCACTCCTTAAAGAATAATGACCATAAATGTCCATACAACAAAGCTTATATTATTGTTAAAAAATACCTTAGAAACTTCGTCCTTTAACAGCAGCTGACTGTCTTTACTATCGGTATCCTGAAGAGCAGGATTTTCAATCTGTGATATATTGTGCATGTCTCCCTCAGTGTCAAGAATATGATCAGTAGCTCTTTGAAATGCTCTTGAATTCATTGTCAAATACTGCCGTCGTTTCTTCCTCCATCGTTGTCTAGGATACGAATATATCTGTCCGGGAAGTAAACCCGGTATCCTTTGTCTCTTGTTCATATACAATGCGGAATGGTTTTGGGCTACACCAGTTTGTGTATCGATAAAAGGTAGACGTAGCCTTCTTTCGATGCATAGTCGCGTGTTATAGTTGACTGAATTTTCTAAAGCCTCTTTGTATGCGGCATCACTTAAAAAACTGAAAAAATTGGTTGGCTGTTTTATTGATTTTCAATACAAAGGTGAGGTGATGTTGCAGTAATTTAATGTGAATTTCTACACTGTAAATGCTGCACTACCGTATAGTCGTGTTTTAAAAGGTTCTATGGACTTGTATACTTAATATTTCTCAAATTACCTCTCAATTTTTTCCAAATTTGTTCGATTTCCAGTTGCCGTCGACGACGCTTCTACCTGAGGAACCACCACAGCCGCCATATTTAATACTAAAATTTCCTATTTGGTTTGCTCAAACTCGAACTCGACTGATTGATTGTTGTCCATTATAAAAACATTTTTTTTTATTTAAATTCATTTAAGATTTAAGAACTAGTTGCGAATTTTATTTTAATGTGAAAAGTAATGGTTTTTCAGGTTTTTTTATAAGATATCCAAACTAAATGACATGATTCCAAAATTTCTTTAAACTAAATTTAAATATTTTTAGTGCTTCAACAAAATTGATCTATTTTAAATCAGAAACCATTTACATTTAGAAATATACAATATACGTTAACAAAATGTATTTTATTGCTGTATTTTGTATTTTAAATTTTCAATAAATAAGTATGTAAACTGATTGGTGTGGTAAATACCTATAATAATCTCCAATTTCCATAACACCACTGGTTTGTTAACGTTATTGGTTGTATGATTGTTTTATTTATTTTTTTAATGCGATGGATTAGTATGTAATATTATTGGTCTGTTTAAACAATACTAATTTCTGATTGGCTCTACATAATCCATGGCATGGAAATTAAATCATGAATAAAAGAACAGGACCTTTTTATAAAAACACGCAAAAATTTCCACGATATTTTGATATGTATTGCTATGAAATTTTAAATTAGTTGTGTATCCAAGAAGTAAGTTTACGTTTAAAACTTGTCAAATATTAGAGACTGAATCATATTTTATATAACTATATTATTTGTAGCAAAGCTGCATAGGTCGGGATGTCGGGATTTTAATCGGGATCTGTCAAAAATTGAACTCTTCCGGTTTGGTTGAGCGTGATGGACGGTGGCGTTTTTAGAGGAAAATTGTAAAAATTCGAATAAAATAGAAATGGTTTCGCCGAAGGCAGTGATTGGGATATGTGCGGGTGTGTCGGCTACATTATTCATAGGATACTGTATATATTTTGACAAAAAAAGGCACAATGATCCCGATTTCAAAAAGAAACTCAAACAAAGTAAGTCGCTCGGTTTGATATTTTATAAAGGTTAACTTGCCCATTTTGTAGGACGTAGAGCCAAAAAAGCAGCAGCTTCTACCGGAAAACAGCGGGCTACAGTTTTTCCAGATATGAAAGACCACGAAGCAGTACAAAGGTTTTTCCTTCAGGAAATTCAGTTGGGAGAGGAATTGTTAGCAGCAGGTGACCTTGAAAATGGGGTTGATCATTTGGGTAATGCTGTAGCTGTTTGTGGACAACCAAATGATCTTTTACAAGTATTACAACAGACTCTTCAGCCGAATGTGTTCCACTTACTTATTCAAAGACTCCCTGCTGTCGCGCCTCGCCTGATGAAAGCACAAACTACCCCGAGTGCTTCTCTGCAGGAGGAAGACGTAGAGTGATCACATTTGCCTTTACTAGTCTCGTTTGTTAGATCGTTCCATGTACCTTATATTCACCTTTGTTATTACGATCAGAATAATAAATTGGTTGAATCAAGCAATATTATCTGATTTTGTATGTTCTGATGTTTTGTACGTTTTTATTTAAATATTTGTTTAGTGTAAATAAAAACTCACAATACGTTGAAATTTTAAATCTTTCTTATTATTAATCCTATAGTTAATTATAACCACAATCAAGCATGTTTATATTTTTTCATCACGTTTAAAAAAAAATACTTCAATTAGCAACGCCTGCACAAGTTATTCTTCAGAATTGTAGAAAATAAATAAAAAATTACATAGCATTTCATTAGGATGACAAAAAAACATTTTAGTTAATAAATTATTTTAATTATTTCAGTTTTCATTAACAAAATTAGTATAGATTAATATGTGGAAAATCCGTATTTAGAAAAAGCTTAATTAAACATAATATTAATACAAGACTGCAGATAAGAATTAAATTAATTTGCGCAGCAAAAATATTAACTTTAGGCATGAAGAGCAGCTTTGACTTGTGCCTGCTGGAACTGATGCTGCAGTTTTTGCAAGGCTTCTCTGTGCGAATCTTGCTTCTTTTCGAGATTTCCAATGAGATCATCAACTCTTTTGATTTCCTTAGTAATGTAATCCATTCTCTTGCTTACATTCTGCTTTGCTTCTATTAGTTCGGTCTTTATGAGGACAGGCCCTACGGACTTGTATACTTTTCCATCACTTGGTAAAAGGTCTAGTTCCTGTTTGACAATCTCATTCTCATTTAATTGACCATCAAGTTGTTGCCTTGTCTGTATAGCCTTCTGCAATTCTACAAATATTATTGCTTAAAAAAAACGATTGCAGAATAAAAAATCACAAAATTGATAAAAACAAATATTGTCGATGTAATTAATTTTATAAACATTTCATTGTTCATTATCAATTTGAAACGCACTTTTTTTTCTTATTTACTAATTTGGTTAGAATGGTGGACCAAAAAAAATAACCTCAAAATGAAACTAAATAAATATTTCTATATATAAAAAACGGATACCTTTTTGAACATTTTTGAAACTGTCTAATTCTGACTGTAATTTCCTTTGAATATCTTCGCTCATTTTTTATTTTTTAATTAATCTCGCCACTTTGCTTGCCCTTCTTGCCAGTCGCCGAAATGTCAACTGTCAAGTATCAAATATCAAATATCTAAAAATAGTTCCTTTTATTTTGTATTAAGGGCACATAAAATGAATGATACAGAAATCGGAAGAGAGAATCATAAGTATTCAATAATAATTAAAATTTCAATGAGACTAATCATAAACTGAATAGCCTTTCCGTTCCGTCTTAAATTTATGTCAATTCTAATTCTGTGATTTCTGTGTGTGTGTCATGCGGACATGCGGATTGCGAATCACGAATCACAGATCACAGAACAGATGTTTGGGATCTTCCTGTTTGTTTTGTAAATAAGTTGGTGAACCTGGAGCAACAATTTTAAAATTCAGCCAATGACGAGACAAGAAATGTTTTGTTATTTTTTAGAGTATTGTATTAACCGCCCAGCATAGATTTTTTATGAAATTTAAAAAAGAAATTAAAAAACTTTTGCGTATATTTTAAGCATTGTTCTATACATCTTTTTAAAGTGATTTTGTAGATTTGTTGGTGACCGTTTACACATGTTTTAAAAATGTCCGAAAGACAGTCTGTGGAAGCATTGGTGAATAATGAAAATGAAGACCCAGAGGATATCGATTTTTCCGACGACGAAGGCACAGTTGTAGATGGCATAAGAATACCCCCTGCGACAAAGCCAACGTGTTCGTTTGATCCCACTGGCCCTCGATTAATCATAACCAAAATATCAAACAGTTTCTTCAAAAGCTATGCCGATGAAGAAACGTTAGGCCCATTTCATAAGGTAAATTGATATGTAAGATAATTTCAACGTTTTAAAATTTATTAATTTTTAGTGCTTCAATGCAATTGTGGGTCCAAATGGTAGTGGAAAAAGTAACGTCATAGATTCCATGTTATTTGTTTTTGGATATCGAGCTACAAAAATAAGATCAAAGAAAGTGTCAGTGCTGTTACATAATTCTGAAAACTATAGAAATGTCCAGTCTTGTACAGTAGCAGTTTATTTCGCCTTAATAATTGACAAGGTATGTTATAAATTTGTTACAGACATGTAAATCCTATTGTTCGTGTCTCTAATTCTCGCAAGCTAGTTTTGAATGAAATTATTGTATATGCAGAAGTTTTTGAGTAATGACATAAAATTATTATTGTGTGACTCGTTGATTGTCATTTCGGGCTTACTGTGATGGTGTATCTGGCCTATTTTTACCGCGAAAGATAAGAGCACCCTCCAAAAAATACAAAATAGTTGTATTAATTTTCCTTTAACTTTCGTAAATATGACCATTTGTCTGAAACTTTTTCACGTACTAATTGGCTTAACTTTGAGGAAATTTTAGGTATCATAATGTCATGTTTGGTTTTCATAATAAAAAATAATATGTTACCTTCTTATTTACATAACAAACTTATTACATGGTGTGATACTCACAATTTATCTACTCGTTATAAGCAAATGTATACTGTGCCTCAGCATACAACTGCACAATTTGAAAGAAGTTTTTCATACAATGTGTGTAAGAATTTCAATGATATTCCTAACTGTATTAAGTCGATCTCGATCTTGCAGAATTCCGAAAACAGGTCAAAACTTGGATATTTTCGAAATGTTCACCTTAGTGTTATTACCTATATTACTTTATGCTTCTGTCTTGTCATTTTGCCTACCTGCTTGTAAACTGGTAGAGATGGGTTACAGGAAAGAGCGACATTTTGTCGAACGGCGTCAAAATTCTGTATTTTGTATTATTATGTATTATATAGGCTGGCGATGAGTATGATGTAGTTCCTGGTAGTGAGTTTGTAATATCTCGAACAGCAAATAAAGACAACTCCTCTTATTATCAATTAAATGGAAGAAGAGTTCAATTTAAAGAAATCGGTGTACTTTTGAAGAAACACGGGATAGATTTGGATCATAACAGGTTCTTAATCCTTCAGGTTAGTCAGAATGAAGAAGTTCATGCGTATTACATAATTAATGATTATTAAATAATAGGGAGAGGTAGAACAGATTGCAATGATGAAATGCAAATCAGAAAATGAGAATGAAACGGGTATGCTTGAATATTTAGAAGATATTATTGGAACATCACGTTATAAGGTAAGTTTAAATACGCAACAATTATAAAGCACGCTAAATTTTGCCCTTTCCTTTTTAGAAACCCTTGTTTCAACTACTGGAGAGGGTGGAAGTTTTATCTCAACAAAGAACTGAGAAGCTGAACAGACTGAGTTTAATGGAAACGGAGTTAAAGGAACTTAAAGGTCCCATGGAAGAAGCTGTGTTTTTTTTGAAAACGGAGAATACTGTCGTTTCCAGCAAGAATTTTCTGTATCAGAAAAATATGTTAGTTAACATTTGGAATATATAACGTTTTTATTAAGTAAAATTTTGTATTTGCAGACATGATTTGCAACAGAAATTGACAAAAGCTGAAGAAAATCGAAATGAAGTAGCAGAAGTCCAAAGGGGATTTATTGAAAATTTAACCAAACTGCGGGAAGAGAAAACTGAGAAAGACAAGATTCTTAAACAGCACACCGAGTAAGTATCAATTTTGTACTTATATAGTTGTACGAGTATAAAATTTTGCAGGCGTTACAACAATTTGCAAAAGAAGAAAGACAGTATAAGCGAAGCATTTAACAGAGCGAATAATAAAGACATCCAGTTACAAGAAAGTATGTCTCAAATGAACAAAACACGTAAACAGACGAAGGAAATGGTTATCGAGGAGAAAAAAAAATTGGAGAAATTGCAGAGAGTTCCCGAGGAAAGCAAACAGGTAGTAATACGTAAAAATATACGTTCCTTTGTTTAAAAAAACATTACAATAGGGCATCGAAGAATGCGAAGCGAAGGAAGCTGAACTGTTGGAAAAGAAGGAGAAGCTTGAAGCGGAGAAAACAAAGCTTTTGAAAAACCTTCGAACTGAGACGAAAGGATTACAGGAAAAGAAAGAGGAGATGCTAACCGATCTCATCGTACTAAAAACATCCGTAAATGAAACCGAATCGGAGGTACACGTAGAAATATCTAAAGAAATATTTGCCTAATCCTTAACATTCTAGTTCGTACTAGCCGAATCGAGGTTGAAAATCTACGTAAGTAACGAAGAGGACGAGAAAAAGAAGTTTGAAAATTTAAAAAACCTTTACGAGAACGCCCAGTCCACGATTGAAGAAAGGACGCAACAAACTGCACTATTAAAGAAAAAGATACCAGCCACGGAGAAATCGCTGAGGGAGGCAACTGAGGAGCTGAATACGGTAACACGCAGGGAGGACCAGATCATAAATGATGTCAGGAAGAAAAAGACGTATCTGGAAGAACGTCGGAGTTCAATGCAGGAGTCTAGATCCAAGGGAAGAGTCTTGGATTCTCTTGTACAGCAAAAACGCGAAGGGAATTGTCCTGGTCTATACGGACGTTTGGTATGTTCCACTATTTTTTTTCTATTAAAAGAGCAATCCCCGATTTTTAAAGTTCTCGCTTTTTTTGAATACTTTCTGAAGGTATTCCAATGTTTTTGTTCTGATAGTTGCCAGGTTACATTGCAAATAAAATGACATCAAAAATGATTACAAGCCACGTGACTAGAACTGTGTTATTTCTATATTTATGATACTCTAGCTTAACCTTTTCCTAGGGTGATTTAGGTGCGATTGATCAAAAATACGACGTTGCCATCTCCACGGCATGTGGTCCTTTAGACAACATTGTCGTCGATTCGGTAAACACTGCGCAGTGGTGTATCGAGTTCTTAAAGAAACATAATATCGGAAGAGCTACGTTCATCGCGTTGGATAAACAGGAGCATCTCAGGAATTTAGCAAATTCCAAAATAAGAACGTAATAAAATCGCGGTATTCGGAGGTACAGGAAAATAAATCCGTTTTTAATTTTAGGCCAGAAAATGTACATCGCCTGTACGACTTGATTCAAATACAAGACGAGGATGTCCGTACGGCCTTCTATTATGCCTTACGCGACACTCTGGTGGCCAATGACCTGGAGCAGGCTTCTAGGATCGCTTACGGCGCCCAACGGTTCAGGGTAGTCACTCTCAAAGGAGATCTGATAGAAACTACAGGTAAGGTTTTTTTTTTAAATTTTTTATTTGTAGGGTTCTAAAGCGTTTGGCTTTTCGTTTATATAATTTTATTTTAGGTACCATGAGCGGAGGCGGTAGGACTGTATCGAAGGGCAGAATGGGACAGTCGGTGAGAGTGTCGAACGTCGATCCTCGGGAGTTGGAAAACTTGGAAGAGACCATCCGAGAGATGGAACAAGAAGTACGCGATTTAAGACAGAGACAGGCCGCAGTAGAAGGACAAATTAATACTTTGCAGCCCGAGTTGCGGCAAATGAAATTTGATTATGAGAAATTTACCATGGAGTTGAAGGTAAGTTTTTTTGAACATGTGAGCCAATATGACGACAATTTGGAACCTCCAGTTATCAAAGACCGGATATTTTCGAACGCAACGAATTTCAGGTCCTGCGACAACAACAGCCTGAGCTCTCCAAGCAAGTAAAACAGCAAAAAGCGAAAAGCGAAGCCACACGAGCGGATCCGGTCCAGGTGAAAAAATTAACGGCCGTAGTCGACGAGAAGAGAGCGGCGTACGAGAAAGCATCGGAAACCGCAGGGGCACTCCAGGCGGAGGTGGATAAGATCACGGATGAAATCAAAGAGAAGACCACGGGAAAGATGAGGGCGGTGGACAAAAATCTCAATGAAGTCAACAAGACCATAGACAAGTGCAAGACGGAGATCGTAAGGTTAAGAGTGGCCGTGTCGACAGCAAAAAGGTTCATATAATTTACGTTAATTGAAATATGTTTTGTTCTAATTCTCAATTTCAGGAATACAAAAAAATCAACTGAAAAAATCGCCATGATGGAGCAGGACGTCGCAGATATGGAAAATAAACTGCGTCGGATGGTAGAGGAAAGGTCGGAGATCGAAAAAGACGCTGCGAAACTGTTGACTTGCGTCGAAGAGATCACTGAGAAAATTGCCGAAGCGGAACGAGGTTATACAGGTAGTTATTTTAATGTGGATGTGTCTATAAACCAAGTGAGGCAAACGTAGTGGATCACGAGCAACTTTGTGACCTTGAAATTGGTCCTTCGATGCTTTGTTAGATTTGTATTGAGGAAATTAATTTAGGCGGGATCTGTTTCAAAACACCCATGTATGGATGGATGTTTTACAAAACATAATTTCACGCGCTTCAAAACGTGTGCAAAACTTATTATTATACAAATAGTGAAAAAATTGGACAAAATTCCATTTTTTTTCTCTTTTTTTCAACACAGTTCAAAAACTATTCATTTCAGAGAAAAATTGAACAGAAAAAAAAGATTCGTAATTAAATTTTACACAAGATATACCTACTTTCAAATAAAAAAATACGACAATTATTGCAAATATATTTTTTTTTTTAGTGCATTTGTCGGTTGTCTCACCTATGACACCAATTTTCGTTAAAATCAGTGCGATAGTTTTCGAGCAATAATTTTGCAATCCAGATTTTTGAAAAAAAATTGAAATTTTTGCAAATTTAATTGAGACTAAACTAAGACTTCCAGATACTTGAAAATTTTATCACAAAAAAGGCCACTCAAACTTTAAAATGCGTCCAAAAAAATTGAAATACGTTAATTAGGAGAGCCGTGGTAATCATTTAAAGATATGTGTAATTTTTACGCTTATAAACAAATAGAATAACTTTATAAATTAATTATAATTATTTTTTTTAAATTGTGCTTTTAAAGTATTTGGAATGACGCTTCTTTAAAAAAAAAAACGTGATTCGTTAATTGGTCGATTGAACAAAATTGACCGTCATCTGTGGTGTAACTACGAGGTCTGAAATTCACGAAAAATGTATGAGAGGTAGTGGTGGGGGGTCGAGAGCTCGGCTACTTTGGCCGACTCGAAATTGAAAGCGCAAGTTTCCAAATAGCGGTGCGCTTAAAACTTTTGATTATCTCGGCTTCTAGTGGTGCGATTTTGATGTTTTTTTTTTTAAATCGATGTCTGGCAAGCTGAAAAGTCCAAATTATTATGAAATCGAATTTGAGTAATATTCATGAATAGAATAAAGAAAAATATGAGAAAAGTAAAGTAAATTAAAAAGTAATAATTATCAATACGTTAATAGGTCGATAATTAACAATAATTCGTATTCGAAAATGCGATATTTGCACTTTTCAGCTCTTGTGATATCGATTTAAAAAAAAACATCAAAATCAGACCACTAGAAGCCGAGATAATCAAAATTTGTAAGCGTGTGATTTCAATTTCGAGTCGCCCGAAGTAGCCTTCCATACATTTTTTATGAATTTCATGCTCGGTCCAATGGTTTTAATCGACATTTTATATGGGTTGCACAAGAGCACAAGTTTTGCAAATTCACCCCTGGAAAGTATTCGGAATGACAAAGGTATTTGTTTAAAAAACAGGCTCCCAGACCTCTTAGTTACGCCACAAATGCCGGCCAACTTTGATCGACAATAACTCTGGAACCAATTAACGTATCACCACGTTTTTTTTTTTAAAGAAGCGTCTTTCCGAGTACTTTAAAATCATAATTTAAAAAAAATAATTATATTGAATTTGCAAAGTTATTCTATTTGTTTATAAGCGCAAAAATTACGCATATCTTTAAACTAACCACGGCTCTTCTAATTAACGGATTTCAATTTTTCTAGACGCATTTTAAAGTTTGAGTGGCCTTTTTTATGTTGATAAAATTTTCAAGTATCTAGAAGTCTTAATTTAGGCCCAGTTGAATTTACAAAAATTTCAATTTTTTTTCAAAAATCTGGATTGCAAAACTATTACTCGAAAACTATCGCACCGATTTTAAAGAAAATTGGTGATGTTTTACTATATCAAAATTATATTTTTGGCCAAGTATGAAGATCCTACCTATAATATAAGTATTTTTAAAAAAATCGCAAAAATATTGTAATTTTTTTCATTTTTGTTTTTGTTGTCTTTGCCATATTTGCAATAATGTTGTATTAGTGTAAAATTTAATTACGAATCTTTTTTTCTCTTCAATTTTTCTCTAAAATGAATAGTTTTTGAACTGCGTTGAAAAAAAGAGGGAAAAAAATGTAATTTTCTCCAATTTTTTCACTATTTGTTAAATAATATGTTTAGCACACGTTTTGAAGCGCGCGCATAGTGAAATTATGTTTTGTTGTATCATTTTGGAGTCATTAAAGCAAAAATTGGCGATATTATATAAAATGTCTACACCAAAACAGATCCCGCCTGGTCTAATACCAAAAAATTATCTGTGCAAACGTATCTGAAATATAAGTTGCGCATTTTAGATATCAAGAAGGAAGTGGCGGAATTAAGGGAACAAGAGAATAAATTAAAGTTGGACAAGGTAGATATCGACGAAAAGGTTAAAACTTATCGACATAAAGTAAAGGAATTGAAAGATGCCATACATCAGCTGGAAGTGAAGGTAATTAAAAGAATTTAGGGTACCGTAATTCCAATATTCTCCCAATATTAAGTTTACAGTACATGGTTTCTTGAAAATGGTTATATTACGTTAAGCAACGGCCTAAAAATTTGTTGGTCGTTATTCATTACCTAATTTTTCAGGATGTTTTTCTGTAAATAATGTATTTTTGTTTTCCGACAGTTATCGCACTTGAAACTACAAGACATTCCAAACGAGACTGTGGATGAACTTCAGAAATTCACGCCGGAGGAGTTGGAGAGCACGAACAAAGAATCCGTTGAAAAAAAATTACAAAAGGCCCAACGCCACCTAAAGGCCGCCAAACCCAACCTCGGCATTATTCAGGTAAGACCCAAGAAACCCGAAACTTTTCGTGATATATTTCTCTCCGATCCGTAGGAATATCGAACAAAACAAGACACGTACACGGAACGATCCAAGGAGTTGGAGGAGATCACGAATAAGAGAACGGAAATGAGGAAGTGGTACGACGACCTGAGAACGCAACGTAAAGAAGAATTCCTGAGGGGTTACAACATCATCAGATTGAAACTGAAGGAAGTGTACCAGATGATAACTTTGGGGGGCGATGCCGACTTCGAATTGGTCGACTCCTACGATCCGTTCGCTGAGGGGGTTCAGTTGAAGTACGTGCGACGGGGAAACGTAACGGAACGTAAATAATTATGTTGAATTTTAGCGTGAGGCCACCCAAGAAGTCCTGGAAGAAGATTTCCAATCTGTCCGGAGGCGAGAAAACTCTGTCTTCGTTGGCTTTAGTGTTCGCCCTTCATTATTACAAGCCCTCCCCTTTGTACGTCATGGACGAAATCGATGCCGCTTTGGATTTTAAGAACGTGTCCATCATCGGACATTACATTAAGGTGAGTGGCGTATGACCGGCCGTTATAGATTTTAGGGCTAATTAACAAAGACGTAGACCCATTTCGATTGTATCGTTTGCAAAAATGTTGGAAAACGTTCTAAAAAAAACAAAAGAAAATCTTTTTGATTATAGTCAGCGCGGCGTAAAAGTAAAAGTATTGGGATGTTCAATAAGTTTTCGCTGTTTTTTCGCGATTAATGCTGCTTCTAAAAAAATCCCATCTTGATACGACTTCGGCTCTTTTTGTGCTTTATTTCCTCGACTATAACTACAGACGTCAGTAGAATTCCCCACAAATGCTCTTTTTTTGTCACGAAATTCGTCAATTTTAGCACTATGAAAAAAAAAAAGTTTACACTTCCGCGAAATGACATACGTTGATGACAATGCGATTACTTTTAGGAACGCACTAAGAACGCCCAGTTTGTCATCATCTCTCTAAGATCGAACATGGTCGAATTCAGCGACAACTTGGTAGGCATCTACAAAACCGACAATACCACGAAAACTATTACGATCAACCCCAAGGTCTATGACAAACCATCTCCCTCAACAAATAATAATGTCGTCAATGCGGATAACATCGAAACCGGAAAGAGAAACGATGATAATGCCGACGTTAATGAGAACGTTAACAAGGAAACAGGGAGAGAAATTAATGGAATAAATAATGCCGTCAACGCAGATAACATTGAAACCGAAAAGAGAAACGATGTTAATGAGAACGTTAACAAGGAAACAGAGAAAGAAATTAATGAAATAAATAATGCCGATAATATTGAATCGTCCAAGTCCACGACATCTCCAGAAGTGGATGATATACCTGAGAGTTCTTGCAATTTAACAGGGAATTCAAACAATGTTAACGACTGTGAAGACATAGAAATGTGTTCTGAAGACAGTGAGGACCAAAGTGATACAGAAATACAGCCGTCTTATACACCAGAGGGAATGGAGGTAGACTCGTAGTTTTCGCCGAGATTTTTTCTGTAGAATTTTAATTCATTATTCACGTATACATCGTTTTATTGAGTTTATTAGACTTTTATTGCTCCCCATTTATACACTTCATTAAGCATTAGTATTAAATTTTGGAAAATTCATTTAAAATATATAGATACTTTTCTAGATACATATTTTTTTAATAATAAATATATTTTTTTGCATCGTTAAATTGTGTTTTATTTTTAAGTTTATTGATAAAATATAAATATTTTTTCATAGGAATTACTTCTTACAGACTAAGAAATAACAAGTAGTTTGAACTAAAAAATTTATTGAGATACGAAGATAGGTACACGTATATTATTAATCCGGAGGAAATCCCCAAACTTTCAAGCTCCCTGCATCTCTTTTTCTATCATAAGTGTCTTTGTCGTCGCATGCGTACGCCAAGAGGTACGTTGACGGATGCCAAGCTACCGTAAAAGTTGCCGCTTCGACGGAAATGTCTGCAATTTTATCTCCAGTCTCTACGAAACTTATATCTATTATTAAATCCTCAGAGGCTGAAGCCAGAAGTTGACCGTCATGACTAAAGGATATCGTTCGTACTGGCCAGTCCATTCTAAAAAAATACAAATATCCATATTTCTATAAACGAATTTGTTCTAAATTTACCTTGTAAACACTCTCGTGCATGCTAATTCGTTTATATCCCACAATGATACCAAAGCGTCTGCACTACCCGTTGCAAAATACTTCCCAGTAGGATCAAATTCAATACAAATACAAGTACCTGGATGAGCTTTTAAGATATGCTGTCTTTTCAATTCAGGATAACTAAAAAAAACATCACTGTACACCTTTACCAAGAAATATTACAATACTTACCTTAAGATATGAACACATCCTTGACCGTTTGTTAAAAAGAACAAATCGCTGGTGTTATTCCAAGATATTTCATTTACTTCAAAGTGGAATTGCTCTTCTGCTTCAATTTTGTGTGTTCTAGCATCAATGAATGTGACCAGGTCTTCCTTATTACCCACTGCTATTGCATTTCCGTTTGGTGACCACGTTATATTGATATTTTCCCCTTTAGTATTTATAGTTGCCACACATTTCTGAACTCTGGTATCCCATATTCTCACAGATTTGTCTCCACTAGCAGTGCTAAGTAGATCTGGATGGGTCTGATGCCAACACAATTGATCGACTGATCCACCATGACCTTTAAATGTAATTTCTTTATTCTACAAAAAAGAAAAGAAGTAGATTTCCTTTATTTTATTAATATAATCAGCTTACTAGTCTCTCTCTGTCTAAAGTATATATACAAACAGATTTGTCAAATGATCCAGAAGCAAGTCTTTTGCCATCACAACTCCAACCAACAGAATGCACTTTAGAGGAATGTCCTAAATATTCTTTAGATTTATTATGATATTGGAAATAATTTTGCAATTCCTCAATTTTCTTCTGGAACTTTTTCATAACTAGATAATAAACAGGTATTACTCAAACCCACAATAACTTAACAATGGCCGGTTAATTTCAAGTTAGCTTTTTTAAAATGGTAATGGTTTGACATGAATGTAGGTACAAATACATGTGTTCAAATCCATGCCATGCCATAGCAAAAAAATATAATAAGACGGCCAAATATTACATCAGGAAGGACGCAATAGATGTTTTTCATCCACTGAAAATATGTTTATTTTTCATAGTTTTATGCCAACATCTAAATTTAAATTTAAATACTTCCGTTACTGCTTCGATATTGCTGTTGCTTTACTACACTTACTTACATTTACATTTGGTAGAATCTATATATAGTGAAAAATATTACTACACATAATATAATAATAAAATGCATAAACTATTTTATGCTTTATGATCCACCTTAGCAAAGCGCATCCCAGGCTGCATAGCCGCACTACCCTACCCAACCATACCACACATAAACATGACACTACCCCCGGGGTTTACACAGGGCGAAGCAAGAAGAGCGGCAGAAGAAAGGGCCCTAGCCGGCGGGGCCCAGCCAGGACAAAAGGAGGTCCCACAAAGCGCCTACACCGGCCGCATTTGCGGTCGGGGTAGACGACGGATGGGGCCCACCTACGAAGGCTGTCCAGGCCTACACGAGATGAGGCAGGATAAAGAGGGATAATCCCCCTCGATCCCAAATCATTGAGGCCAATCTCTAGCCATAGAATAATGGCGCTTTATGATCCGGAGACAATAGATTTACAAAAAGAAATTCCATTTGCTCGTTTGTGTTCATGTCATTTATAAACTGTGATAAAATTAATAATTTCAGGAGGCATTTTTATTGTCCCAATTAATAAAACGCTTGTGTAATAATAATAAATGCAGAACAAGTAAATCATCTTTTATTAAATGCATAAAATCTAAATTAATAATATAAATTCTAAGGGAAAGATATATTTAAAATACGCAGTATGAATTAGTGATTGCGGTATAAATTATGACATCAGTTCTCTTATCTACAGGACGTGTATTTCCTGAAAAAGAGCTAAGTATAATAATCACATTACCTTCAATCGAAGTATACTGTTGTTAGGTGACTGAACATTACAGAATGGATGACGATATTATAGAAAAACCGTCTTGTAAAATTTTGTATCGTCAGTCCTCTTTAGAAACTAGGCTGTCTCCAATACACTTATCCGACAACTCTAGCTCTGACTCTGAATATGAAGAAGAAAAGGATGCCCCGAAGATAATAGAATGCAAGCCAAAATCGGAATCCAGTATTAGTGAAAATAACCAGGGAACTAAACCAAAATTCAACAACCAATTCAAGGAAGAATTAAAGCAAAAATTAGGAAAGAATTTGCAGAAAAATAAAAATGGTAATAAATCCACATTTTCTAACAAATTTTCAGCTAATAATGAAAAGGACAATGTATCAGTTATGGGTCAAAATAAACTCGCGATGGAAGAGAAAATTAAGCAAGTGGATTTAATGAGGATAGCAGATAATACTACAAAGGAAGATATATCATTAGTAGGTTCTATGAAAGGTAAACAAAAATTACCTAAATTAATAAATTAATTATTAGATAAATGCAATAATAATATTCTTAATATTTTTTAATAGAATAAATTTAAATTATTCATTTTGATACTGACGTATAAAATTATTTTTTTAATTAAATTGGAGTTATTCCTACAATATAATAAATATAAAACATTTTATTGAAAAATAAAAAGATTTTTTCTAACAAGAGGTATACTATTAAAAAAATAACTTTTAGTCTTCATTTACAGCATTGACTTTACCAAAAAAAGAAGTAGAAGAAGAAACCGTGGGAGACGGTTGTAAAAGTGAAGAAATGGCGACTGCAAGGCCCAAATCTCCTAAACCTGTTGCCATTAGGGGCGAAAAAGATGAATCAATTTGGGACAAATTAGGAACTTTAGGTCGCAAAAAACGTATTAAGGAAGGTGAATGTTTATGTTTCCTTAATAGACTTATTGTAATCCTCATCATTACCAAATATGGTTATGTTTACTATTATTAGGAAATGTCAAAAGTAGGTGTGGTAAGTTAATATTTTGAATTTCCAGTTCAAGAGGTACAAGCTGAGGGCAAATATGCAATCGACTCTCCAGGATGCCCTGCTGCTCCTATAATTCCACCAGAAGAATATAATCTTGGTCTGTACACATTTGTAAAGTGACCGATTACCTGAACAATAACTTGTTTTGTAGATGATAACGAAGAAAGGTGCATGATTGATAAAAGAGCATATGATGATCCCAAGTTTAACGAGTTACTGAATGTTTTGATGGAATGGGTAAATGATGAATTAGCTTCACAGAGGATAATTGTTCAAGATTTGTCGGAAGATTTGTATGACGGACAAGTTTTGCAGAAGTTATTAGAAAAATTGACGGGAGACAAGTTAGATGTACCAGAGGTTACTCAGTCAGAGGAGGGCCAGAAACAAAAACTATCAGTAGTGTTAAGTCACTTTAATCAAGTAAGTTATTGGTTAATTAATATACTTTTATTTTCCTAAACTTGCTCTCTTTGAAACTAAAATCCAATGATACATTTACAGGTTTTGGGAATACAGAGAATAAAGCACAACAAATGGAGCGTTGAAGCTATTCATTCCAAAAATATTGTCGCGATCACACACCTGCTAGTGGCGTTAGCGAGGCATTTTCGACCACCCGTACGTTTACCCGAACATGTATCAGTAGATGTAGTGGTTGTTCAGAAGGTTAAAGGGGTATTGAATCACAAAATCATAAAGGAAAGCCTTACTAAAGCATATGATGACGTAGGCATGAGGTGTGAACGCGATGCGTTTGACACCCTCTTTGACCATGCTCCAGACAAGCTGCAGGTTGTGAAGAAGGTATGTACTTTGAGCTAAAAGTATCGGTATCACTTCTCATGTAGTCCTTCGTCATGTTTTGACTATATGATTATATTTTTAAGAAAAAAAAAAAAACAAATAAAATTATTTCTTTCAGTCTTTGGTAACTTTTGTTAACAAACATTTAAACAAGATGAATTTCGAGGTCACAGAAATAGAAAGCCAGTTCCACGACGGAGTATATCTGATTATGTTGATGGGCTTATTGGAGGGATTCTTCGTTCCACATTACAGCTTCCACTTAACCCCTCACGAGTTTGACCAAAAAGTTCACAATGTGACGTTTGCATTTGAACTTATGGAGGAGGTGGGTTTGCAAAAGCCCAAGGCCAGGCCAGAAGGTAAATCTTTGAAGTCATTTTAAAATATCGAGATCATAAAACAAATTTTGTTTTAGATGTGGTGAATATGGATTTGAAATCTACCCTTAGGGTGCTTTATAATCTGTTTTTGAAATACAAGACGATCCTTTGAATGAGAAATGAACGAAATTGGTGCCTTATACTGCCTTTAATGTTGCCTTGGATATTAATCTCGTATAACGTTACTGACAATTTTATAATTCCCTTTTAATTAAAAAAAACGCTAAACTATTTTATAAGTATTTAATGAATTATGTATAAAATACATCATAATCTGTTTTAATAAAAAATATTAACTAACGCTGCTAGTTATTTAAATAATAATCAACAATGTCCTTTAAAAGTGTTTCATTTTCTTCCGATTCACGTACTACGTGAGGAAAATACATATCGTGCAGTATTTGCAATCTATTTTCACAGTTCTCTGGTGATATCGAGCAGGTTGCTATTAAATACGCCCTTTGGTTCTTCTTTGCACAAACCGACGTACTATCAACTAAAGCTGTCACGATTAAGGCACTTAGAAGAGGATCGTATTTATCAGAATGTAAATTGCAATAAATTTCTAAATTAGGCAATATTACTACATCGGGTACTTTATGCCACAAGTGAATGCCATTTAAGTGTGAAATCAGTTCCTTATAATCTTTGAGATAACTAAAAATTGATATATCGGTAATATTCCTACTTTTATTTAAGTTTCGACTTACAGAAATGTTATTAATTGTAATATTTCTTTCTCGGGCGCAACTATATTCTCTGGTATTTTATCGAACGTCTCCGGAGATATAAACCACACTTTTAAACCAGATTCAGCGAATAAAATCGCAGCCTAAAAAGTTTTGGTAATGAATTTTGATTATGCTGAATAAATATTTATATTTACATACCTTGAATAGTACATAATCAAAATTGTTTCCCAATAATAATGTGGAGTAGATATTTTTAGGATTCATTTCTTTGAAATGCCGACAACATGGCAAATGTAATCAAAAAACAACACAAACCTAACCTCTATCACTTCAGAGAAGTGTCACTGCTGCCACTGTAAAGGTTAAAAATAACAATAGTTCTTTAAAAAATTTATTACAAATAGCTAAAGACAAAGATATTAGAATTCTTCATCAGACATTACAAGACTTTCTGAATCACTTAATTCTAAATTATTTTCTTCCAAGTATTTACTGTATTGTTGAGGTATTCTCTTGAATCGTTTTATCTTTTGCCGGATTTGTTTCCAAGTCTCTTGATTATAATTTTTAATATCTCGAGCCATTGCTTTGTAATCCTTTCCATATTTTTTCATCAAATAAGTTATCCATTCTACCTGACCTTTAGGTAACTGGAATCTTCGTTCCCTAGGTGCTTTAGCATCTGCTTCTAAAACTTCTACAACTTGCAATTTTTCCTTACTAGGTTGTTCTTCTACTACCGTCTCATTCCAATCATTTTTATTGGACAATAACGAAGCTTTAAATTCCTTTTTTGAGTTTGGAATTTTTATAGTTTTATTAGGGTTATATGACAATCCCATCTCTGTTAAGTTTGTTTCGACGGATTTTGAACTTTCCCAAGCATTTTTCACCTCTTTACTGAAAACAAAATTTTATTATAAACAATCTTTATACATCATTTGTTGTAATACCATCCTATATTTCCAACGCTGTATATTTTATTTCGTAGTCTTTTTCTGTTAATATTATGCCTATACACTTTTCGTCTTCTTTGTTTTCGTAATTTTGTCATTTTTATTTAGATTAAATAAACAATTTCTCTTGTGCTTAATTTTAAAAAGTAAATTCTACAGCCCTACACAATATTCCAAAAATCAACTTATGGATGTCAATGTCAATTATCAATTGTTATATAGAGGGCGCAGACATACAGACAAACAACACCCCCGACATAAAACATATAATAGAACCACATACTATAGAAGTATGTGAATAGAACCCACGATCCGTAAAAAAGACGGACCGTGGGGCGTGGACTACATCACAGACTACCAACCTTTTAAATTTGTGAATGTTCTCTATTTGCGGGCTCAATTTGAGTAACCTTGAACCACTTACATTTCATATATGAAAATAAAATTAAGAGTACCCTATCGCTCTTTCTCTCTAAGGGATCTAAACTTTTTAGTACTTAACTTTAACACTTAATATGCGGTGGTATGTATGTATATGCTCTGAAATATATTAGGTAAATTAAATTTGATAACTATCTACCATGGAGACTAATCTCCCTGCTATCTACATTGAATTTTGTTGAACAAAATTTGAAAAAATTAATAAATATTCAAACACATTGAGAATGATTGACAACCACTGAAATTATAACACGATTTTCAAAATTCAGTTATCTTGTCATTTAAAAAAAATGTATATTCCGAGAAATATCAACCAGCCTGTACTTATCTTTGTTAATAACTTTTTTCATTTCTTGTGGATTCTGTTTATACAAAAAGTTGCTGTAATGTTACATTTACTACAATAATAAAAAATATGTTCAGTAAGGTAAGCATGTAAAATTTATTTGTTTATAAAACTAGATAATACAAATTCTTACACTGAACACAATTCGAGAACCACTTGACTTCCCGGTACCTGATTGGGTTGAGTATTGCTTAATTCTAGATTATCTTCCACTTCCTCAGTGATAGAATGTTTCGTTCTGTGATGAAATTTGAGAACGTTCATGTTAACGAAAGTTTTGTCACAGAACTTACAGGCGTAAGGACCGGGGTGACTGACGAGGTGGACTTTCATATTGTACGAAGACGAAAACCCTTTCTTGCAGTACTGGCAAGAATAAGGCCGTACACCGGTATGCAAATATTCGTGTTTATGCCCTTCTCCCGTGGAAAAAAATCGTTTATCACAGTACTTACAAGCATACGGACGAATACCTGTATGAGTAAGGGTATGGCGTTTCTTAGCATTCAGAGTGTAAAATTTTTTGTCACAAAATTCACAGCAATATTTTCGTTCGTTGGTGTGCAATTTCATGTGATAGAAAAGTCCTCCTTTGTAATGAAAAGTTTTACCGCAGACGGGACAAACACACTGAGCAACATTTCTTTGTGTGTGACTTTGGACGTGGGTTTTTAGACCATTTGAGGTGAAAAACTTTTTTTCACATAATTCACACTCAAATTTTCTTTCGCCGTGTTTTGTGAGCTTATGGTACATGAGAACATTCCTGTTTCGTAAAGTTTGGCCACAAATGTCACATTTATATTTTATAGGTTCCGTACTGTGTGCCGTTTTTTCATGATAATTCAGGAATTTCTTCTGTTTAAAGATTCTCGGGCACAAATGACATTTTAACGCAAAAATTCCTCCACTTTCATTTTTAATCACATTATACTGTACTTTTTTACAAGATTCTAAATGTCTTTTAAATCTCCCCTTAGATGAAAACATTTTGTCACAAATATTGCATTTCAATTGCATACTTAAGGCACTCTGAAATAAATCTTGATCTGCATCGGTAAAATTTTTTAAACCAAATTTTTCCAAATTAAAATTTGCCTTACAAAAGTTGTTTTTAGCATTTTGAATGAATTGTTCATCATCTTGAGTTATTATATATTGATCTAAACATTCTAAAGTGGGTTTTAATTTTTTTGTGACATTTTCATTTTTAGTCGGAGATTCTAATTTTTCAATCTGCAATATTGCTTTTTCTTCATGCACACTCTTTTGGAGGCTTTTAGCTTTATTAACGAATTTAGCTGTAACAGTTTTCCCAAGATTATTTAGGAAACCCTTGAAATTTTCTTCGTCCGACTTTTCTTCTTCTACAATAAGAATATCTTTTAAATCATATTTACTGGATCCTACTATTATTTCTACATGTGAAGTTTCATCAGAAAGATCTTCAGTTTTTGATTCAGAGTTTTCATTATTTAACTTAAAAGGGTCCGACATATTTTTGAAATGTTGTAACAGTATTTTTTCGGATTTTTTAAATTGAATTTTCAAATTGTATGATATTTTAAGAAGTCCTTGGCACATTGCGCAAATTACTTCAGGATACCCTTTATTACAAGTTATCTGCAAATGTATTAGCACAAAATAAATCTGTAAGTAGCAGGAAAATATTAATATTACCGTATAGCCTACAACTTCTTCTAGAGCTTCCTTAATTAGAGGACTTTTTTCAATATTTTCCAAATTTGTGTTTAAAGGAATAATATTTTTGCTTTGCGTTAAACATATTCTACAAAGAGATTTAATATTTGTTAGTTCATTTATATAACTCATATTAATTTTTAAATCATAAACAAATATAACTTGGTTTCTTGGTTATGTTTATGATTTATGAATCTCTAATCTAATCTCTATAGGCCATAGACTAGGAGTGATGGTCGAATCAATATTCTTAGTCCTTGGTCGAAATGTGAGGTAAACCATGAGGGCCTTTCGATTTGGCAAAAATAGTAGCTATTAGTAGCTAATAGCATGTTAGAGTTACTCTGAACTGATATTAGTTGTTAATAGGTACTATTTTTGCAAAAACGAAAGCCACCTGGTAAACTGAAAATAAAAAGTCACGTGACTTTAGGGCGTTTGCATTATTTATTATTTACCAATCAGAGCTATGTTATGTTTGGCTTTTATGATTCTTGGATTGGCAGTTGGCACTATCCATAGTCAAGTAGATTATTAATTAAAGTCAGTTGTCACAGAGTTGTCAGTTCAAGTATTCCTTATCTTTCGATTTCTATTCTTTTCACTAACCTATTTTTAAAGTTTCAAATTTTTGACGTTTTCTTTAAAAATAACAGATTTTTTTCAAAATGACTTTTATCAAGAATATGGAAGATATAAAAGGTTTGTGCAGGATATGTTTAACATCAAGTGAAAACATGATTTCATTAAACGATAACCTGGATGACAAAACTACAAACAGTCCCCTCATTATAGATGTTTTGGAAAATTTACTTGTGGTTAAGGTAGCATTATTTCTTATTCTATTTCATTTTTGTTTGGCCATTTTTTTGTGCAATTTTCTCAATTCTCACAGTTAAATAGATTTATCCAGTAATAATTGGAAAAATGAATGTGTCAAGAAAAATACGAGTATGAATATGTAGCTTCAAACTTAACAGAAGACATTATTATAGTCAAGGAAAGTAAATATTGGCTTTTATTTTTAGGTAGACGGTGATGTTGATTATCCAATAGATGTATGTCATTTATGCCGTGGAAATCTTAGAATTTTGTATGACTTGAAAATTATGTTTAATAAATCCCAAAATATCTTACGAAGATATATATCTTCCCTGCAGCAGTTTGATGTAATGGATCCTTTAAATAATAGTAATATTTTGACACTTTCGTCATACAAAAATGAAGACTCTATGAGCAGTACTGCGAGTCCTGCAGGCATGAATGAAATAGAAAATGATTCATCACAGGATAATGACTTATCTCAAGATAATGGTCAGAAAAAAAGTGTGAGGATTCAAGTTGCTACAAAAAAGCCAAAAATCGTCACAGTAAAATGGTTAAATGGGAATAAATTTCTAATAGAAAATACTAAAAAATCTTTTAAGTGCACCCATTGTAATAAAGTATTTCCGTCTGAAGAACAACACTTGAGTCATTCGAGGACATGCAAAAAAAATATAAGTTGCAAATTTTGCAAAAATACATTTTATTCCGAAAGAAGTCTTCGATGTCATTTGAGGATGCACCATCACACTAATCCACCCCTTGAAATAAAGTGCGAGATTTGTAACAAAACTTTTAAAAATTACAATGCAAGGTCGTATCACAAAATCACAAGGCACAATACAGAAGGAAAAAAATATTCATGCGAGGTTTGTGGAAAAGCTTTTTACTTTAAAAATAGCTTAAGCCAGCATCTTGAGTGCCACAGTAGAGATGTTTCTAGAGTCGTTTGTCCAATTTGTGGGAAATCTTTCCATTATAGAGGTATGTTGTTCATTTACTTCGACACTAGCACTTGTTGGGGAGGTAGTAATAACACAAATGTATTTTTAGGAGGACTTTTCTACCACATGAAAATCCACAGGAACGAACGCAATTACGTTTGCAGTTTCTGCAATGGCAAATTCTTAAATATGGCGAGTTTAAAGCGACACACCCGGATTCATACCGGAGAGAGACCGTACACCTGCACTTTTTGCCCGAAAACGTTCTGCTCGATAAGCGAAGTTAGAACCCATGAAAGGCGACACACGGGGCAGAAACCTCACAAGTGTAAATACTGCCCGAAGAGATTTATAACTCCATACAACCTTAAACTACATACCTCGTCACATACTGGTACAAAACCGTGCGGCATATGCAGAAAATCTTACTTGAATGCAGAGGTTCTCAAATATCACATGGAAATGAAACATAACATAAAAGAAGTGGCGGTATAAAGAGGAAATCAAAATGTATCGAGTTGGGAATTTTGACGGAAAAGTGATTAAATTTAAACTGATAAAATTTTTTTAGTTATGTGGTGGATTTTAATTATAAGCTTTAAAATAATTTTCTCATTTAATAAATGGATCTGTAGATCAATGTATTTTTCTTTCAATAAATCCTTTCCGTAACAAAAAAAATTTTAAAAATACTATATAAGTACAAATCGTATAGATAACACAAATGCAGAACACAATATAGTCATATACAGTATATTTTCATAAAGGCTTAAAATATTAATAATTAAAATTGTTAATACTTATTGAGAACTTCTGGAATCGTACTCAAGTTACACACTGCATAAAAAGAGGTAAATAGTAGTAGCCATGGAACATGGAACGCTATTCGATTCTTTGTACCATTTTTTGAAGTAAACAAAAATTGCTTGTTCAATTTTAAGTGTTAATCAGTTCTATTTTATTTTTTATTCTGTTTAGAAATAATTATTGAATATTAAATTATCCAGAATTTGTCTTATTATCAAAATTTCATAGAAAATTTTGGCTCCAACTAGGAAGATAAAATATGGGCAGAAGAGTACTAAAATGTGCCAAAAATTCCACTAGATCGCATGGGATTTGAATATTTTAATAAATTGTTATCAAATTTGTAGTCAAATTAATACATATTAGAATTCATCACGTCTGTGTAAATAAGACAACACAGTAACAATGAATGAGGTTCATGTTTAGCTTGTATCTTTTAGGCTTTCATGCGGGTCACTATGTTGGAAATAAGCAAAATCAAAACAAATTTTTAGGTTGGGTCCGACTGAATACTTACCTGGTTCTATGTTCAGTGAAGAACGAAGTTCTGTGGTTGAGAGGGAATAAGGTTAGAATATAAGGTTAAGTTTTGTTGTTGGGAATAAATGGAATAAAGTGTGTGTCGTACTTTGCATTATTATTAAAAGAAAACCTAAAATAAAAAGGCCAATATAACAGAAAAATCAACAGGTTATGGGCCCAGATTGCTCCGCTAATAAAATAAAAATATAAAATAGTAAAAATCTAAGAAGATGGCGATGGAATTAGAAGATCACGTGCAAATAGAGAAACTAGTGGATGAAAGTTCCTATCAAATTTGGAAGTTTCAAATAACTGTAACATTGAAGGCCCACAGTCTATTTGAAATTGTAAATGGAGACAGTAACGTGGAAAATTTAACTGAAGCAAATGCAATACTAGAATGGAACAAAAAAGATGCCAAAGCGCAGAAGATCATAGTAACATCAATCGATAAGCGGAATATAGTTCATATTATGGATTGCAAAAACTCGAAAGAAATGTTTGACAAAATTAAAAACATCTATGAGAAAAGTTCAACAGATCAAATCTGTAGCCTTCTGCAAGAATTTTATGGTTGTAGATACGAAAAGGGTTCCGATATGAGTATACATATAAGCAAAATAAAAAACATTGTTCATAAATTGAAAGCGCTACAACAAACAGTTGATGAAAACATGATAATTTCGAAAATTATATCTACCCTGCCTGAAAACTACAGATATTTTGTAACGGCTTGGGAGTCGATGAATACAAACGAAAGAACCCTTGAGAAATTAACAGCAAGATTATTAGTAGAAGAAGGGCGGAACAAAGTTAAAGAAGATGAAAGTGAAGTTGCTTTCCAAACAACTGAGAGAAGAACTAGAAAACCCAACATAAAAGATGAAAAAAAATTGAAGGAAGAAAGAAAATGCTTTAAGTGCGGAACTGTAGGACATATTGCAAGAAACTGTTCAGGTGAAGGTACAAGTAGGGAAACAACCCCAGGAAGAAGAAAGTATAAAGAATGCAGCATATGTAAAAAGACAAACCATCTCGAGCAGAATTGTTTTTTTAGAAGGAAAACAAATCATGACAGAAATAAGATAGCTTTCCTAACTGAAAACGGAAACTCCAGTAGTCAATATTTTGTTGTGGATTCCGGAAGCTCGTCGCATATGGCAAATTCAAGAGATATGTTCATTAACTTAACAGAAACACAGTCAAGCATAAACGTAGCAAAGAAGAATGAGAAAATGATAGCAAAAGAAAAAGGAACAATCGAAACGGAGTCATGCATATTGAATGACGTTCTGTACATACCAGATTTGCGAAGAAACCTGCTCTCAGTAAGTGCAATTACAGAAAACAATGGGGAAGTAACATTTACAAAAGAAAAGGTAATAGTAAAGAAAAACGATAGAAAAGTACTGGAAGGAAATAAGCAAGAAAATGGTATATATGTTATAGATTTGAATAAGAAAATAGACGAAGAAGAAGAGAGTTACTTAGCGGAAGAAACTAAATTAAAACTATGGCATAGAAAACTTGGGCATATGGGACTAGAAAATCTAAAGAAGCTAACAGAACAATCAATTGGAATGACATTAAATAAAAAGGAAATGAATAAATTAGAAGAAATATGTGAAGTTTGTTTACAAGCTAAACAAACTAGGCTTGCATTTAATACAGTAAGAAAAAGGGCAAAAAGACCGCTTGAAATTATACACACAGACATTTGTGGACCGATAGAACCGATAACATGGGATGGAAAAAGTTATATCTTGACAGTTCTCGATGACTATACACATTACAGTAAAGTTTATTTGCTAAAAACCAAAGATGAGGCATCTGAATACTTAAAGGAGTTTATAATGGAGGCTGAAGCTTATAAAAATGTAAAAACACACAAAATTCGGTGTGACAATGGTGGTGAATATGCGAATGCCAACTTCAAGCAGTGGTGCAGAAACAAAGGAATTATTTTAGATTACACCATACCTTATAGTCCGCAACTGAACGGCAAAGCAGAGAGGCTTAACAGGTCACTTTTAGAAAAGGCAAGAGCCTTAATATTCGACTCTAAATTAAACAAAGAATTTTGGGGTGAAGCGGTTTATGTAGCTACCTACTTACTGAATAGAAGCCCTACGGATACAGTAATAAAAACTCCCACTGAATGCTGGACTGGAGAAAAGCCAAACCTATCAAGATTACAAGTATTTGGATCAATCGCGTATGCGAAAGCATTGGGTTATGTTAAAAAACTTGATTCGAGAAGCAAAAAGTATATATTCGTAGGTTATTCACTAAATGGTTATCGACTTTGGGATGAGAAATTAAGAAAAATAGTGGTATACAGAGATGTGATATTTGGAGAAACAAAAGAAACCTTAGGCGAAACTGTAATTGTTCATATACCAGAAGATAAAGAACTTGAAGAAACAAGTGAAGAACCTGAAAATGAAAACTTGAGAAACTCGGAGTCCAGTACCAGTGAAGAGATGATTAGTATAGATTCCGAAGAAAATGAACAAGAAGTTGCAAGATTAGGAGAAGGAGAAAATTATCCAGAGACAAGTAGAGGAAGAAAAATAAAGCTGCCAGAAAGATTTAAAGATTATGTACTGGAAACAGAAGAAGAAGCATTATTAACATATCATGAAGCAACAAACGGACCCGAAAAGGAACAATGGACAAGTGCCATAAATGAAGAAAAGACATCGTTAAAAAAAAACAGTGCTTGGGTGTACATAGACAAAACTGAAGTGAAAAATAAGAAAATTCTGACGAGTAAATGGGTTTTCCGAGTAAAAGATGATGGCAAATACAAAGCGAGACTAGTTATAAGAGGATGTCAACAAAGAAATGGTTTTGACTACAATGAAACGTTTAGCCCTGTCATAAATACAACTTCTCTTCGAATTTTATTTGCATTAAGTGCTAAAAATGACATGAAGATAACAAAATTTGATATAAAAACAGCGTTTCTGTATGGGGACCTAGTTGAAGAAATATTTATGGAAATACCAGAAGGGTTCGAATGCAAAGACAACGAAAATAAAGTCTGTCAACTAAAAAAGGCTCTGTATGGACTAAAACAAGCGCCTTTAAAGTGGAACGAGAAATTTAGTGGTTTCTTAAAATCAAATGGATTAATTTGTCTGAAAAGTGATCAGTGTCTGTTTACCAATAAACAGCGAACTTTATGTCTAGCGATATACGTAGATGATGGTATCGTGTTCAGCAGAGATGAAAAGGAACTGTTAAATCTAATGAAAAGTTTAAAACAACAGTTTGAAATGACAATGTGTGAAAATCCTGATAGATTTTTAGGAATAGATATTTCACAACAACCTGGTAAAATAAAATTAAGCCAAAGACACTATGTAGAATCAGTTCTGTGCAAATTTAATATGGAGAAAGCTAAAACAGTACCTACACCTATAATATCCAACAAATTGAACACCGAGATGAAAACTAAATTAAATTATCCTTATAGAGAGGCAATCGGTAGTCTCTTGTACCTATCAAATAAAACCAGACCCGACATTTCCTACCCAGTTAATTTTTGTAGCAGAAAAATAGAAGATCCCATGGACGAAGACGTTGTAAGTGTTAAACGTATTTTTCGTTACTTAATTGGGTCAAAAGGTGATGGAATATGTTATGAAAATAATAATTCAAAGAAATTGACAGCATACTGTGACTCGGACTATGCGGGAGACACTGCGACTCGTAGAAGTACTACTGGTTACATAATATTCTACTGTAATGGACCAATTTCTTGGGGATCCAGAAGACAACCAATCGTTTCGCTTTCAAGTACTGAATCGGAGTATATAGCTGCAGCTGACACTGTGAAAGAACTTTTGTACATCAAGTCAGTGATTGATGAGCTTACTGGTGACGATATCGAGATAGACTTAATGGTGGACAATCAAAGTGCCATAACAATAATAAAAAACGGTCAGTTTAATAGACGCAGCAAACACATAGATGTAAGATACCATTTTATAAGTGAAAAGGTACATGAAGGTCTAGTTAACTTAAAATACTGTGCTACTGAAAATCAAGTTGCAGATACTTTAACAAAACCTCTTGGAACTGTGAAATTTCAGAGGTTCAAAAAACAATTTATGTGTGAATAGTAATGTTACATTATTCATTGTATTTTGTATGTAGTCAACCTAACCTAAAAATTGGAGAAGGTGTTGGAAATAAGCAAAATCAAAACAAATTTTTAGGTTGGGTCCGACTGAATACTTACCTGGTTCTATGTTCAGTGCAGAACTAAGTTCTGTGGTTGAGAGGGAATAAGGTTAGAATATAAGGTTAAGTTTTGTTGTTGGGAATAAATGGAATAAAGTGTGTGTCGTACTTTGCATTATTATTAAAAGAAAACCTAAAATAAAAAGGCCAATATAACAGAAAAATCAACACACTACATATAAAGAAAAAAAAGGTGATTTGAACTATGCCCTTCGAATGAATGAATGTATTAAACGTGTTTGTACATTTTTTGGCCTGACGTGCTTAAACAACGTTGAATTCAAATGTGTACAAAAAAATGTATTACAGCTGCCACACTGGGTATTTTTATTTTACAACCTAATTTTTTTGTTCCGTGTGTGTATGTAATATTCTCATAATGAATGCCAATAAAGGATTTTGATAATTTATTATAGAAGTTTTATATACAGGGTGATTCAAAAAACCGCTGACAGACTTCTGGAAGTTTCTATAAAATTAAACATTGTAATAATTCCAAAATGCCTGAAGATTTCTATTTCAAATTTGCTATGAGTAGTTAGCACCTTAAGACCAATGTTTGATGTACTGCTAAAAACTTTACGAGTATCGTAGAGACGGGGTCAACGTCACCCATTTTTAAAAACATTTTCTACGCCACTGCTAATTTTGTCAAACGGGCACTATTTTCATGTAAAGTGTTCAATTGTCTATCGAATTGGTCTCTTGCAAAATTTTTACTTTTTGTCTTAATTTTGCACGTTTGCGAGCGGTTTTTTGAATCTCCCTGTATAGGCCAGCCCTGCCTTTCATGTTTTACTAACCCAATTTAAAAAAACGATGCTAATACCTTCATTTATATACAAACCCAGATGAGACGACCTTCCAGTTGAAATAGGGAACAGGTTATAGACGATATAAAACAATCGGTTACATTTTATATACCTTTATTCTATAAATCTTAATTTAGCTATATATTATTTACAAAATACACATGATCCTGTTATAACATGGTCTCACATTTATCCACTTATTTAATAATAACTTCCATCAGTGGAGAGTGATGGACAAAAGTAGTTTGGGTTAAAATTAACTGGCGGAATTGCAAACAAAAAAAATTACAACCCGGCAAACGAATTCATTTGAATCACCAAATATACATCTTTCTATAAAAAATGCTCATAGATTTGCATCTTTTGGCACGATCACTTTAATCCACCGGAATAAAAATAAACCAAGGTGCAAATATTTGCACTTGGCGAGTGTATTTTTAAATAACCTTCGCAGAACTTCACCCGAATTTCATTTACTTTTCAATTCGTCACGTTGCACGTTAGTTAATCGTTTAGCCCAAACTATAAGCATCAAACTGCTATAATAACTTACACTTATGCTTAAATACTAATAGAAAAGCAATGAAATAGAAAAATATAGAACATATCTCACTGATTAATTATACGTACAACTAGAACTTTAATAAAATTTAAAATCCTAAAAAACAGATAACGAATGGTTATATTAAAAGCATACAAAGTATATTTACAAAAAGCATACCACTCGACAAAGTCAGTTCTTAATGTACAAAAGTACAAACCTTTCTTTTGGCCCGTTTTCGGTTTCTCCTCAATTAGATTTACAATTAACAACTTAACAATTGCTTTTTACCTCTAAAGACTCGTGCCTATCGGCTGGGTTTTATTAGCGGTTGACCTAGACGGAATAAATGGATCAAAGAAATTGTCTTGTCCATATAGAGAGTAAGACTGGTATTCTATAGAGATGTGCCGTGGACATGTCGTCAAAAGTAGACATGTCCTGAGGACACTTTTCAAGATTGAAAAGTTGTATGCGCATGAGCGGAATTATTTGTTGCATTCATAATTCCCGCAAACATTTTTTGAGGTTGGTACATGTAAAATTAAAGATATTTAGTAATTTTCTTGTAATTTTGTTGGTAATTGTTTAACTGAAAGTGACATTTTAAAAATATAATCTGTTTTATATGTCCATATTTTATTATTTTTGGTAAAATAACAATTAGTAAATAATAATCAGTTGATTCTTAAACAAATAGTTTATAAATGAAGTATTAAGCCAAAATCAACAGTTTGGTTATATTTTTCTGAATTGAGTAAAAATCATTATAAACTTAACTTCTGCTCAAAAACAATTTTTAAGAATTCCAGTAGGATGGAAAAACATTTAAATAAGTTTGGCTGTCCGGGTAAAATTATAAACCAGTTTATAAAAAAGTTTAAAGGTAGGTAATAAGTAAAATATATCGACACATGTTCATTAGAATAAAAGTAATATTTTGCTTTGTGTACCATCAAGCAGTGACCCGTGAAAACATGACGTCACTCATAGGTGCCTTATTGACATGTCCAGACATTTCATCGACATGTCTAACAGGCATGTCCGTAACAAACGTTTCCGAAAAGTGCCCATCTCTAGGATTCTATCTTATTAAGATTAAGGTTATTACGTGATCGTTTCGGAGATCTTTATCAGAATTAAGTGTATTTAAAATGAATGGGTAAAACAAGTTTCTAATTTAACCCATACACAGGGTGTTTTTAAATGAAGGAGCACATATAACTTTGAGGCCAAAATATGCTAATTGGGCTCAATACATCCAGTTGTTTCGTTTGCGGGCTACAGGCAACTAAAGCAGGGGACCTATACCGTTTATTCCATATTATTTATAAGCAAATACGAACACAGTGGAATCTCTCTTAGACAGACACCGAGGTGATTATAAGAATTTGTACGTTCAAAGGAAGTGTCCTTTTAACAGAAAATCATTAAAAAATGGTCAAAAATAGTAAAAATTTCCTTTTCCGGTGCCATTTTCAACAACACCAAACAAATATTGCACGTCTTGTAAAACTTAATTAAATAAATTATAAAAATAAACAGGAAATCAAATTGTGCCTGAGATTGGGGTTTTCCGACGGCTGATCTTACATCCTAACAGCAAAAATATGCAATTTTTTTTATAATTCATGGAAAACGAAGATTCACAGTGCAGAGGTGGCGTTTGTTTTAATATTTCACTGGTACTACTTTTTGTGTCAGTTAAAAGGAGAATCTGCCCAAGTGGATTACACAAGTGCTATTACAGAAAGCTGCCAAGACAAAACAAAACTGTCCATCCATCGGCGACCACATATAGGAAGTGTCTGTTAAGAGAGATTTTACAGTTTCTGGAATTAGTGTCGTCGGCTCTCATAAACAAAGTATTATACTACAGGATACTTAAAATCTTTCAACATTTGACGGTTTACAAAACCTCTCATTCTCGACTAGATCTTACCAATATTCCTTAGCAGATATGAGAATAGCATGCCAACCCTTCCTCACACCATTTTCCCCATTTGTACTAATCTCCGCGGTTGGAATAAAACAGGTATATATCACCTACAGTTGGAGTAACTAACTGTTTAGATTCTATTATAGAAACTATTTTTCAAAGATGTTTGAATTTTTTTTGTAATTTCGACTTAAAACTTTAAATTTTTTTTATCTGTCATGTAATCAAAACTCCATCGTATTCATATAATACGTTGGATTTCGAAATTTAACCCTTTTTAAGTTATAAATTTTTTCACATCGTAATTACTACAAACAGCTACAATTAGGACTGAATTATATTCGACGCTGTATTTTTTTATTTAACTACAAAATAATTCAATGCAAATATCCATTTGTTCCACCTGGTCTTCCAAAAACCCCGACTACCACCAATAAAATCGATCGGGTGGGTCGAAAAAATCTCATAACAAATCAAGGATATCAACAACGCATAGTTCGGTAGCCGTTATTTGCCGACAGACAGATTTTAAAACGGCCCCGTTTTAAAATCTCTTCAGTGAACACATATTTCCTTAATAACCTACGTTGGCCTGGCAAGTAAACTCTGATATTGCCGTTAATCATTATCCATCTACTATATTAGGTATATAAATGCAGAAAAAATGTAAACAACTCGTCGCCTAATTGCAGTAACTTTATACTTATTTAAAATCATCCAAAACATAATAAATCACATTTACGCACATCATTTAGTGTTACTTTGTGCTCTGAGGAGCAGATTCACGTGATACTTTTTTTAGACTTCAACTGGGAGAACTAACGGGAGAACAAAGTTGAACAAAACGAGGTTACGGTAAAATAAAACTTGGTTCTTAATTACAAACCCTGTTAAAACCTAAAAATGTAGTCTTTGCTGTGAATCTGATCTAACCAACAATTCCAAACCAAGTGTCCCAAATTAAAGATACATAAGTACAAAGGAAGAATGGAAAAGGATGTTATACATTAACCGAAGACGGAGACATGTGGTTTAAAATTGTAGTAACAAGTAAAAATTTGTTAATATTCTAGAGTTACAAGATAACACATCTGCGTTTAGGTTTGACTTGCATGACGGGGCACAATACTGCTCGAATGGCTTCGTCGAACACTGTTTTAAGTCCTTTTTGCGTTAAGGCCGAGCATTCCAAATATTTCACGGCACTGATCTCTTTGGCCATCGCCAAACCCTAAAAGGAATAGTATATTGAACGTTTGTTCGAGCCACACAATACGGGCAATAGAAAAGACTTTCATGTGCTCAGATATGGGTTCTTCATCACAACTTCCCTCAGACGGGAAAAGAAGACAAATTATTTAAATTATCATCATGTTAACTGAGAATCTACAATCTGGGTTCCCCGAAAGAATTCTACAGCAAGGTGGAGACAGAAACGTTTTAAATTATTTGAAACAACTGATTTTCATCAAAGATTTATATAAACTTAGATATTCTCCATTACAATAAATAATAAAAGACAAAACAAAATAATAATTGCTATGTTGTCTGAACGAACTTATTGTTAGTACTTGCGGTATATTCTATTGCTCTAAAATTCGTTTTTTTTTGAAGCAAAATAATTAGAATTATTTGATAAATTGTTTCATCAAATGTAATTATTTTCAAGACATTGTTTAAAATATGTAAAAAAAAGGAAAAACTTTTAAATCAAAACATTTAATTTTAAATAATTTTTTTTTTACTTTTCTAAAAAATCATGATTTATACTGTAAACTGTTAAATTTATTATATGAAAATCTTATCTATCCGAATTCATTTCGGGATAATAAAGATCATCTACACTAAATATTTATTAGAAATTAGGCACCATGTCACATAAAAGTTGTTACTGATAAATAAAAATATAGGTGATCTAATTGTAAGGCTTACAGAGCTGTAAAATTAATGAAAATATCTAGAAACTAACAGGCAACACGGCTAAAATTTTATTACGCCTGTAAAAATTGTTTTCGATCAAGTCCAGACAACATACATGTAAATATATGCAAACTAAAAATAAATGAGGGACCTAACACTTGTAATCGCTTTACACGGAAATGTGTTAGAAACAATAAACACCTAAACTGTTTATTGGCAATCCTAACTCACCGTCTTTACTTTCCCGTTTGTTATAGTGTAACAGCATTTTGGGATCTTTATTACGCATAAATATTATTATATGTTGTAATTAATAACTTCAGCATGAATCACATTTAAAATAACTGACATTTGAAATGAACCCAGATTAAAAAATATAATAATTGTGTACAGTTTACGAAATGTTTATGGTATTTTAATATTTTCCTCATAAATTACCGGTTTTTGACTCGATTACGAAAATTGCTACACCTTCGATACTTTACAAGAAATCAACTAATATATTTTAAAAATAAAAGATTGTTTTCTATTAAAAAAAGCAAATTCTAAACATTACGTCTTACCTGTGGATAAGTAATGGGAGACAATTTTTTGTCCTTAAGTTTCTCGATGGTTGACCTGTCATCCCTCAAGTCCAATTTGGTTCCAACTAATATGATGGGGGTATTGGGGCAGTGATGTCTCACTTCTGGATACCACTGCAGAAAAACATCAAGCTCAGTTCTGACTTCAAACGACAAAATAAAATACATTTGAAAAGGTGCAGATATTCAGACCCTCAATTTCTCATCAGTTTTTCCTCAGACGGGAAAAGGAGACAAAAAAATAATGTATCATCATGTAAATTTCAAGTATCTTTTGGCACAGCGATTAACTGTAACAGGAACAAATCTTACCTTCGCCCTGACGTTCTCGAACGATGCCGGATTGACCAATGAGAAACAAATAAGAAACACGTCGGTCTGAGGGTAGGACAGAGGTCTCAATCTGTCATAATCTTCTTGGCCAGCCGTATCCCAGAGTCCCAGGTTGATGGGTTTACCATCTACCATTACATTTGCCGAATAGTTGTCAAATACTGTTGGTATGTATTCGCCGGGAAAGGCATTTGTTGTGTAACTTATTAAAAGACATGTCTTACCGACAGCACTGGAAAAGATATAGGTACTCAATTTAGAGAACTTAATATAATACTTGGATAATAAGAAAACTCAAAGGGTTTGGATGACTAAAACTGTTTGATTCTATCAATATTATTCAATTATCTTCATTCATTTCAGTAATCATTATTTATATTTGCTATCAATTAATCATTTATTTTGTATTTTTAAATGTGACATATTATTCTAAAATAAAAAACTAAATTAATCCTGTTATCATTTGGCTTAGCAAATATTAGAGAAAATTAAATAAGTGAACATTTAAAATCCACAAATTTATTGAAATGGTAAAATAGATATCTCTTATCTACCATGTTTTATTTATGACATCAGTTTATCATTTTACAAGAACATAAAATTTAAGTAAAAGATAACCTTATTTAATTTTTGATATAGTTCTGCTTTTAAACTGCTATCGATTTATATTTTTTCTTCCTGGATGTGGTAGGATCATCCATTTATTATCTCAGACTACACTGATATATGCTAATAACTAATGCAGGCCCGGATCCAGAGACTGGTTTTGGGGGTGGCGCAAAGCACTTCTTTATCATTATTATTATTATTATTATTATTATTATTATTATTGTTGTTGTTGTTGTTGTTGTTATTTTTTTGATGACGTAAGGTGTAGGTTAGGAAGGGGGACTTGCATTAATATCGACTAACTGCCTGTTGCCATTTGGAGAAATTGAAGATCTTTAAAAAATGTTGTGCTTTGGGGGTGGCGATCGCCACATCGCCACCCCCTCTGGATCCGGGCCTGAACTAATGCTACGTTATCAAACCAAACATTATGTTCATATTTTGTCTGCTTTTAATATTTGTGATTTGAAAACAAACAAATTTAATTTCAAAATTTAAAATATCTTTGTAGTTACTGTTTCATTTTTCCTTGTTTCTGTCGACAGATTGGCAAATTACTAAACAATTTGTTTTAACATGAAGATAATCTGTGAGTCACTTCCTTATTAGAAATTATTTATTAAAAGTAATTTATTAAAATATTTACTTTTAATAATAAGTCATAACTTACAAATAAGTAAACCGCAATGAAGTAATCTAATAAGATTTCAAATTTATTAAAAAATTCGAATCCGAATCCATAGCTACAAGTGATATCTAAAAGTTATACATTGTCGAGAAATAACATACGTTTCCAGTATTGTCCTTTTCAAACAGACTTATCAAGTCAAGGACGTAAGTGCGTGACCAAATGCGAACAAAAGGTAGCGCCAAGAACGAGAATTTACAATTAGCTAAAACTGAATACGAAGTGATAGATACGTACCCGTCACCTACAACTACACACTTTATGGCTTGCATTTCGTTATCTTATTGATAACGATAATGAAAACTTGCAGTCAAATTAATTAAACACCTTGGATTGGGTGTGTGTTCTGTCAAATGCAAGGCCACCTAATCACTACCACACCGAACCACTTTGAAATCATTCATTAGCACTTCTTACGACTTCTGTACATCACCGTTACAGTTTATGTATTTCAGATATATTAATATTCAATTATCTGTGTAACTTTTATATATTTTTTTCTGTTGGTCTTTTAACGATCAGCCACCGCGACCACACGTAAAGTTAAAAGGTGACAAATGAACTGACATAAGCTGGTACTGCCAACAGTGACAACTGTACCAACTGTGTATTGGTTTGGTTAGAAATTTCCTAACCGCTTTGATGTTATCATAATTAATTTAACTTTGCGGTTTCATTAATTAAAAGCAGTCTCTGTTAAAGGTATGCGTCTTGTTTTGGTATATATAAGCAATGGTACACACTTTTAGTTTACACTGTTCACAGATGAATGCTCATGGCATATTTTTTCCAAAGGTAGGTAGGTAGGTATAGTAATTTGTGTTACCGGACACATAGATCTACCATTAAAGTTTGCGCATTCATTTTAGTTACATCCTGTATATAATTTGAATAGGATTCTCCCGAAATAGGACGAGCAAAGCCGGTTATTCCATATAAATTATTTACGTATTAGATTAATTTAAGAATATTTAATACCGCACAAATATTTGATAAACCATTTCGTGTCATGAAATTCATGGGATTTATTATTAGTTTTAGTTATGTAGAAATATATGTTTTAAATTATAAATGCTTTTAATAACCTATAAAAATTACCTACCTCTACCTACATTTGTCATGGGTTATTATTGGACGCCTTTTTTTTTAGTGTAAATCAATTTAAAATTGATTCATTCCGTGCTTAAACTAATATATATTGCTGAATTAAATTTAAAGATTATTAACATGTTTTATTTTTTAACAGCTAAAGTAGTTTTTTGAAACACTTTTTTTTTCGAAAATAAACGGTAGGTAATTCCCAACCAAGAGAATAAGAAATCAAAGGAGGAAGGTTGAACTTCAACCAATGACGCACCACTGATGACTGAGGTTCATTGCTGAGGTTTAGAGAAAGAAAAATTAATCGCTTAAATTCAGATAAGATTATAGTCGTTCAGCGATGTGTCAGTAGAAAGTTTATTTTAAAATCAGTTATAATTTTTAGTGTGGTCAAAGCCAGTGAGTTTTACCATGGCGAAAGTTAGTGTCGATTTACCCGACATTGAGGTAAAGTTTGTATAAATATACTGACTTCTTTTTATGCTAAGCAGTAACGGGATCTGTTTAGTTATAATTTAGTCAAATGTATTTTCCATTTGCGTCTACCTTCCATATATTTCACTGAGAACAATAAGTTACATCCAATATAATATGTATACTAATGCAAAGGCGGCAAAATGTTATTAGTAAAACATACCTAATTAATTTATATACGTTTACAGAAAAGCGAGTAAAAATTTATAAAAAATAAATGTTGCTAAGGAAAATTATTTGTTTATGAAGTCGGACATACTTAGTTGGTTTATCCCTAATAAACAATGGTAGCAAATTACATTGTACGTTCTTAGGTTTGTTGGTACATATTTTATCTATTTACAACTATATTTTTTTATAGGTAAAATTAAATTTCTCTTGTGTTTATAAATATTTCTTTTTGATGATAAATTAAAGCCCTTTTGATTGTTGAAATAAATTTTATAGTAGATTTCTTGATAATACCGATCTAAAAGGAAGTAGTTCTAGTTAAAAATAGGTGGGGCTAGTACCTATTGTTTTGCATATATTTTATTTGTACTAAGTGGTCCAAAAAATTAAATTTGGAATATATAACAACATATTACCTAATATGTACTTGTTCTTACATAGTATAATGAAATTATTTTTATCACGATACATGACATCACGATTCATAAAATGTTATGCTTGGGTTAAAAGCTATTTTTTTTTATCAGTTATATCTATTATTGATAGCACAGTTTTTGTTTCCAAGTTCCCAATTTATATGGGTTTGTCTGAGATGGCCATGATAGATTATATTTTTTTAAGTAATCATTGAATCGATTTTATACATATATGGATTAAGATATATCAAACAGGGAAACTTGTACAATGTAATAACTGTTCCTTATCTTTTTTGCCCTATCACAGTATATATTTGATTTTGGTACTTTTGTTGGAAAATGCTCTTATCGCGATCAGGTTCTCAGAAAAATATTCCACATAATCTATTTCATATATGAACAATTTAAAAGTTATATATATTTCCGTTTTAATTTTAACCATATGAATTCCACATTTCTAAAATTAAATGGAAAATTAATTATTAATTAATTGCATATGATAATAAACCATAACATTTTTAGAGCCATATTAGTGTTTAAATTTTTTCATAAAATACTTTTTTCCTTCCCTATATTTTAAGCAGTTTTCTTTCAGAACATTTTATCACTAAATCCTCGCGTTCACACCCATTCCAGCTTGGTACCTACGAGCCAAACCAAGAAGAATAAAACCCACTGGAAAAGAAACGCTGACAAAAAATGCCAGGTAGGTTTATCTATGGGTCTGAGGGTAGACTGCAATGATGAGCGTCCGCAGAAAATATGTCAAGCTCTGGAAACTGTTAAAAAACAATAAAAACAGAAAAAACAATATTTTTTTATTTGCTGGCACGGTTATGCATTGGGGAGGGGTAAACAAGGTTTCAGTGCGGACGCTCATGATTTCAACAATAGATTCTACTGAATTTTTCACGTTATTTTTGAATTTTTAAATTACCAATTAAAAAACATAGTAGAATGTATTCAACAATTAGTGAGCATTAGAATTAAAAAGAGTAAATTGAACTTACATCTTTCTTCCCTCGTTTTCTCTTTTGGAGTTTTTCAAATGTTACGCACTTTTAGGAGTGTCCTACTTTGGAAAACGATTTCTCGGACATCAAGCCTACAACTTTAAGTGAAAGAGCAGCTTTGAGGGAGGCAGCGAGGTGCTTAAAATGTGCAGACGCACCCTGTCAAAAGTCCTGTCCCACTCAACTGGACATAAAGTCTTTTATAACGAGTATTTCCAACAAGGTAAATACAATGTATTATTAATAATTCGAAAGTAGTGATTCATAAGTGTTTGTATTTTTCCAGAATTACTATGGCGCAGCAAAAGCCATTTTTTCCGACAACCCTTTAGGAATCACCTGCGGCATGGTGTGTCCCACTAGTGACCTTTGCGTGGGTGGTTGTAACTTACAAGCTTCGGAAGAGGGAGGGATAAACATTGGGGGACTACAACAGTTTGCTACAGAGGTACACATCTCTTTGAAATATATTCCGGAACAGTGAAATAGTTTGTTGTTTTAATTAAATATTTCAGGTGTTCAGCAAAATGGGCGTGAAACAGGTACGAGATCCAAGAACACCACAGCCCAAAAATCCTAATTCAAAAATAGTACTCTTCGGAGCCGGACCAGCGTCACTTTCCTGCGCAACTTTCCTAGGACGGTTGGGGTACGATAACATTACTATTTATGAAAAACAAGACGTCCTGGGAGGACTTAGGTAAAGATATAGTTCCTTTATATTCTGCACTTATGTTATATTTATCAATTCTCTGTAGCACCACGGAAATACCTCAGTACCGACTTCCCATTTCTATGGTAAATTTCGAAATCGGCCTTGTAAAAGACCTAGGAGTGAAAATAGAAACAGGACGATCACTTTCAATGAAAGACCTAACTATCAAAAGTCTGCTGAACGATTCAAAGGCGATATTCATTGGTATTGGCTTGCCACAACCGAAAATTAATCCTATCTTTAAAGATTTGACGCCCGAAATGGGATTCTACACGTCTAAGAGCTTTTTGCCTAAGGTTTCGAAGGCTAGTAAGAGCCCTGCCGATGGAGGATGTCTTTGTAAGACCAGCGCCGCGTTACTTCCTAGGCTGTATGGAAATGTGATTGTTTTGGGAGCTGGCGATACAGCTTTCGACTGTGCCACATCGGCATTACGATGTGGTGCTAGGAAGGTCTTCGTTGTGTTTAGAAGAGGTTTTAGCAACATAAGAGCGGTACCAGAAGAGGTAATTTTACATAATTACATCTTAACTTCTTATCCCTACTTCTTGCGATTGGTGCTGTTGATAGGACCATTCTCAAAATGTGTTTTTGTAGTATTCAATATGAATTCTTCATCTGAAATATTGATACATGAAGCAACTTTCTGAAATTTTGTATAACTCGTGGAATTAGAGATATTTAGATACTTTTGCTTTTAAGGTTTCATTGGCTATTGAGGAAAAATGCGAACTAATGGGATTCTTATCTCCCCACGCTGTAAATGTTCGGGATGGTAAAATAGTCTCAGTGACCTTCAGCAGAACAGAACAAACTGAAGATGGCAAATGGGTTCAAGACGTCGAACAGCTCAGCACCTTGAAAGCTAACTTTCTTATATCGGCCTTTGGAAGTGGTTTGGAAGATCCTGATAGTAAGTATGAAAATATCTCATTAATTTTTAGATTATAGATTTTCATGTAAAACATTTCCGATTTCAGTGATTGAAGCTCTGAAGCCGCTTGAACTAAATGGATGGAATTTGCCGGTGGTTGATCCGGACACAATGCAGTCATCGCATCCATCTGTGTGGTGTGGTGGTGATGTAGCAGGTACAGCGGAAACAACGGTAGAATCGGTCAATGATGGCAAAACAGCCGCGTGGTATATTCATTGTGCTTTGGAGGTAAGTACTTTCAGCCATTCCAAAATTGTGATTCAAGCATTCAATTTGAATAAATTCTCCCAAGAGTGAATAAAACCTGTTTGATTATTTTCATTGGTTCTATTAATTTTTTATTTTGTGTTTCTTAGGGTTTGCCTAGGAACACCAAGCCAAAACTGCCCTTATTTTACACCGAAATCGACGAGGTTGACATTTCGGTTGAAATTTGCGGGGTGAAATTCGAAAATCCGTTCGGTTTAGCCTCGGCCCCTCCCGTCACTAGCACGGCGATGATACGGAGGAGCTTTGAGCAGGGCTGGGGCTTCGTTGTCACAAAAACTTTCTGCCTGGACAAGGTAAGTTCCTTTTGTTAAAAAAACGACTTTGTGGTTGACCGTTCCTCATTTCAAACTTAGGATAAAGTTACCAACGTTTCTCCGAGGATAGTTCGAGGGACGACCTCTGGATACCACTACGGGCCTCAGCAAGGATCTTTCTTGAACATTGAACTGATTTCAGAGAAATACATGGATTATTGGCTGCAAGGTATTAAGGAGCTGAAAGAAGATTTTCCGACAAAGGTGGGTATTTTCCTTATCCAAAAATCTAGAAATACATAATGCGCGTTGAAGGTCATCATTGCCAGTATTATGTGTGCGTACATCGAGGAAGACTGGCGAGAACTGTCCAAAAAAGCTGAAGATAGCGGAGCTGATATGCTGGAATTAAACTTGAGTTGCCCCCATGGAATGGGGGAATCCGGAATGGGCCTTGCATGTGGCCAAGTACGTTTAACCTGTATATTCACTTGTATTTTGTAACCGCCACAATGTTTTAGAAACCAAATCTCGTGCGGGATATATCCAAATGGGTTCGACAATCAGTAAAGATACCGTTTTTCATTAAACTGACCCCAAATATAACTGACATAACGGTTATCGCTAAGGCGGCTTATGAAGGTACCTAACATTTACGTAAATATGTGTTATTTCTTAAATAACTTTTTTTTATATAATACAATGATGAGTTCTTGCTTTTTCATGTGTGTTTTAAAAGGTGGAGCTTCTGGGGGTACTGCTATTAACACGGTGTCTGGATTGATGCACGTCAAGCCAGACGCGACAGCTTGGCCTGCCGTTGGAATTGACAAAAGAACTACTTACGGAGGAGTCAGCGGAAATGCCACGAGACCAGTTGGGTTAAGGGCAGTTTCTTCTATCGCACAACTACTACCGGACTTTGCAATTCTAGGTAAGTTAACCATAAATATAAAATTTCAAAGAACTCATCATTTTGATTTCAGGCGCCGGTGGAGTTGAATCGGCTGAAACGGCCTTCGAATACCTGCAGTGTGGAGCTGCAGCTGTTCAAGTCTGCAGTGCCGTACAGAATCAAGATTTTACACTTATAAATGACTATTGTACAGGCCTTAAAGCGCTGCTATATCTAGATGGAAGATTGGCTGGTTGGGAAGGTCAAAGTCCACCGACTTTCAAGAATCAAAAGGGCAAGCCCGTTATTCCGTTGTATGACGAGAATGGCATTGTAAGTGACTAATAGTATTAGCGGTCGTTCACTTTTTAACAGTTTCTTAAGAAGTTTTTAAAGTATTTATAAATTAAACGAATCCCAGACGGAAATTCTTCTTTCATTCGCGCATTCTATTTCAGAAACTTCCACTTTTCGGACCCTACCAGAAGAAAAGAGAAGTGCAGCTGAGCAAGTTGTACAAAGCATGCAGAGTGAAAGAAGAGTTGATTCCCCATCACGATGGCGCCCAAATTAATTTCAGTAACGGCGTTGCTGCCCCGTCACAAAATTGTGGAGGTGCATCCAAAAAAATTCCCAAAGTGCAGGATATTATCGGCAGGGCCCTTTCAAGGATCGGCGCTTATAAGGAGCTTGATAATACCAAGCAAGTGGTTGCTTTAATCGATGATGTAAGTTCAAGTTTCATTCGTCAGGTTTTAAATGATTTTGTTCAACATTTTAGGATATGTGTATTAACTGTGGTAAATGCTACATGACATGTAACGATTCCGGGTACCAAGCCATACATTTCGATCCAGAAACTCACATTCCTAAGGTTAACGACGACTGTACGGGATGTACGTTGTGTCTTTCAGTTTGTCCAGTGATCGACTGTATAACGTAAGTTTTTACAATTTTCCAGTGCCAATGTGTTAAGTGTACAAACAAAAATTTATCGAATTTGTTTTCAGGATGGTACCAAAAACCATTCCGCATGTTATCAAGAGGGGAAAAGGTGTCCTACATGGTGTCCACGCACTTAATAACGTAGTTAAAGTTTAATAGAAAGATTTTAATGCATTTAAATGAAATAGTCCTTTTAAATAAATTTTTAATAAACTGTTTTATGTAACGATATATTCAACTGATGTAAAATTAAAAAATAAATAAATTTCAATGTAAAAATATATTCTTTTAATCTTAATCTTCTAAAAAACCGGAAGAAATAAAATTTGCATTTCTAAGTGTTTATTATTATTGCTAAGAATTTGAATTTTTCTGTCAAATCTTTAAGAATGTGAATCCTGTTGCAGATATTGAGCTTTCTGAAAAAGAAACATGGTCATGTCAAAAAGTACTCATTAAACCGAACGGTTTATAACAATTCCGAACTGAATGTAAAAAGTTTACAGAGTTGACGTTTGATCACAACCCTTGATGACTCTACCAACTCTCGCGGTAAATCCCCACCGTTGTTTCTTACACTGGTCTCCCTGAATTTTGGCAATCTCTGGTGTCACCTTGACCTGCCATTAATGTGTTAAGCCATTTTACTAGAAAATTCGAAACAATGGTGATTTTATGGACAAGATGGGGTCTTCAGCAATAGTTCTGTCATCTATTTTGATTTAGTGTGTGTTTTGGCTGCATGAACAGCTTCTACGGTTGAATTAAAAAATTTTGAATCCTGACCGACATTCCCCGGGTCGTTTTAGTAATAGGTCGATGTTCCTAGACATGTACGGCTCAGCTTGAGTGGTTTTGAAGGTTTTCAAGTTTTACGATAAGTTTCTGGCTTTGGATTTAGAAAATCTGAAAAATCTGCACTGATAATTTTTAAAAACTATAAAAATAAGAAAAATTTGAGAAAGTGGTTAAAAAAGTGAGTCCAGAAAAAGGAAATACATAAATGACGACGAAGAACTCATAAATAGCTTTAAAAAAATTTAAAAATCAGAATGACAAATATTTTGAAATAATCTTTGACACAGTCATGTCATATTTCAATAAATGTTTATTTACCTGTTATACACCCTTTTATACGTAACTTTAAGCAAATCCGAAGAACTGTTGATAAAGGTACAATCTATAAATCGTATTCATAATTTAGATATATTGACAATTTCTAATGCAGGACTCAGGAGTGGGATTTATTGATGAAGACGACATTGCCATGATATTCTGTAAGTACTTCCAAGTAAAATATAAGATGCCCAATGAGTAAAATTGTAGATGTCACTCTGGAAAACAGATCTGTGAAGGACTTTGAGGTTTCGGTTTGTATGGGGCAGTGCTGCGACACGACAAACCCTAATGTGATAGACTGCAACTCTACGTTTCTGATTGGTGGAGATATGGGTATTCTAAATTCCAAGCGTACTAAGAACGTTACTCTTATTTATCCGAATTTGGTGAGAAATAATAATTGTTTTCATAGTCCCATTATTCCTACCAATCGAATTTTAGTATCTCACGGATAGACAGGGCCAGTGCATTGTTAATATACGTTATCGAAATGATGTTCTCATGAGACAGAAGATGACAAGAATCAATTTCAACACAAATGTACCCAATGAAGGTACGTGTGTAATTATTAGTGTTGGAAAGCTTTATTAGTATAAAAAGATTGCGTTTTGATAAAATCATAAAACAATCAGGAAAACTAGTAGGTGCGCTGAAAAGGTATCTAACTTTATGAATACTACTGCATAAGCACACTGATATTCAAAACTACCATTTACTTGCTATTATTTGTTTCCAAATTTATTTTAGAAGGATGTGAATGTCAATCAGTGGATATGGATCCGACAAAGAATTGCAGACCGGTGGACTGCGTGATCAAATATTTAGGAATGAGGAATTATTTCGACTTCAAACGCATGGAATGCACATCTGTGACCAAATGCATATCTCCCCCAGAACAATGCGTACCAGAAATTGTAAGAAATTTATTGCGAAATATGTAGATACTTAAGAGCTGCTCTTTCAGGGTTATTCAATTGCACTTAACAGCTGTACCGATCTTAATACTACCATTGGAAAAGACGACTTACACTTCTTAGATAGCAATAAGTCAGAATTACACCAGTGCACGAATTGTCCACCAGTAAGTACCATCATTTTTTGGAATCAGAGATGAATTATAACGTCGGCTTAGGTCATTATTTATCTGTGGTGCTTTCTGCATTTCCATATTTTTAAACTGAAAATTGTACTTAAAAATTAATTGATAATGAGGCCATTGAGACTGGAAAGGTGGTTAAAAATTGCAATATAAGCGAGTTAAAACAAGTACATTAATTAATGATTCATATTTGTAGAGCAATATGATCTGCCATCATGGTTCTACGGATACCAACGGGCAATGCGAATGCGACACGGGTTGGACCACCACTACTGATGAAGAGATGTATTCACCCACACTGTTGCTCTACCACATGTGCAACGTCGAGGTAGGCGCATGGAACTGTGTCAACAAACGGAAAATTAAAACAACGACCATTTTAATAGCGGTAAATGAACTTATTGTACAAAACGTATCACGATAAAGTAAGTTTACTTATAGGTGTTTGCCATTACCATTGCCTCTAAGATCCTTATCTTGATGTGCATTCTGAACTGGTGCTACAAGCGTTACAGACAAAAGAAGGAACAAATCTGCAGCAACAAATTAGACCCTGACAGAGAAGAGATAATACTCTGCGAGGATATGCAAGAACTGGAGGAATGCAAGTGCGAAACATCGAAACAGAACTCGCATTTCTTGCAGACCCAAACTGTGAACGTCAGCTACTATCCCTGCTTGCCTAGCGTTTTCTCTAGCTTTCGCGGTTCCATTGCGTCGGCCGAATGTAATAAGTGTTCCTTAAACAGTGAAGAAAGCATCGAGTTGAGTAAGACTACCTCTTCCCTTCACGATTATACTGAGAGTGAAAGCGAAGCAGCTACGGTTACCGAGCAAGAGGAAGGAAACGATGAAGAATTCTCTGGGGAGGGGGAAGAATGCAGTGATCTGGAGGAAACAAAGAGCGGTGAGGATTTGTACGGGGAGGACACCAGATCGGATATTGAGGACTGCGGGGGGATGTGTGAGGAACCTTGCGAACAGTCTGACTTTACAGGGTATTCGACTTATGCCAGCAGGAGGGGGTCTTCTTCGACTAAAAGTAAAAGTATGTCTGCGGCACGGAAGTCCAGGAGTTCAACAAATATTGACTGATTTTTGTGTTCCTGCGTGTCTATATTGTTTTTATACTGATGAAAAATATTTATATTTTAAATAAAAATATTGGCTTATGCCTCAACACTCTGATGGCTATCAGGGAGTGCAATGTGTTATGTCCTACATTATTTAAATATGTTTTCAGCTTCTTTCGAACCATGAGGCTAATACGAGGTTTACGAATAATCGCTCTGGGTGCTTGAGGTACTGTGTCTGTCTTTATTTTAAGCTTTACTGAACTGTCACTGTACTTGCATGATATGCAGTCATATATTTAATAGAAAGAAAAACCAAATCAGAGCTCTTGACGTAGCAGATAAATAACGGGAAGAAGTATTTAAATGATTTATTTCGAATTTCATGTATAAACAATATTGCACCTTGGTACCTAATTTAATATACAATAAGCCTCTCTGGTGATACGATGAACATTTGAAAGCTTATATGAAGGCAGGCATTACAGATATACAGAGAAAAAGCTTGCGGAACCAAAGACGGTACTAGGTATTTATATATTTTCTCAAGATAACTACCATTTGTAGAGAATGTGAACAAAGGTAGAAGCTATACCCTTGTTTCCTAGTGAAAGGTGATAAGAAATGGTAAATAGACGTCTCTAACTATGACTTGGTCAATTCATGTTTGTACAAAACGTTAGTCTATTTAATATCACTTAAGTTATAAACTATTGAAGCCAGATTGAAATATTAGTATTACTGTATGTATCCGTTTACTATATTCTGTGGTAATTACTTGAAATTTTGATCCAGCCACAAGGCTCTACTTAAATACTACAAATTAAAAAGAAATTAGATGAGTTGTTTCCAAAACATCCTGTACCAAACTTTTAACCAAGTCATAGTAGAATTCTACCAAGTGCATTTTAAGATTGTTTTCAAATAAATGTTACCATCTAAAAAATAATTAAATCTGTGCGTCTACAGATAGAAAAACATAGAATGCACTTGACGAGAAAATCTTATTTTACAATACACATAATAGAAAAACAATCTTACGCTTGGCGAGTACCTTTGAATTAACTGGTAAAACTGTTTTTCCTCATCTTCAGATTATTTTTATGTACTCGTATTTTGCTTCAGACATTTATTCAGTTCATAAATGCCTGAATATTGAGATAAATAAATTTTTCATATAAAACTTTAAGTTTATCACAAAACTACATTCATATTCTTTACTAAAAATAACGTCCTCTTAAAATATTCAGTTCCAAAACTCAAAGTGGTTTATTTGCACATATATCTGGACAATATACAGAGCTTAACGTCCTTAACTTCTTTATATATTAAAAAATTAAATTATCCTCTATCCCTTTCAAATCAAGTATATAGAGTTAGTCTAAATGCTTACATTATGTCTTCTATTCCAATCAAAATCAACCTAGAATAACTGGAATATGTTTTTATGTTAATGGAACAACGAAGCTAAAACAACTAGGGCCGCACACCATCTCATTACATGTAATTTTTTAGTTGTAAAACATATTCTTATTATCTTAGCGATTTTTGGACCAGATACACTTACATTTTATTGTGATATACATGTTATTTTATAAGTGCAGGATTATTTTCACGATGTTACCGTTTCATATACACGAAATTACTTTTATTTTTAAGCAGAACCTGTAAATGTCATGTCTCGGTTATAAACGACGTTCGCAAAATTTTTCGCATGTAATCTTATTAAACGCAAAAGTTTAAAATAGACCAGTTAGGTACATTATTCATTATTACTTCTTTTTATTGTCTGCTACTGGGCTTCTAAAATTAAGGGCCATCATACTGGTAATCACGATTTTAATAGAAACTGTGAACTGTGTATTAGAAAATAATAAATATCCTGCACTTATGAAAATGGTTATTGATATTATATATTTACATGAACAATCATCTTCGTTTACTAACTAAATTTGTCCCATGTCAGAAATTAGATTAGATTTGGTAAAAAAAAAATATGCTCGTTTCTCTCATGGTTATGCATTGTAGAGAAATTCAGAATAAGTGAAGAGAGAAGAGATGTCAAAACTAGTTTCCCATTCTCAAAATTACTTTCTATTTTGTCAAAAATATTTTGAGAGATTTTCTCAGCCAATGACAGTAACGAATCAATGTTCTGTTCTGTCGCCAACTGTGGGAATAAAAAACACCATGTGAGCTGCACGAAATATTTCTGGGACACGTTCAACAATTATCTACATTGTCGGGACACAACTAAAACTTGGAAACGTTATAAGTGAACCTGGAATGCACTTACATTTATTTTACTATAGAACAGGAATTGAATTATAATTATAATGCTTCGTTCCAAGACACAAAGTGTTAAATTTAAAATTAAAAAAATAATTTATTAGAATCCTCCTAAGGCTATGATTAAATACAGGTAAATTTCAGCACTGTGTGTCCTTGAAGTCTAAACATATTTTGTATGAGCTTTTATTCTGACATGAGAACTATATATTGTATATGTATAATAATACAATGTATAAAAAGTAATGGTTCTAAAACATTCTCAGTGTCTGATGGAGGTGGACTTTGAGGGCTGTTTCTCACTAGTGAAACTTCAAAGTGGTCCAGACTATTTGACTTGGATGTGAGACGGCCCCTATCTCGCAGTTGACAGTTCTCGACCGGCCGTTGATGACGAATAGCGCTTCGCTTGCTGGTGTTACCATGTACTGACCAAAAAGGCCTGTGAAAAAGATAGCAAGAAGTACATATAAGTCGAAAGCAAAAGATATAATAACAATAATTGAGAGGAAATGTGAACTGAGCTCCGCTCACACTCCGTTGCTTTGTCATTGGACGTCTGTTTCTCAGCATCCAATGGAATTTATCCAAGTGTACCACTGTAACTGTTTAACCAATAAGAGAGTCTGTCTCAGAAACAAATTTAAATTTAGAACAAGTACAGACAAAGGTATCTGAAATTATAAGTTGGAGTAAATTATTGTTCGTTGTTCCAGCTAAACCTGTAAGGTAGTGTAGTCTATAAATAAATATGCTGTACTTACCTGATCCGCTTATAGGTCTGTTGGGATTATTCCATTTTGTTAATTGAATGGAGACAGCCTTCCCCACTCCTGTAATTATTTCAACTTTACCTGGAAAAAATTACATGATGACTTTCATTGATAGGCAAACGCATTTTTTTACCTGTAAGCAGGTTCAAAAACAGTATGTCTTCTTTGTCTTGGGCGCTTGCGTAGATATCATAGCTGTGCGTTGATTGACTTGGGTAAAAGGTGACGTCGGAGATGTTTAACGTGGTTTTAACGTCGAAGGAGAACGTTAATCCGTTAGCTAAAGTAGACAAAAATAAATATTCATTTACAAAAATTTAGAGGATGACGGAACAAGATAAAAAAAATAAGACGAATTATTCCTATGAACTTTTAAAAGCTTTTAAAATTATTTTTTTAAAACAAAAATTTAATTTGACTTCTTTTCTAAAAAGTCAGTCTAATATGTCAGTCTTGTTAATTTTTGGCAATGTACTAGCCCACTAAACATTTTTCAGTTTCTGACATGTTTCAGAAACGTTTCCATTTTTCTTGAAACATTTCATAAAAAACCCATGCAACGTTCTGGTAACGTTCTAGAAGCCCAAGATGTCCTCCCCAAAATACGTTTCCAATGAAACGTTTCAAAAAATTGGTTTCAGTAACATTCTTTTTATGTTCCATTTATGCCCTCGATATTTTTGTTTTACGTTTCAGTATATTTTCAGAAATGTTTGAGTAACATAATAATTTTATTACCATATTGTTCTCATAATGCTCTCAACTTTAGATCATTTTCATTTCAAAAGCGTTTTTGAAATAGTATAAATAGTGTGAGTATTTTTTTAAATATCTCTAATACTCCTTTGTGATATTTTTATTTGTATTGTGAATGACTTAATTCGAACTAAAAAAAGTTACATTGTATATTAAAAAAAATAAATATGCTCTTCTAGTTTGGGGATGCGGCAACTTTTACTAAGAATTTCTTTCTTTTTGAGAAGCCACTGAAAAAAGTTTCTAATATGGATTATGAATTTTGCCATTCATCGTACAAATAAAAATATCACAAAACAATATCAGAAGCATTAAAAAAAAGCTACACATTTTATATAGTTCAAATACGCTTCTGAAATGGAAATTTTCTAATGTTGAGACCTTCATGAATATGGTAACAATGACGAACTGATAATTAGAAAAAGTTAGTTATGATTATGAATCTTAAAATGGTAGGTACATGAAAAACAAATAACATTACTGAAAAATAATATAAAGTTATAATTTCTTCTACGCATGGTCAATATTACATATATCCTTTTAATAATAATAAATTATACAGCAGAAATAAGGATACAAAATGATATCTTGACAAAGTAAATATCTGTAGGTATACCTAAACTCTTTTATTTAAGCATGCCTATACACATAAACAAATATAAACATTTGTACAAAATATAAAATAAATGACGTCTATTTCACTTGATTCATCCATATTTCAAATAGTTCTCACTGACTAAGTAGTTGCTCTTCAAATTATATCGAAACGTATAGTTGTTGTTCCATTTTCTTAGTTCTTGTCCCTTGTCCTCTTGTCTGTAATAGGTAGTGGGTATAACTATATTTAGGTAGATGTGACGCAAAATTGGAAATCTCTACACATATCGTTTTAAACATTTTGCATCAATATTCATTATTTTATATGCACCTTACAATAACCACAACTGCACACACTACAAATTATCACATAAAATAGCGTCAAAGTAAAGATGAATAACAACGAAACCAAGCAAACTGACAAACCGCAAACCTAACCTAACATAATACGAATTGAAACGACACACGGGAAACAAATAAACTCGGGCTGTTACGCGCAGTCTACGCAAGTCACGAACATACATTTTTTCTAGACTTGTGTTATAAATATGCTACCACATTTTTTTTTCTAATTATGTCTTTATATAACAAAGGCAAATGAACTAACGCTTGAGAAGGATTGGGGATTGAGAGCAAAATTTAACTAATGCCGAATGTTCCATAAGATAAGCAAAAATAGCAAAGGGTTGTTCGTCTGTTATGTTTCCGAGATCGAAAGGGAATGTTTCGAGTAATGTTTCAAACTCTCTTCAATTGTAACGTTTCGGCTATGTTTCACTAAATAAGTTTTCAAGTGCTACATTTCTGTAATGAAACAGAAACGTTTCTAGTTAATGTTTCAAATGTTTAGTAAAACATCTCATTTGCAACGTTTCATTTACGTTTCGTGTTTAGTGGGAGAGGTCACTAGCTGCAATCTCTCCCAGCGACATTTTGTGACAAACTTTTTTGAGGTTAGGTTTTTACCAGCATATGCCTTGGATGGCCAGTCAGTATATGACTCGGTGAAATCTTGTTTTTTTTTTTAAACAGTAACAGGGCTTCAAGGGAAAAATGTTTATCGTATTTTTTTGAAATTTAGTAACATTTTAAGCAAGAAAAATTGTATCTGGGCAAATTGATCTGAATTGGTTCATTTCATTCAAAAACAGGAGACAGTTTATTTACATTGTTCAATATTTTCAATTTTCAATATACCTATATTTAAAAAATTGTTATAAAGGATAAAACATGTTTCCAGATGTTCTGCTAATCTTTTTGGTTTACGTCACGCCCGAGAAAAACAAGCTTGTAAACTGCAGCATCGCTGCGCTTTAGTTTCAAATATTTATCCGGAAACGAGATTCTTTTTATCGGCTTGCATTTTACAAACTTCTCAACTGTCAGATAAACCTACACGTGATCTCTTGCACTATGAGCGTCGCCCCGCTAGTCGTCCTGTCGAGCGTGACCAGCTTCCTGGAGTCCGGAGATATGTAGGGAACCCCTGGGAGATTGGGCTTGGTAGCTATTACGGTGTCAGTCAGATAATCCAGAATTAGCTGTCCTGTGGGCCGGTTCGTCACGGGCTCGAGACACTGCATCACCACCATGCCATCTAAAATGGGAAATAGTTGGTCACTAATTTGATTTGTTCTGGTATCGGTTTGGGAGCTAGGCTGACTGGGGTGTTTCTATGGGGTAGGCTCCTTCAACCGCAAAGAAAATCGAGATGTCCAATTTTTTAAGTGTTCGTTACTTTTTATTGTCGTTAAATTATTCTGCTAATTTATCGACAAAAGTTGTACGCTACAACATACGTATAATTTATAAATCAACAAAACATTTAAGTTTTAATTAAAAACCTGTGTTTTCTATTAAAATTACTTGAATTTTTGGACCACCCTTTATAACACACATTATGACATTTACTGGTAATTGCCTACGTGTGCCGACTAACGACTGCCTTACAGAGGCTTCTTGATTGGGGAAGCCCGCCTCATTAGCTATTCAATCCTGGGCGGCTGAGGACCCGCTTTTTCCCCATCTCACCCCCAAATTCGTACTTACATAATGCAGAAAATCTAACTTGAGCCGGCACGCAGTTGTAGGGCGTTAGATCAACAGATCTAGTGTATCTCAGATTCACCAGGTCTAACTTGTACAATCCCCGCTGATTAGTATGCGTCACGTAACCATATTTGAAGCTGTAGTGGGACAACTCCTGCGGCAAAAAATTGGAATTTACTTCGTTATATAATAAGGAGGGTCGTCGAAGTTCCACGTCTCATTCTTAGCGATGCTCTATTAACGGTTTAGAGCAAGATTCGAGGGCGCGGAGATGTGAGATTTAATTGTATGAATAATGAAGGGGTGGATAAATGGGGTTCTCAGGTATATACAGGGCACTTGTGGAAACGGGTAACTTTGCTAATGAATTCTTTTGGCGTTGATTATGGCACCGAAGGGACGCATAAATATGTGATAAGGGAAGAGCAAAGTTTACGCTTTGTGGTGTTGAGTTAGATTGCAGAAGAGGCGAAATAAATGCAGGGGGTAATAGTACGTCAAAAAATAAGACTTTTTTGTCCTATAAACTATATGCCTATCCCCTCTTGTTTTCGAGATACAGATGAGCGACAAAATAAAATTTTTTAAATAGAATTTTTTGCGAAAATTTCCAGAGTGCGAAATATTTTTATGAAATTTGATAATCCGGGGTTTTTAAGGACGCCAAATACGTTGCTCTCATTATTATTTGAATATTTCATAGAGGGCGCTAGTTATGCTACGTTCCTATTACATTTTAAGTTCTATTTTTTTAAGGTTAGGTTTTTCGGGCTTAAATTTGTAATGTATAATTTTATTTTCTAAAAATAAAGTACTCTTGATAGAACTACCTATCTAATGTGGACGGTTTTCGAGAAAAAAGGCTTCAAAAATTGAACTCTTACAATATTATAAAATAAGTGACTTTTCTCAAAGTAGACTTATGTCAAAACTTATTGATGGATGTCTCATTCTCAACAATACATTCTTAGTCATATTTTAAACTCTAATTAACTTTATACCAAAATTGTAGTGATTTTTCGTGATTGTAATTAGTAATGACTAATTACAGTCACTAAAAATTTGATATAAAGTTAATTAGAGTAAAATATTACTAAGAATGTATGCGTAGTTTATGAGACATCCATCAATAAGTTTTGACATAAGCCTACTTTGGGAAAAGTCGCTTATTTTACACAGTAATATTGTAATAGTTCAATTAAAAGCCTTTTCCTCGAAAACCGTCCACATTAGGAAGTTCTAACAAGAGTACATTACTTTTAGAAAATAAAATTATACATTAGAAATTGGAACCCGAATGATAAAAAACCTAAATCTTAAACAAATTAGAACTTAAAATGTAATAGGAATGCAGCATAACTAGCGCCCTCTATTAAATATCCAAAAAATAATTAGATCAGCGTATTCAACGTCCTTAAAAACCTCGGAATACCAAATTTGATAAAAATATTTCGCACCGTTTGGAAATTTTCGTAAATATTCTATTTTCAAATTTTTATTTTGTCGCTCTATAACTCGAAAATAAGAGGAGATAGACATATAGTTCATCAAGACAAAAAATTCTTATTTTTTGACGTACTATCGCCCCTGTATTTACGGAAGATCTTTCTGAAACACCCTGTATAAATACCTACTATAGGACAAAACAGAAATCCAAACATGAAAACGACTTAAAAAAGAACAATGCAACAAAATTTGAATGAGGTTGCTAAACAAACAACTTGGCGGAGAGTAATTGTACCTAATACAAAGTTAAATCTTAATTTAAGTCTAGAGCCATGAAACCTGGTGCAATGGTAGTGAATTTAACTTGAAAAACAACTTACGGTCGTTCGCAGGGAGCAAGTAATTAATATCAAGCTGTTCAGTTAGATCATTAATAAAAATAGCAAAGAAAAGTGGCCCCAGAACAGACCCTTGGGGAATCTCTGCAGATTGATGATGGTATTTGTTAGTGAAATAATGTTGAAACAAACACAACACAGTGGGGTATCTACTTATGATACCGGTTTCATTGTTAATAGATAAATAATGAAAACATTAGGTTTCATTAATTTACTCTACATGTACTCATAAAAAGAGACAATTAAATTTATACTTGTAGATGTGGTATTAAAACAAAATGTCAGTTCTGTATTGCAGGATAACATATTGAGAAACTCATATTAACTTAAAATATATATGATTTTTTACAATAATTAAGTGTTACCTGGAATGGCGATGGTATGAAAAGTCCAGTTACTAAATCGAATTGTCCATCGATTGGTTCAGGATGGACTGTGTGATGTTTCCTTTTCTGACCAGCATCCCTTATAACCTGCAACAAAATATCAGTGTTCATCAGAAAAGTTTCGTGCATCATTTCAAATTTCAGCCATTTTTACATATGCGTATGCGTAACTCTCTCGCTTTTCCTCTTTTCGACACGTTTCAGATTGATAAAGGAATAATTACGAATTAGTATCGGTGTTTACCTGAATAGTTTTGATCCCGGTGTTATTTGGCGATCTCCAGTTGAGCACCCACACCTGGTCCAGGTGCGGCACGTGGTGCAGGTCCACAGGATATTTGTCGGTGCTGACGACGTCCACCACCACCATCTGTACCTTGGATATGATCAGGATGCGGTCTCTGTTGGGTTGGCTGGCGTAGACGTAGCGGTTTGCTACGTTAATCCCGCGACCCCATTCACATTTAACTCCTTTGTCACCACACACGTACTCCTAGGTACAACAGAATGTAGCATCTTGAAGTTAATTACCATTTTTATAGCACTTAATATGATAATAAAAAATTAGATGACGACAATTTAGTTTTGGCTTTCTAATAAATAATGCGTACGCCTATGTCTCGTGCTTCAGTTCTGACAACCCTACCAATTACCTTCAAAAGTAAAAAACGTACTGAAATTTCTTATATACCAGCTCTTTGAGGATATAAACAATTTAGTGTAATTAATTTTGTTACTATTCTGGAGTATTTAAGTCGCAACTTCTCTGTGGTCGTCGTTACTATCAGCATCATCGACAGACATTAACTGCTTCCAAAATAAGAGACGAACCGATAAATTTTACAGGAAAAATTATTCCCATACAAATTATTTAATTAAAAATGGAATGAAAACGATGAAACGGCTCCACCTAAGTCCTACCCTCTTGAGGATTTTTTCCTTAATTTTCATAAATGACGGAATGATGGCTCCGTTACGTGACCCTCTCCTCCGCTCAGGCGAAAGGACGCTAGGTCCCTTAATTGAAAAAGGCAAATTCCTATTTAGCATTAACCCCGAATCTCCAACGTACGCCGTAATTGCGCTCCCACCCGGTCCCGAATCCCATCCTCCACGAAATCATTTTTAAATTTCGTCTTTATATTCCCGGGCATGAAAACTAACGAACCTTAATTTGCATTCTAGAGCGACGGCGGTTAGTTTTTCCAATATTTACCTGCGTGCCCGGAATAATGTCCGTGGACTGGATGCGGTGGTACAGCCGGCAGGTGGAGGGCTCGTAGATGGACACCCCCCAGTCGTGAAAGGCGAAGAAGCGGCGCTCCTCGTTGGGGGAACCTGCGGGTTTAGACAAAAAGGGCTCGTTAGAAATATCTCGTCAGTATCGCAGCTATGAAGTAAAAAAAAAACCATTTGGGATACCTACATGTGTACTAACACTGATATAAATCAAAATTTTTATCCATACATGCTAAATACTTCTGAGCAGCTGTACTTACTAGGTGTGGGCTGCTCCTGCACTACCAGCGAGCTTATATCCCTCGTTAGTCCTCCTAAAACACAATGCATACCCGGGTTAGTCGCTGAAACTATTCGGCGTCTTAATTAAATGACCACAATCCCGGTCGCCAGGTGGAAAATTCAATTTTAAATATTTACCCTCTGGGGCGGCGTATCAGGTAGTTCAATTTAGAATTTAATTTGCATTCTTGATAGTTTCACAGCTTCAGCGTTTCAGTATGTATGCGAAGTTGAGTGGGTAGGTAAATATTAAGACAGTGAACCAATCTCAAGGTCATTCAATTACTTTATACAAAAAAGGTGGTCTCTTCCAGGATAATGCCCGTGTCATCCTGTGCATTTGGATCTCTTCTTATCGAATATGCTATAGGTATAGGACGTAGACTTTTGGCTGCTTTTAGGTTTTTGGGGGTGATTTTTTACTATTTAAAATATACTGGGGACTGATGGAAGATCTCTTATTGCTGGAGGTCCAAATACATAGCGTGGCATTTTTATTTGTATGCCTGTGTCATTATTGAACACAGAAAGTTGCAATTTTTTTAAAGTTGGTCACTCTTTATGGGAAATACAATAAACCCTCAAACATGTCCATTTGGTTCACCCTGTATAAGGTATTTCTCTGAACTTTAAATAATTCAGTATTGACCTATTCAATCATGTATAAATTTTTTTATATACCTATTTATAATTCTTGTAGGTATGTTTATTTAAGTTTAAATCGTAGTAATCTTTTTTTATAAGTAAAATTATTATTAAAATAAAAATTAAAAATGTAATATGAAACTGTATAAAAAGAATTATAAACATAACTGACATATACCTACTAGATCTAATCGACTAGTAAATTTATTTGGCATCAATCTGGAAAAACTGCGCATAAAAACGATATCTGCATAGTAGCCGATGACCGCCAATTGTTTCAGAGGACGCTTCAGATTCCAAATTGTATTCCTACGCCGGTAAACGTAACCTACAATTAATTATTGTAAGCCGTTTTTACTTGAATTACGTGGTGCATTAAATTTGTCGGGTGTTTAAGATTTAATTAAATGCGTGTTTTATTTTGTTAAAACTGACTGATATAGTGTGGTGATAGTGAAGTGAGTGAACGTGAACATTCTGGGAAAAATTTCAAAAGGCGTCCAGGTACTACTGCAAAGAGTAAAAGGTAAGTGTTTTTGAAAGCTTTATGTTAAAAAAACGTAAAAAGGCTCGAAAAATGTTCAAACATTTACGTATAAATGTATACAGAAACTGAAAGTTGAATCAAGACTAATTTTAACACAAAGACGGTTGTTGCCGTCTTTAAAAAAAGGACAAAGACGTAATAACACATTTGACATCAATTTGGTCAGATAAAATCTGAAAGCAATTTCTAAAACGGCTTGCTAGTTTTATCCCATCATATAAAATTCGATTTTATTAGTTCCATGAACAACGTTGTTTCAAAAAACAATCATTAGTGATTAAAAACCAGGTAAAAAAGATAGTAAACCGTCATTCGAGCGGAGATTACACTAGTTTTTAATGATCTTGCCACAAAAGAATAATTACGCAATGTACGCAATTCATTCTAAAAGCTTTTAGTGATTTAAAACAAATTATCCGACCAGTAATAAAGTAAAAGGTCTCCTCTGTGATAAAAACCGCAAAATTTCGACATGCTAATGTGATTTAATTGCCGACGCTTAAACGCTTAGGTCGTTACACAGGGTACTCATTCGAATACTGATCCGAGGAAAATAGAAATTGATTTTTATTACAGGAAGCCACGACTGAAATTTTCGGCGTTTTAGGTTTTATTTGATTTTGTTCAGAGAAGAAACTATTCCACAAATAAGTAACTTCAGACAAAATATTTTATTATTTGTTTTGAAATAGTTTGATAACTTTTAAAGTAAAGTAAGAGGTTAAAGATTTGCTGAAATTCTTATTTCTAAGTATTCGATACTCCTTCTAAAGGCAATCCATTTAGCTAAGATGCCAGCGATACTTTTAAATCCAAATTGTGGAGAAACTTTACGAGTCGATGAAAAAACAAGAGTAACGGCTTACCGATGCTGGTAGCTTGGCACATGTAGGCGCCAGTGTCGGCGAAGGCAATGTTTTTTATTTTCAGGGCAGTTCCGTTTCCAATTATTTGATACTTCCTGGGCACGTCGAGGTGCAGGGGTTCGTCGTTCTTTAACCACTCCACCTACAAATTAAAATTGATGAATAACGTAAACACGAACACCGAATTCGGGTTTAAATCGGCACTACTTGGAATAGTAAATGATAAATTTTAGTTGATGAGAATTTAAAGAAAAAAAAAAAATAGTTAGAATCGGTTCTGTTCCATTATTTCTAAATTAAAATTTTGTTTTAATCATCTTACCTTCGGGAATGGCTCCCCAGCAACATGGCACAGCATCGAAGCATCTTCGCCGGGCCTTTTTGATTGTATACGGGGTGTTACATGAACTTCAGGTACAGCTGTGACAATGAAACAATTATAGTCCAAGCATTCTGTCACGGATTAATGTTAAATTTGCAGAAATTATTACCTGGACAAAAAAATATGACCGTATAGAAAGCCCTAGAAGGTCGTAGAAATTTTTTTTAATTCGTGAAAAAATGTCAGCAGTTTAAAAGTCATTTTCATAAAATAAAAATTGAAATAGTTATTTGAAAAAAACATACCCAAAAAAGTGCAACTTTTTCAGTCATTTTTTGATCCTTAAAATTAATAAAATCGTCAACATTTTTTAACAGCATGATAATATAACTCTTTACGAAGAAAATAAACCAAAAATCGTCACTGTAGGGCTATCCGCTGAGAAGATCTAGCCAATTTTCGAGAGCGCCTTTTTTTCAAAAAATCGATATATCTCGAAAAATAATTAATATTTTTAAATTTTTCAAAAATGTACTTTTTTGGCTTGATGCGGGCTATGCTTGCAGTAAATAGCAAGTATGGGAACGTAAATGTAAACGAGTTATAGAAGAAGAGAAAAGAGAAGATTTTTAACGGTTTTTTCGATATATCCCGAAAAGTAACAAAGCAATCGATACTTACAAAAAATCAGTCGATGGATCTTTTTAAAACCTACAACTTTCTCATTTAAAATTTTTCAGTCGGTGCTATATTTTTTTAGTTATTTTGGAATAACCGTTTTTTGCAACTTTGCGTTTTTTTTAACCATGTTCGCCATTTTGGATCGTGTTTAAAGAACAAGAAACTCGATTTAAAATTTAAATTTCTATACGGTCATATTTTTTTGTCTAGGTTATAATTTCTGTAAGCATTTCTCTATAATTCTTGGACTATTAAGAATAAATACATTGCTGGGATTATATGCAAAATGTTTAAAAAAGTAGGGAGAATGCTCATCTAAAGATAAGATTAACAATTTTTTATATTTTTGTTTTTTCAAAATATACAGGATAAGTGACATATTAAACGTTTTAGAGAAACGAAAGATAATATGACTCCGAAATTTTCATTACGGGGGTTATCAGATATGTTCTCTTTAATGAAAATAATGCCATCAGCGTAGCACTTCCGATTATACCGGAAGTAGCTGACAACTTCGTTAATTTAAATGGGACACCCTACATATTATTGCATTATCGACAAGATGAATAAAAAACATGCTATTAGAGCTTCATCTGCACTTTTTTAATCAACGTATTCTCTTGTTCCTGTGGCCATCCTAGAAATGAAAAATGGCTTTAGAAGATAGCCAGCTATCAGTATCAGGTGTAGCTGAACTTCTAAAGAATATTGATGACTTCGGTTGTCCCTTGGTAGTCTGCGAATTGCAATGTTGTTGAAGTGCAGCTGTCTCAAACAGAAGAGACAAGCCAAATATTAATATGAGTAGCCGCAACTCCTTCTGTTTATAATTACAGATATAAATGTAGCATTGTTCGGGTAATATAACTCTAATAATAATAATGAATCCATTTTTTATTCGTTTTTTTATAGTTTGTTAATCATGCTTTTAAAATAGAATTTAGAAATAAAAGAGATTGGCGTATATGCAGCTGAACTTATGAATATACGCATTTTTTTTAATTGCAGAACAAAAGAGGCTAATTTGTGACAGAATAACATGTCCGTTTCGATTAGGTGAAACCTACTTATGTGTTGACATTGTCCTTATTTACATCTTATTCGTTCACAAATGTAATTTTACCCAATTATTTCTAATACCTGCTGAGATTCCGCCTAATGAGAATTAATAGTTCTGTTTATAAAGTTCGGGAGCACTTAGAACTAATTGTTTAAATCAAGAATAATTATTATAATAATAAGATACCATTATCTGGGCACTGTCGAGTTCGGAGAAGTTGCTCGAAAGTTGAAGAAAATCGTTGATTAAGTGGAGAAAATTGCGGGCGAACAAGAATTAACGAGTTGTGTCAGTTTTGTTGGGCTTCTATAACTTTTCGGTACGGTTTCGACAATTTCGAGTAGCTGATGTTTTTAAAATAATGTTTAGACAGTAATAAATGTTACTAACTGACACTGTAAATTGTATTTTTACATTTACATTTAAATCATGACGTTCTTTATTTATACAAATTTTAGAATAGGGTTTTTAGAATTATTGAACGTGATTAAAAAAAAGTATAATGTAGTGTCTTTATTTTTTAATGTTCCTTAAGATTTTCAAGAAAACAATTATGATTTCAAAAAATTAACGGAATTGGTCAATATGTAACAGGATGTCTTCCATAAAAATTTTTTTAGAAATATGAGAGTAGTAGCTGATTTTATACATAGATTTCTATAATATACTGTAATAGACTACAAGTCCATTGGAAATTTTCAAGGGGTCATTTGACCCAGCATGAATTTCTTATAAATCAATACTCAAATGACCCCTTGAATATTTCCGATGGGCTTGTAGTCTATAGCAGTTAAGAAACGCCAAACCAAAGTTGTCAAGACAAACAATTTGTTAGATTAAAAGCATTTTGAAATATATTTTTATTTTTGAATAATTAAGTAGGCCTCGTCAGAGGCAAATAATTTCGTTGCATAGAAAATATACTTTTAACTGATCTACAATTGAATTATTCATACAGCGTAGTAAAAAAGTTCTGCATAAAATTCATATTTTCGTTTGAAAAACAATTTTTTTTCGAAAAACGGTGAGACCCGTCGATTTTTATTTGATCCAGGGCACCTTGTTATGTGGAAAAAATTTTTTTTCGATAATCCACTTACGGCAGCGATGACATATTTTTTTTTAAATGACAACGCATATTTTTTTCGTTCGAAATTGATGACAGTGATAATTATCTAAACAACGGTGTGAAAATTTCGATGTAATACATAACAATTTTTTTTAGAAAAATGCACCTTAAGTTCTTATAAGTGATAATTGTCTACTTACACTATTAATGGCTCCGAAAAGGACAAAGTTGACAAAATTACATTTCAAAGGAGTAAAATTACACTAATGTTTGTGTAAGTCTAGCGAAATTGTTCGAATTGCCCACCCTGTACCATTTGACATTGTCCTAAGGGTATGTAAACGCCGTCGACAATTCGTTCAAGCATTCCCGGGTCGATTTGATTTATTTCAAAACGAATACGGTTTTTTCCAAATCACCTGGTCTGTTTGTGTACACACGCGATTTCAAATAGCCCCACAAAAAAAAAGTCTAGAGGTGTTAAATCAGGCGAACGCGGAGGCCACTCGATTGTTCCGCGTCGCTCGATCCACCGGCCAGTAAACGTAAATCAAATCGACCCGGGAATGCTTGAACGAAGTGTAGACGGCGTTTACACACGCTTAGGACAATGCCAAATGGTACAGGGCGGGCAATTCGAACAATTTCGCTAGACTTACACAAACATTAGTGTAATTTTACTCGTTTGAAATGTAATTTTGTCAACTTTGTCCTTTTCGGAGCCATTAATAGTGTAAGTAGACAATTAGCACTTATAAGAAGTTAAGGTGCATTTTTCTAAAAAAAATTGTTATGTAAGACATCGAAATTTTCACACCGTTGTTTAGATAATTATCACTGTCATCAATTTCGAACGAAAAAAATATGCGTTGTCATTTAAAAAAAAAATTATATCATCGCTGCCGTAAGTAAATAAAAATCGACGAGTCTCACCGTTTTTCGAAAAAAAATTGTTTATCGAAAATATGAATTTTATGTAGAACTTTTTTACCACGCTATATATAAACCATTTAAGGGCATTGAGACAGCCGGTAGTTTTAAACCTTTTGGGCTCTCTATGACTCTTTGGACTAAATTGGTCCAAGGAACACCCCCTTGAAGTTATGTCATGGATTTAGAGAACACTGCGGAAATCTCTTAATAGTAGGTACCCTTTTATTTATTAAGGCGACAGTAATAGCGCTTTATGTAACATTTGTGCCGTTTCGCGTAGTTCTTTGTGGGAGTCGTTTCCGGAACTGGAGTTCACTTGTAAAAAAAAAATGGTAACATTAGTAACAACTCACTGTGCACGGTGAGGACGTGGGTCTGGACGACGTCCTTGTTCCTCTGAGCGTGGCAGGTGTAATTGCCGGCGTGCTGCAGCTGGATCCTCGTCAGATAAAGGCTGCCGTCGCTGAACACCCTCACATCCTCTTCGTTAAGGGAGGACAGGTCTAAGTGGTTCCTCCTCCAGACGATGGGCGGGACGGGGGATCCCGTTACATCGCACTTTATTTCGACGTTGTCGCCCACCCTGGCAGTCAGGTGGTTGGTTTCGAGGGCCTTGTCCAAGGACACCACCGAGACACCTGGAGCGACAGAAACTCGATATGTAATCGGAGTAGGGAAAGGGATATTTAAAACGCGACACGTCTCTCGGGTGTCGAAAGGGCACCTTTGATACTTCATTTGTTGAACAACTACGTAGTTTGCTTGTTGTTTAAACAGTGAAAATGGCGTCTACAGAGAATTTTCTCAATGGGGGCCCAATTTCAAAAGAAAATTCGTTTTTTTTATTGGAACAAAAAATACTATTACATTTTATAATATATGAATTCATTTTCAGTTGTCAAAGCCTACTTTTTATTTTTTTTTCGGAGTCAAATTTGACATAAATTGGTTAGCGAATTAAAATCTTCTTTCCTAAAGATCATCCACAATCTTATCAAATAAATCAAGTGTCATGAACCAGGAGGGTCAAAAAGCAAGAGACATTTTCTATAAACTCTATTGCGACAATATTATTAAATAATTCCAATTATTTCATGTCTCCCTCGTATACAAGCGATGTCCCCCCATTTTTAATCGGGATCCTACAGGAGATTTCCCCTTCAGCAAGATCCACCTCAATTTATACAAATGTCGCGTGCAGCGACGAGAATTGTGATTAATCGAATCCGTCGAACCTCAACATCTTACAGTAGGGCTTTCCCATTGTGAACTTTGTTTTGCACTCTGGGCTTACAAGACGTGGATAGGTTCGAAGTGAGCAGATCTTGAGCGGAACATTGTTTTGACAAAAACCAGTCTGAGGAGCCGATAGGTTTTAGGAGACAAAGGACAAATACATAATACTGGAACTGTTAATTCCCAATGGAGACATTGCTTTCACGATTTACACTGTAATCGGAAAACGAAAAAGATCACTCTGGAGGAGGTAACAAGCAAATGTACAAGGGGATTCGCAAATGGTGACCAAAAATGAAACCTCGCATTCTTTGGTGAATTTTAAGGGGGAGTGTTTCATATAAGGTTTTTATGTAGGACGCTTCGTTAAAAAAATACAGGGTGTTAAACTTCAAAAAATATTTTTAGTTTTTTTAAATAATTTAAAAACTAATAAGTGAAATAATTTGAAATTGGGCATATGTATTTATGTAGACATTGTCCAAAATCTGAGGCCTTTTCTTAAAATATAGATACAGGGTATCGGTGGCATATTTTTCTAAATAAAATAGTACGCCACTGCTTTACGGCAACAACCGTGATATTTTCTATAAATTATTATATGTTTTTCGAAAAAAGCCTGATTTTCGACTAAAACTTAAAAAACCAACTGAAAACACTTTTACTTAAATGACATGACAAGCACTAATCATTCGGTTATTTATTCGAATAAAGAAATTAAATCATTTTAATGATATTATTTGAGTAAATGCTTAAAAATCTCTACATTTCCTCTAACACAGGCCCGACATCTTTTTAGTAACGAAAATGTAATTTGTTCGAAATTTTGTTGCGTGAATATGATGAAAAGCTTATTTACGCTTTCTTCTAACTGCTCAGAATTCTCAAAGTTGCTGTCGCAGCCCACTATGTAATTTTAAAAAGCATTATATTCGAATATCGAAGTGTGTTCTCAGTTGTTTTTTAAGTTTTACTCTAAAATCAGGTTTTTTTCGAAAAACATAAGAGTAGTAATTGGTAGAAAATTGACAGACGAATCCGAAAATATCATGGTTGTTACCGTAAAGCAGTGGCGTACTATTTTGTTTAGAAAAATATGCCACCGACACCCTATATCTCCGCCACTGGAGTATGTAAATTTTAGGAAAAGCCCTCAGATGATGCGCAATGTTTATATAAATACATGTGCCAAATTTGAAATTATTTCACTTACTAGTTTTTAATTTATTTAAAAAAATTAAAAATATTTTTTGAAGTTTAACTAGATAAAAACTTTATATTAAAGACTCCGCTTAAAATTCACCAAAGAATACGTGGTTTAATTTTTGGTCACCATTTGTGAATCACCCTATATAAAGAAAAGTATATAAAGAAAAAAAAAACAAACAAAATGAGAAATAATTTCATACCGATCCAAAGAAAGCAAATAAATTTATAAGAAAATAAACAATGATGGGAAAATTCAATTCATTGTCAAAAAAGCAATAAAAGTATTGCGTGAAAAATAGATTTATGCCAAAATTACTTACTGTAGAGCTTGCTGAAAGCAACGTAAAACTCATTAATGCTTAGCTTTCCATCGTGGTCAGTATCGTCGTACTGTATCATGTTTGAGAGAGAACAACCACTGCTCAAAGAATCCAGTCGCTCTTGCACCGCGATCTGGAACATTGAAATTACTTTTTAAATATATTCAATAGTATGGCGGGAAGCAACTACTCTGCGGACAACATCACTGAATTACACCCGCAATAGTTAGGGCGATCCGTGATCAGAACCACCAGACATTAATTTACTATATTTACTGGACGGGGTCCGTAGTCCGCAGAGTAGTTGTTTTCCACAATATCAATAGTCGTTTCCCTTACTAAAAATTTACACACATTCTGAAACCATGTTTCCATTGTATGTATTAGTATTTCTCAAGACAGTTATAATAGTTTCGTCGCGATTTTACGACGCTGCAATTAAAGCGTAAGCCGTTCCATCCGAGACGGTAACAGCGCACGTGAGACAGATATAATAGAGCTTTACGTCGGCAATTCCTCTTTATAGTCAAACATTTCGGGATAAGACGAATAACGTATTTTTTAAACTGGGAATTTATTAATAAATGTGACACAATAAAACCCCATCACTCACCTCGTTCAACTCCGTCGCCTCCAAGTTCCCATTGTTATTCCTGTCATAGTGAGAGAACATAATGGATACCAAGTAATCCTTGCTATGATTATCCTGTGACATCAGCCTGGCGTGGTTGTACAATAATAAATTGTCCTGGAAACAAAAAGAAAGAAGTTCGCCGAATAACTTTATTGTAGATTGTCAACGGGAAGGTGAAATATAGGTACGTGTATAAAGATACAGTTTCGGGTACGTAACCAAGGTTCTATTACTTAGTTACTTAGAAAGTGGATCAGTGGCCTTATTGTATTCAATTAGCTAAGGTCAAGGTCGAAGTTGCTCCCAACTAGGTCTGTATAACAAACCAATTCACGCTTGCTGTTCAAAATTTGTGCTGTGGAGAGCTTTTATTCCCAAGTTAAAGAGAGGTTTTTAATTACCATTCGGAAGTTCGGTAAAATGGAAGTTGGGGATTCCATGGAGTATTAGGATGTACTTCGGGACTTTACTTCATAACTGGCAATATTTGATGAAAATTATTTATATAGTATCGTATTTTAAACTCGCTTAATGTTTTCAAATTATTGGTGTGACAGATACCCTTGTATTTAATGATCAATCTGAGTTTGGAATTTCAGTAGATTTATATAATTACTAGGTTGACCCGGCAAACGTTGTTTTGCCATATAAATTAATCCTAGGATTATTTTAGTAGTTTTTTCATAAAGAAATTTCACTTCTACCATCTATATTATATTTAGTGTTATTCAGTGTATATCGTGTATATTTTTTTTATTAATAGTAATAGTAAATGTCATTATTACGGTTGATGCACAATAATAATAATGGCCGAAAACTGTAGGGAGTGAGAAACGGCTCATTGTGTGAGAGAGATCTCATCCCTACTCCGTGCTGTTTACTGGGTCAGAAGTGACACCGGTCAACGCCTGGCGGGGATAAAAAAAATGATCAAGTGATAATTGATCAGTTATCGACCGGGGTTGAAAATTATTGAATTACTAATATCGCTATTAAAAAATAAGGGTTGATGGTAGAAGGGTGAAAATTTAGGATTGTATGTATTTTTTAAGGCCACATCATAAAAAAATAAAATTTTGTCCAAAAAACAAAAAAAAATTTTTTTGGGGTGGGCCACCCTTAACATTTAGGGGTATGAAAAATAGATGTTGGCCGATTCTCAGACCTGCCCGATAAGCACACAAAATTTCAACAAAATCGGTCCAGCCGTTTCGGAGGAGTACGGGAACGAACATTGTGACACGAGAATTTTATATATAAGATTTAACAATTTTTCGAAATATGTTTTCAGTTTTATTAATACCTACGTAGATATTTGAGTTTTATTTGATAGTGTTTTGAGTATTTAAAAGCTAAATTGTGAAATGCAACATAAATTTAGTTTAAAATAGAGAAAACTAAGTCATCCTAAACTGCAGTATTTATACTCGAATTTATATGACTCGTAACTAATTTCACATTGCCAAATGATAGAATAAATGATGGAAAATAAACAAATGGGAAGCATTTTCTGAAGGATATCTTCCTATTTTTATCGACAGAATGCAGAAACGTGCGAATACATTTGAGACTACAGATGGCGCCATCTTAAAAGTAATTGCAAAGTTACCGATCTAACATATAAAACTAACAATATATTCACAGATTTATCTCAGAATTTTAACGATAATATTGTTATACAAAGCTTTATATTTTACTGTCAATCTATCAATTTTTTTTTAAATTACAAATTTGCAACCTGGAATTTTTTTTATATTTTAGCCTTAGTTGCAAAATGAAATATACGACGCACGAGCGTGATAAAGTTATATATCGTCAAGATTCGTTAAAAAACAACGGAGTTACAGACTGTCAAATATATTATTTCAAGCGAATTTCGCTTGTTTAACGACAGGGCTATCGTCATTTTCTTCGGACTCGCTGTCGTTCGCTTCTCCCACCACTCGCCGAAAATCAAGCGACCCACTGACTTTTGACAATATTTCTTATGCACTTATCATACTTCCACAAATAAAATATTTTTATCTGGGAAAGAACTCGGGTTGCTGGTTATGACAGTATTTTTTTTTGCCGCTACCAACCTAATTTGTTTAACAATAGGCCGTCAAGTTTGACAGTCTGTAACTCCGTTGTTTTTCAAAAATTATACAATTAACCACGTGTAAACAATCTTCCCCCCATTTTTATGACTGTAGTTATTGTACATAATATTTAGCATCTATAGTGATAAATTGAGCTTGCCGAAACAAAAAGTCGCGCCCAACCCTATGTTTCACAAAGAGAATGGACCCTCTTGAGTCAATTATGGTAATTTGACAATGCAACTTTTTATTTTAATATGAACACTAAATGAATAAATAGTTAAATGTTTAATACTGTTTTCCTTATAATTATTTTGTTTCGCTAGTGATTGAAATTTGATTTTAGTCTTTAAAGATCAACCTATAAAATTGCAACTTTATGACAAAGTATCTTTCTGACACTTAGGAAACATAATTAAAACATCGCCATCTTATGAACAGTTCGAAAAAAGTTACATTCGTTAAGAAGAAACGATTGTTTCTCCAGTTCCCTTCTTTTTAAAACGTACCCCAAAACTCACCTTCATAACTTCGTACTCCTGCATCGAACAGTCGTCCTTATCGTAATACAGATCGCCCTTCTCACCCCTCCCGCCCGCGCCGTCCTCAATCTCGTTCTCCAAGTAGCTGGGCTCCTCGGAAGTCGACGTCGGTGGCGGGACCTCGGTCTGCGGCAGGAGATAAGAATATCGGGTTAGGCTGAACAAATATTTGCGGCCTCATACAATTTCACATTACACGGACAACTTTTTTATTATTATGCATTATAATACAAACAGGAGGGCCCCGGGGCTACTCCCCCGGGCGACGCTTCGCTTTCGCCGTTTTCTGTTTCCTCGCGTATTATGTTTCTTTGTTTGCACTTGGGCGGGGGGAGGACAAGGGGTTCGTCAAAAAGTCGCCTGTTTTATATTTTCGTTTCTAAGGACGTGCTTTCGGATAACAAAGGCGGGTTTAATGAAGCATTAGTTGGCAAATTAGTGCGTAGGACTTGCTTGAATGGGGGGGTTTGCTCCGTATCCTAAATATCACAAAAGGAGGCTTTAGCAGGTTAGTTATCGCCATGCTAATTAATCGGTCGGATTCAGTTTTATTATTGTAGCGTTAAAAGGTATAACTTCGCGAACTTTAGTTTACTAGATATTTAAATACTACAACCTAAAAGAAAACATTTGGGCACTATGCCGTCAATTCTCCGTGACATATGAGTTGTCAGCGGAAAATCAAACTTTCCAATTTTGGGCCGGGTAAATTAAATAAATAGAAATTGACGGCATTTCGACCCAAGACAGATATTAGAAAAATAAGACATAAAAACCTTATGCCGTACAAAAATAACGGTTCTGTAAAGAATAAAAAATTTAATTTTCCAAATATTTTTACTAATGTAATAGTAAATTATGTAACGAGTGGTGAAAAGTTGCCAATAGCGCCATGCGAGCGCGCGTGATAGAAACATTATAGAAAACTGTACGGCGTGACTGATTTTAAATAAATATATTTATTTGAAAATTATATGCCGTACGAATGCACTAGCTCTAAGGGCTTTTAACCCTTGCTGAACCCTTACCATTTACGTAGAATAAGGAAAATTATTAGAGGCACCCTAAAATTTCAGAAAGCGCTATATAAAACTATACCTCAAGTCATTATGCCGTACATTTTTTATGGCACCTGAGGTAGGTAGGTAGGGAAATTAATTTTCCGCTCAAGGGGTGGATATTTTATTGAAAAGTTCCTGTTCGGCATTTGTGCCCTTTTCGAATTCATTAAAAATTAACTATTAAAAAAGTATTGTATACATATCTTGGCACTAAAGGGAAAAAAAGGCCCCAAAGTTAAAAAGAACGTTTGCATATAATTGCAATTTAATATGTGAAAAAAATAATAAAAAGCATTTGAATTTATTGCAAAATTCTCAAAATCAAAAAATATTAATAAAAATAATGCGGTCGATAAAATTACAATTTTAACTTCTTGAAAGGCGGTGAATTTGATTCCATATCATTTTCTTCTTCTTTATCATATGAATCTTTGCAATATAATCAAAATTAATTCAAAAAATATTAATCACAACCATTTACAATAATAGATAGAATGCAATATAATACAATTTAAAATTTTTTCTATTTTTATAAGAAATAATAATTTGAAAATAATTTGTGAATTTTTACATTTAAATCGTAATTAAATAACTAACAAAATATTGAAAAAATAAGTTTACTTTGGCTTAATATATAAAAAAAATAACTTTTTAAATGAACGATAGCTTCATTTACAGTGGCTCTATACAAGAAATTCAAAATTTTTTAAAAATTCTTATAGATTTTCGTTTGTAGTTGTTTGTAGTAACAATATTTTCGTTTGTAGTAGCTCAAGAAAAATGTTATATGGCCTATAAAAAAACCCATCCCCCCAATTTAGCCGCATTTAAATCTGATGGTTGATTCCTATAGAAAATCGTTTGTAGTTGATTGTAGTGAACGAATTTTCGTTTGTAGTAGCAAGGAAAAAACGTTAGTGCTATTTTAAAAATTTGCCATTAGTAAATTTAGAAAGCGCTTTTAATTTCAAGTTTATTTGTGTATAATAACTTCTATACGTCAAATTATGTTTTTAAAATTGTTTAAAGTTGTTTGTCGTTGCACATATTTCGTTTGTAGTTCAGCGGAAACTAAATAAAAGTCACTACATTCCAAACTGTCGCTCCAAAATCGTTTGTAGTTGTTTGTAGTAGCGTTTATTTCGTTTGTAGTTCTTCGAAAACTGACGAAGAGTCACTAAACTCCAAGCTCTGGCTTTAAAATCGTTTGTAGTTGTCTGTAGTAGCGTTTATTTCGTTTGTAGTTACATGAAAACTGACGAAGAGTCACTAAACTCCAAGCTCTGGCTTTAAAATCGTTTGTAGTTGTCTGTAGTAGCGTTTATTTCGTTTGTAGTTACATGAAAACTGATGAAAAGCCACTAAACTCCAAGCTCTGGCTTTAAAATCGTTAGTAGTTGTTTGTAATAGCGTTTATTTCGATTGTAGTTCTTCAAAAACTGACGAAAAATCACAAAACTCCAAGCTCTGGCTTTTAACGTGTTTGTAATTGTTTGTAGTAGCGTTTACTTCGTTTGTAGTTCTTCGAAAACTGACGAAAAATCACCAACCTCCAAGCTCTGGCTTTAAAATCGTTTGTAGCTGTTTGTAGTAGCGTTTATTTCGTTTGTAGTTCTTCGAAAACTGACGAAAAGTCACTAAACTCCAAACTCTGGCTTTAAAATCGTTTGTAGTTGTTTGTAGTAGCGTTTATTTCGTTTGTAGTTCTTCGAAAACTGACGAAAAGTCACTAAACTCCAAACTCTGGCTTTAAAATCGTTTGTAGTTGTTTGTAGTAGCGTTTATTTCGTTTGTAGTTCTTCGAAAACTCACCAAAAGTCACTAAACTCCAAACTCTGGCTTTAAAATCGTTTGTAGTTGTTTGTAGTAGCGTTTATTTCGTTTGAAGGTCTTCGAAAACTGACGAAATGTCTCCAAACTCGAAGCTCTGGTTTTAAAACTGTTTGTATTGGAAATCCAATTGGTAAAAACAAAGCCCCTCCTTATCTTTTTAACTGTTGAAAATATCGAAAAAGTAACTCTGGCGTCCCTCTATCATTTTGTTCGAGGATTTCAGCAGACCAGACCGCACCCTTCTAGGTCGAAAACTAAAAATTTTACGGGCTGTTCGCCAATTTCAAAACGCACGTGACTTAAAACGTGACCTAACAAAGCCCTTTCATATCTTTTTAACCGTTGAAAATATCGAAAAACTAACTCTGGCGTCCCTCTAGCAAATCGTTCCTGGCGTCCCTCTAGCATTTCGTTAGAGGATTCCAGCAAACCAAACCGCACGATTCCAGCAAACCAAACCGCACCCTTCTAAGTCGAAAAATAAAAAAGTTACGGGCTGTTCGCCAATTTCAAAAGTCACGTGACTTAAAACGTGACCTAACAAAGTCCCTCTATATCTTCTTAACCGTTGAAAATATTGAAAAAGTAACTCTGGCGTCCCTCTAGCATTTCGTTCGATGATTCCAGCAAACCAAACCGCACCCTTCTAGGTCGAAAAATAAAATTTGTATGGGCTGTTTGCCAATTTCAAAAGTCATGTGACTTAAAACGTGACCTAACATAGCCCCTCCATATCTTTTTAACCGCTGAAAATATCGAAAAAGTAACTCTGGCGTCCCTCTAGCATTTCGTTCAAAGATTCCATAAAATATTGTTACTACAAACGAAAATCTATAAGAATTTCAAAAAAAAATTTGAATTTTGAAAAGTCGGGTGCCAGGTTCACATACAAGTAAGTGTCACTGTAGCTTCATTTATTTATTTAATAATAGTAAAATAATTCCGAAATTCGCTAGTTTCGAAACATCCTGTATTCACAGAGTATATTATCATTTTAGGTGTTAGCTTTTTGTCGTACATGTTCCGCCTGCATAATAAAGATCAGTCGTTCCCTGGTGCACTGGAGTTTTCGGCAGAGAGAATTTTTTATAAATATTTACTCGCAGGAGCATTCTTTTTATCATAACTCGCAATAAAAACTAAAGGCCCCGTTCATTTCCTCGCAGTTCTCCCCGAAGTACAGCGGACGCCTTTCGAACCTATTTTTTTGTCTCTACACTTTTTACATAGCTTTGTTTGTGCCCCAAAAGCGTAAAGAGGCTTGTCAAAAGATCATTTGTTTCGGATATTATCATTGTTCCCAAGAAAACTCCTATTGTTAAGGCTGTTGTAAGCAAGCATTAGTGAAATAAGAGATGTTCAGAGTGAAATGTAACGCTAAATAAAGATACCATTTATTCGAAGCTAAAGAACTAATCAAATTCTGTATACATCTGATGTCTGGTCAGGGCATTAGTCCGCAGAGCAGTTGTTTCCAGCAATGCCATCTGATTTAAAAAAAAACAAAGTTTGTTCTGCACTTTTTGGGTCACTTTTGAACTAATGCAGATGTGTACAAGATAGGCTCGTGGTTTATTAATAGAAATCTCAATGTTTTTTGGAGTACTACCTGTTTGAATCACCCAAACTGGAACACCCAGTAAAATTATTACAATTGTCGGGTTTTCAGGCCTCGTAGCAGTACAGCTAAGTGAAAATTTCGTTAGAATTTGACTTTGTGCCATTGAAGAACATAAAGGAACGGGCCGAAGGCTCGGTTATATAGAACGTTAAATTAATTATTCCTGCACTCAATTCCAATTATCGTTTAATTAGTGACTGTAAGTTAATACTGGGTTGTAAATTAAACGTCGACAGTAAGTGGCAAATTGGCAGCGATTGATCTACACGTCTATGGATATTGCGAAGATATTATTCTGCTTTCATAATTTCACAGCTTTGACATCTTTACGTAAAACATACTCATTTGTTTGAGGTAATTTAACTAAATTCGGTTTCTAGACATAAGATATCCTCTATCTTTCACTGCTTTATGAGAGACAGAGAGAATGTTCGTGGTGAAGATACGAGTCGATGTTGCGTTATTAAAATTTATATTTTTTCATTAGAAATTGTATGTGCTCCTAATTCATGTCAAAAGGTATATTTCTTAGGCGCAACTCCTTGCGAGCAACGTCCTACTTACTTCTGGCATAGTCCTTAGCCGCCTTGTTATCTATTTATGCTACTTGGAAGCGCTGGCCTGTATTACTATCCTTTGTAATCCTTTCACAGGCACCGAAATTCGATCGCGTGTATTTTTAGAATATCGCATTACTGTTGAACGATTTGTTTTAACATGAAATTTATTTATTTATTGTTGCTTGCAATTTCCGAATAATTCAGCATGATAATTTACGATCGGATCTGATGTTAGTTTAAAACAAAATTGGAAAGTTTAAATTATTTGGAATAAATTAAAAGGGGTTTGTTTAGACACGGTGTTTTTTTTCGTATACAATAAATTGATGGAAAAAACATCAGATATGGCCGCTATCGTTTCGTTTTTAATTATACGGCGTAATAAAAATAATTAATGGTGTTGAGACGGACGTAAACAAAATATTTTTAGCTTTGCAGTTTGTTCTTCATTAAACCCAGTAAAATATCATCCAGAATTGCGGAAAACACGAGGTTTTAAAATGCTCTGATCTGATATATCAAAAAAGACACATTAGAGAATAATAGTTGTTGTATTATGCCACTTTTGCACACTATAAATTAGTTTTCATAAAGCCCAGTACCTAAATGACAAAAAAAAATTGTAAAAAATTCGGTTCAGATTGAAACTAATAAACAATTTTCTTAAAAAACAATATTTTTATGTAAAAAAATTCAGCAAATGATATTTTTTATGTATAAAGTTTATTTTAATGAGAATCAAGTGTTTTAATTTACTTACCTGTTTTAAAATATATGTTATTTAATGTTAAAAAGTAATACTATTATGCATATTACATCCAAAAACTCGATTCTCATGTTTTTTAAAAAAAATTGTTTATTGGTACCATTGTGAAAAATTATTTCTTGAAAAAATGCGAGAAAAATTTTTTTTTTTGAAAAGTACTTAATAGTTTTCTTTTTTTATAGCAAATTCAAATTTCGCTGGTTTTTTGCAATTATTTAAGCAAATGGATTTTAATTTAGCAGGTCTCAAATGAAGCGTTAATGAAAATCTATAAGTATAAACAAAAGTAGAAACTCCTGTTGGAGAACGCCTTTTAATACAGCGAAAAAACTCAATTTTTGATAATTTTTATATTATAATATTTGTTTAAACAATGATCTTGTTGTTTTAAATCGATACTTTTTGGGAAATATTATTTCTATTTGCCTAAACTAACGATTAACCCAAGATTCAATCTGAAACGAATTACCTGTATTACAAATTTTATTTACTGGGCTATATAAGTACACAATCAAGATCAAGAAAATATTTTTCGTGCCGTTTTTTATAATTCTTTCGTATTCTTTATTGTTTAGCGACATAATAGACTTTTTTAACAAAAGTATTTTTTAATAACCTATGGGATTCAGGTCTGGTAATTTAGGCGGCCAGAATTGACCCACCTAAAAATATGCTAGCTTCAAATCGACTACCCTGGGACCCTATATTTATTTGACCCAATAATTTTATCCATAGCCACTTGATTCTCTACATCTACTTAGGAAACACGCTGTATATTATAGTTCGACAAACAATCGAAATTATGAATGTCATTCTCATTTAATTTATGAACAAAGTAACAGGAATTTTATGGGAAAGTCACCATTTAGTATTTAACAAAAGATAAAATAACAAATAATTTGAAAACATGCCGAATCGTTTATAAATTAGCCAGCGGCGTAGAACCCGTTTCCAAAAAAAGGTCCCATTTACGAAAAAAATTATTGTTTTTAGGTAAACGAATCCTCATAAAACGTATTCCTATTTCAATGTCTATTTATCTACATATTTTTTACTAATACCTCTCTGATCAACGGAGCGTATGTTGTGGGGGGCGGGGTGCCTTCGGGTGTCCCGGTGGGAGTCTCTGTCGTGGCATCTGGCTGTTGTGTGTTGGGGGCACTTGTCGTCGATCGGTAGGCGCGTGTTTTGGACTGGTGGTCTCCAACAGCAGGCCACCCTTTACCTGTAAACATGGAGGACACTTAGCCGAGGTCGGCGACACTGCAATTTACAGGGCATAATGTCATTAATTAGGGTAGACAATTGGGGGGAAGGGGGGCGGGATAAGCGGGATAATATCTCAAAGGGTAGGTGAAGTGTGCTCGACAGCCACACACATATTAAACTAAAGCGTTTAGGAAATTATTATTGGCGGTATTATCCGGCTTAATTTTAATTTAATTTTCGTTTAAGAATAGTTTCTGTCCGTCCATCGTTGTGTAGTTGCTTTGTTATAATCGAAAGAGAGGTAAAAATCCACAGGGCGCAATTCTGGCCTTCATTTATTTTATTGCGTCTTTTTTTAATTAAAGATCATTTCTGTGTATAATAAAGTTGTTAATCAAGGTAGCTTGAAGAGCATTTTATATAAATTTTGAATTGAGGCTCTTCTTCAACCACTTCCTGATCTCTAAAATAGAGCTCGTGGGCGAGTAGGTTCAGTTTTAAAGTAACCAGACACGGTGTACATGTTTTAATTCCTGCGGTATCTTGGTCCAAAATTAATTAGCCGACTGGGTAGATTACATTTGGCTGGGGATTTGCATACTGATTACGTAGTCCGTACAATCTGTTTTAGGTATTAGTGTAATTTGCAGATCCAAGGAGGCACAAAGTAGCGCTGCCTGCGCTGTTCTTTTGGGAACAAATGAAATAATGAATAAAACAAATACGGTTTGTTATAAAGTTACGTCGTTTTTTTCATTCTTTCATTTTTATTCGCACTTTTAACCTGTAAGAAATAGACAGGACTAATTATTTCGGGAGATACGTACCGATTTTGACGCAGAACGTGCCTCTCATGGCCGTTATGGCCGACGTTTGCATACAGGCGGCCCTGTGGAGCTCGCAGTGGTTCGAATAAATCCGTCCGTCTGACCCGCACACGGCCCTACGGTGAGATGGACACTGCCTTTGGCAAATGCATTTCGCCTCTCCTTTTTCTACCACACACTCCCTCCCCTTCATGCAGTACTGGACGAGGCAGGGATCTGGAAAGAATAATAAATAATGTATCCATCCAAAAGATTTTCGTTAGTCCACCCTGTACATTTATACAGCTACAAGCTCTATGACAAACTTTGACAGTTGGTAGTTGGGTTAATTTCAAATATTTTTTCTTATACGAGCATAGTTTCGATTCGTATTTGTTTAGAAGTTACAACCATTTTAAAAAATATTACTTCTTATTTCAAAATAGCTTGATAAATAAAAATGATGGTTTCATTGTCAGTAATTACAATAGGGATTTTTTAAGCAATGAAATTACTTTTTTTCATTTTAAGAACAGAGAAAATGAGAACGAGCACGATCTTTTCCCAACATCAGTTTCTTTAAACTTACACTCAACTAATTGCATTTCAATTGCTCTGAATGATTCATTGCGAAACTTTCCGCAAGGCACTTCAGTAATTAGCAGAATAAATTGGCTTTTACCGTTTAAAGAAGCGCTAATAATTTTTTATGTTATTAGGTCTAATTGAAATAAGTTCTTGTATAAAAAAAATAAAAACAAGCATTTAGTCACGTCATTTTATTTTCGTATTCTTCTCAGCAAGCCCTTTGATTTGATACCCATATCATGGGGGTGCATAAAAAATAACTGGCCCGCCATTTTTGGGAGTCCGCCATATTGGATTTAGAATGACGTCACTTAGCTAACCATGCATTGTCATCCAAACTAAACGTGTATTGCAAAATTTCAGCTCAATCGGTTAGGGATAACCTTTAAAATTCAGTTGCAAGATTTGACATATCAGTTACCGATATCGCTGTCACTGGTTTGATTTTTTCGGTGGTACCAAATAATTTAAGTTTTTTTTTTATAATTTTATAAACATTCGTTCATACGAGCTAGAAGTTTCGTTGTTTCGTCCGCGGTACTCAAATCAGATAAAATTTTAATTAAAGTGAAAACTTTCATAAAATCTTCCGAGAATAACTATAAATATTCATAGCCTCCTGCCCAGAACTAAGTCTGGGTTTCACGATAAATTTCCGCGAACGACAGGGGATAAACATATTATTTAATCTTCTGTTTTTATATAACGTATTTGTGTAGGTATAATCAGGATTTGCTTTGTTTTACGTAACAGGCGCTGTCCTGTTAATACCGCTTAATTCTGTTCTCTAAACTTTTAGTTTTTTTTATTTTATGAGTATTCACAAGTCGTAAGTATTTCATTTATACTACCTTATATCTAAAACCATTGATCCCGTAAAATGGTATTTAAAATTAGTAATAATCACAATTGTTAAAACTTATTGGGAACCTCTGGAACATAAAGACAAGTGAATACTTGTGGTCGTAGATAGCGCGCCTTATCCTTTTTTGTTTATTTTTTTTTTGTAACAGAAAATTTGCCAGTTTAATTTTGGGTTACTTGTGTTAACTTTCATTACGGAAACAGATAATTATTAGTGAACAAATATTTTATTGAAATCATATTTTTTTTTTTTGGATTCTTATTCTTGACTGTGTTTTTCAGTCAAAAGATAGTTTTGACATATGGAACCGTTGATAAAACCTGAGTAAACACTTGTAACAAGAGCAAGTCGAGCTATCAACAGTCAGCGGTTCTAAAAATGTTTCTTTATGTTATGGTACGGTGATAAGTTGGTAGGTATTAAAAAACTTTTTATTTGCAATAAATATTTCTTTCGTCGAATGTCGTCTTCAAGTTTGTAATCAGCTTGCACATATCATATATCAAATTAGGTACTGATGCTTCAACTTGGTCTAACATTTTTTTTATAGAACTTCATTTTATGTCTCAAATGTAACTTGTGTCAATGACTCTATTGAACTTCTGTTAGATTGTATTAAACTTACTTTTCGTATTAATAACGAAGTCGTTAAGCAGTGAGGAAACGATTTGAAAACCCCCTTTCACAATCCTCGTACATAAATTATACGAAGTAGGGCTTTGCGGCACACACCGTCGTCTACATGTTACACCTTATCTAGGATGTAATTTACTCTCTAAAGAAAATTGTTATCTCGATCTGAGCCCCGGTGAGCATTTAGCTGACAAACATGTGGGAGACAACTCTGGGTAAATTCAGTTAGGCAAAGTAAATTTAGCTACCGCCCAGAAATTGTCCCGAATTTTCAGAATTCGCTCACAAAGGAGGGCTTAAAGCCAAAGTTAATTACTACCTGAGTGGCAATGAATTAATAAATTAAGATTTCGTTAGGGCTTGCTGCGTTATCCCTGTTACCTTCAACTTGTAACTTGGTGTAAGAAGAGCTAGAGGGATAACAGAGTGTTACTGATAGTGTTTTTTTTTTAAGTTTACTTTAAAGGTATTAGACACTTAAATTAATTTTAAAAATTTTCCAAAAAACTAATGAGAAAAATTAAAAGGTCAAAAGAATTTCCGTCTGTCAAAAATCACGGAACAATTTCGGAAATTCTTTTGACCCTTTAATTTTTTGCAATAGTGTATCTATTTTGCAAAGTTTAATATAAATTCGAATTTTCTGATTAAAGTTTTCAAATAATATGTGTTTCCTCTTTGATGTAATAATAATTCGCGCCATAAATATTATTTCGTTCAGTGACACAAAGTGTGTTGCTGACATTCAATGAATATTTTCTAAAATATGTTTGAATTGTTGTAACGCGCAATTTCAATTATTACAATAAAAACTAATTATTATTTCAACGAGGGCAATAACAGAATACTTCATTATTTCAATTAAAAATCGCTGTTTTAGAGCACTCGTCAGAATCAAGTGCAAAAAGGGATGGGTGTATTTATTTCTGCATCGGTTTGCTTTGATCAGTCCATTGGATGGCGTGTACTATTATACTTTCAAATAGTAACCTGGATTCATCTAGTTGTTTTGCATACAAATTTGATTCTGCTCGATAATTAAAGGACTCTTTTTATAAAAAGGGAATATCTAATACTCTGCATACCCAGCGGGATGTAATTTTAAATTATATTGATGTATTTTAAGTATTATACGAGCGATATTGGATCTGTGTTCGGCAGACTCTGAAAATTTGTAATACCTACCCTACATAGAATATTAATACCTCTTCTGATTCGCTTATATACAAGGTGATTCAGTCATTAATTTTAACCACGTATTCAGAAAGCCTAAAAAAGATAGAAAATTGAAAAAAAATTACTAGACCTTTTAAAAGATAAGCAATGTGGCCTTTAATTCCCGGTAATTTAGCGCCCTACTTAGCAACACATTTTATAAGTGGGAACGTGCCGGCGGACCTCAGAGCGTTCAAACGTTGAAGAGAAACAGCGGATTTCCCCGGTCGTCTTTTTTCGATATTGGTACTATATTATTTGTGTTTATCTTTAAACTTGTTCTAATGTTTGGTTTGCTATAAAGCTATTATATTCTAGTCATTTTGTGTCATAAAACTGCACAAAAATCATAATTCATATTTTTTTATCCGGTTGCAGTCAATACGTCATACTTACTCGTTTCTAGTAGTGTGATATGTGTTGTTTCTGGAGAATCTGAAGTAAGGGAATCTCTGTGGTGTCTTGAACGCTGAAAAAAAAGACATTAGATTAATATTTTCTTGCAGCAACAATAATGTAAATGTAGTTCGGTAACGTCCAGTAGGTAGGGGTTCGTAAGTTGTATTTTTCATAAACCCCATTTTTTGCAAGTAGAACAACATATTAAAATGTACAGGCACATGTTGAGGAAAAACGTGTTATTACCTAATAAATTATATTGCAAAAAATGCTTTTTTAAGGATTCAGGAATAAACATAAATTCGAATCGGTTCAAAAAGTCTAAAAACAAACGAGCTCTTAAAAAAAGTAAAACTTTAATATCTCTGGCTGTGTGGGCCTCAAAAAAATAGATTTTTTTAAATTATTTATAAATAAAGAGTAGAAGCAGATAATCCTTTATTTAAAAACGTTACGCTTATGGCACATATCTCGCTTAATATTAAAGATAGATCCTAAATCCTATACCATTGTAAACCCCATAATGTCTTAAGAGAATTTGTAAAAGTGTAGGTTATTTTATGAGAAAAAATCGAGTTGGTATCTCTCGAAGACGACATTGACTCGTTTTACTTGACAGCAGAAACAAATTCTTTGTGAAAAATTAATGATAAGTCATAACTTTTTCGCACATACTTCTATCCTATCTAGAAGTATGTGCTTTTTCGACATCTTTAAAGACAACGACATTACAGTTCTATCTAAAGTTTTCGTGTGCACATTTTTATGTATTATTCGTTTTCATACAATTTAATGAAAATTAGAAAAGAGGATTAGATCCGAATAAAGAAAAATTGCGTTATCGTGACTAAATCTTCCATAATTTGACCATCTTTATACGCAAGTAATAGATAAGAAAACATTTGGGCCCAGAATAAAAATTCAAATATCTCTGAGGTATACACAACTGGTCACCATCAGACATTAAATATATTCAAATGGATACGTCAAGACTTTGCGTGCCCCATTTTTCCCTTTATCACTCTTTGATGTGAACTCAAGTGAGTAAAAGTTATATCGTATAGAACTTTTTGTTTATGTTGTATTCCAGTTTGTTTGTGCCCATATCCTTAGATGTCATATTCTGGGGAGCACGTACATCAAAAGGACATGCAGACTTTTTGTAAATGATACATGAAGGCTTCGGGCAGGAATAATAAATAAAATAAAGGGCAGAGGTATGTTTTGATCCTCTTTGCTGCATATAAAAAACTCATAACGGTAACTAATAAGCGTTCGTGTTTTAAATTTCTTCTGCGTCTGGGTTTGTATTAAATTTTTTGTTTTTTACGACCCGCCGAGTTTTAGAGGCTAATAACATTTTTCTACTTTCATTAAGGTACGAGTAAGCTTTGATAAAACTTTGCATAGTAATGTCTGGACCAGTAATGAATTATACCCCGTGTCAATTATCACTAGCTATTTGGATGAATATCTACCGACATACACGTGTAACACCCATGTCAAAAACGAAAATGACCTTTCAACATTTATCGAGATCATATGCGCATATCTAAAATAGTCAAAGTTTTTAGTAGATTTTTAGTAATCCCAATAGGTACATATCTGCCTCTGATCTGAAGCGTCGCATCGATCAATTTATTCGATACGTATCTAACGGTATCCTAATGCCTGGCCTGTCAGCCTGGCGTGCCGGTGAACAATCCAGGTTTTTTGCCGAAGGACATTGGTCGTGCATTTTATTGTCTCTTGTGCGAACCTGAGTGAATTTGAAGCTTTGTTTGGTCGAGTGTATGGCACGTGTTTTTATGGCAGTCAGTAGCATTGTGTATTGTGAGCATAGAGCGGCACACGGTTTGACCATAGTTTATTTGACTGTCGCCACAAAGCTTCCTTAGACCTTTTTTGTTAGATGCTCAAGAAAAACTTTTTTAAGTTACGTCACATTTTTTTAACCCACTTTCAATTCGTGGTGTAGTTAAAAATTTGGAAACACTCCACCGATTTATTGACAAATGACAGTCGTGCGAATAGATTTGAAAATGTTTCGTTTTTTTTTTCCGGAGCTTCAAGGTTCTACAGCACTATCCACCATCTGCCCCAACCCGAGTCCGATCCTGCCCCTCCTTCGCAGGAAATACTGCTGATTTAATCAATTTGGGAATTGATACACTGAATACTAATTAGCCGAACTTATGAGCGTCGGTTTCTCGCAAAGTAGGCACCGAGCGATTCAACTGTTGTGACTGATGGAGTGATGGACGTCTCTATGGTTACAGCCAGGTGAAAGGGGGCGGGTGGGCGGCTCGCGTCGCCGTCTCCGATCCACTTACGCCCCAATCTAATTAGTCTTGATGAATTTTCTCACTAAAAGCTCCCGAGCACTTTCGTGTTCCTGATGGTGTATTTATTTCGCAGTTGGCTGCGATGTGCGCCGGCGCTGCAAAAGGCCCGCAGAACCGGAAGAACGGGAAAAACCTTAAAAAAAGTCTTCCGCTATTTTGACAATAAATACACTGAGATAAATGTTTCTGTATTTTGAGGAAACATAAAATCAAATCAAAAACATATCTCGTTTGATACTTTCGCGTAGGGCTTCTCAGAAATGGAAGAATATCCAGTGAAATAAAATCATCCAAACGATGCCGCAAATAAATAATTCCATTCCACAAAACTAAACAACGCCTGAATTTAAATTGGTTCCGCTGTATGCATTACACTCCTTAAGCCAGGGAAGTTTAGAGTAAGGATTGTACAGCAAATCCTGCCCTGCACTCTAATTGGGGCCCGATGGCAGATAAAACCTTTTAAAGCAGTTTTAAAATTCGCCGGCAAAACTAATTAAAATAACAGAATCCAAGAGTGATGCCCACGGGATTGCAAAGTTGTTATTTAAGAGATGAGAGATCGCGAGATTCATTTTGATCTATTTGCAAAGGGAAATTCGGACGATAAATTTTAAGAGTTCTGACGTGAAAAAGTACAATTCTCCAGGCCCGATGTGCTCATTTCCAGCGACACATTTTCTCTATAGAAAATTATGTAAATCACTTTAACTGCGAATCAGATAGTGCCGAGTAATTTAAAAAGGCTCGACTTTCTCTCCATTCCATAATTTCATTTCTCCGACGGTATAATCAATTTTTTTGTCATATATTTATTTAACTGAATTTATATTTCCATCGGGGGGAATGAGAAATAAAATATATAATAGCGTTGAAATTCGTTCCACGGTGTAACATTATTTTAATTATAATTCGCGGCGCACTGTTGTGAGCTATAAACAAGTGTAATAATAATAAATAATCTGACTGAATCCAGTTTGTACAAATGATATCCAATATTGCAAAAATATTTTATTTGCTTTAATATTATATTTAAGCGGGTCAATGTAATAAATTTATTAATAATATATTTTTTTCATAGAAATATTCCAACAAATCGATTTACATATACAGGGCTGGAAAATCCACATGGTCCATCTGCCTTTACATGAGAGCGACAAAGTAAAGTAAAGAAATCTGTGCGATAGACAAGGATGGCTATAGTGAAGACGTTTCATAATCTGAATAGTCACCGCCCATTTCGGGTTAGAAGTGGGACTGACTATTCAGATTATGAAACGTCTTCAATGTAACCATCCTTGTCTATCGCACGGATTTCTATGACTTACTTTATCGCTCTTACGTAACTGCCGATGTACCATGGGGACTTTCCGAACCTGTATACTAATATTCCTTTATTGCAAATAGTTATGTGTACTTTATAATTAGAAATCGGAAATGTTAGGGCGGCTACAATGCGGTACAGGATTGGCTGTAAGCCGGATTCTTTTATATGTAATTTTATTCAAACAAAAAGTGACACATCATAAGAATATACAGGGTGATTTCACTTTAAATACATAACTTTTTTCTGTGGGACTCGGTATTCAAGATACAGGATGTTAAAGTTTACAGAAGAATATACAGGGTGTTTGGAAAAGTTGGTACAAAATTTAAGGGGGTGAAAATAGAGCCAAAAATAGTAAAAAAAATTCCTATAAAAATTGGTCCTCCGGAGCACCGTTACTGAAATATGGCCCTCCAAAGGAGTCTTATCATTTGGATATTTTTTAAAATAAATTTCTTTCTGATTAAGATAATGGAATGAAAATTGTATGTAATAATCATACCATAAGGGTCTTTGAATGCCATAAGTTTTATCAAAATCGGTTATAAATAAGGATAGTTTTGTAACTACTCTTAACAGAAATTTTTCGAATTTTTTTTATTCCTTTGAATTATCAAGCAAATTATATTTTTTAATGAATTGGACTTTTTTGAAGAAAAAATGTATCTACTTTTTTTTCGAATTCTGCGTGGTTCAGTCAGAAATAATTATTTTTTAAATAATGTATGGCTCAGAATAGTAATATTTGGGCTTGTTTTTACGTTTTATTGAATTTTCCTAATAAATTAATCCGTTTATTTGATCAAAACCTCCTGGTTTTAACCAGTGGCATACTACTAAAGCATCCGCCGTTTTTTGTAGAAATAATGTTAAATTCAGGTACTGTTACGATAAATGAATGACCTTCTACCTTCAGCAGCACGCCACTGGTTAATGGTACGAGGTTAACATTACATTCAAAAAAAGGTCTAATTAAGTGAATACGCTGTAGTAAATTTCATTCAAATCGTTCAGCGCAATATGAAGGCATGACAGAAAATATAAGTTTTTTTGGAAATTTGAACACCCTGTACCTCTGCCTCCGATATGAAGCTTCGCATCGATCAATTTATTCCGTGGTGGTGGTCCTTCTCGTAAAAGTAATGGGGACCGTTTTTTTTTTTGAAAATTCAATATTAATGAAGTTCCATAATCTCAATATTCTATTTCGCGTAAATAAATATTTTGTCACAACTTATTTTTTTCGCAGTCGGTAAACACTGACAAGTCTTAAGTTGTTTCAGTACACTGATGACTACCATAAAATATTTAATTTTGGTTTTTGTATAAAATCGTAGTAGTTTCAGCGAGATTTCCCACTAATTTATCCAGAATCCAACACCTAATCTAGCCTTGATA